TGACGATGCCTGAGTTTAGATTGACTCCTCTATCTGAGTTTAACCACTCTCAGGCTCTTCTAAGCCTGGCGTTCCCAAGCTGCTTCCCCTGCGGTGTTGGGGACTTTGTTCATCCCCGTCTCCGGAAGGTAGAGTATCGTGAATATATCAAGCATCTGATGAGGTTCCACGATGGTCGTTTTGCAAAGCATCCGCGCCTACGGTATGTCCCTTTCAACACTCTTTTCCGGAAGCAGGTCAATACCCGTGCATCTTACTTCGTTCATCAACGTCCTGAGCAACGTAATCTATCTCTTGAGGAGCTCTGTGCTGCTTTTGCGGATGACTCTCCTGAAGCCCAGGCCTTGCTGAACTCTATTATCCGTTTTTCGGGGAGTCTACGCGGCACGCGGCACGCGGCCCTATTGGATTGGGCGTGGCAAGCAACTTGAAGCTACCGTGCAATGGATCAGGTCTCCCGACATCTTTTTAACGCTGTCGGCCGCCGATTACCACTGGGATGATCTGCAGCGTCATTTACCTCAATATGAGGAGTGGCGTAATGGATCTCCAGCGGAGTGGATCTCAATCTCACGCCGCAACCTCCGAGACTATCCCCACATCGCCGCATATCTCTTTCATTGGCGCCGCGAGGCTCTATACAAGACTTTGGTAATTCCTAAGTTCAACATCCGCGATCAATGGGGCCGATATGAGTGGCAGGGTCGCGGCTCGTCGCACTCACATTTCCTCCTCTGGCTAGACCGTGCCTGCCCTAACAATGAGCTTGATCGTATCCCTACGGAGGATCTCCCTGCCGCCCTTGAGAAATTTGCGCGGTTCTGGGGCGGTCACATCATGGCGTTGAACCCCGAACCTTCTCGTCGGGCGCGACCTGAGGATGAGCGGAGTGCCATCGCGCTAAGTCCTGACACCCAGGAGAATACGCTGGCCCATTACTCCGCCATCATTAACCGTGTGCAGAAGCACCATTGCACTGATGCGTACTGCCTCCGCACGAATAAACGTACTGACCAGAAGGAGTGTCGTTTCTACGCCCCGTGGCGGATCCGGGGTGCGGCTGTGGTTACGAAGGACGAAGGCAACCCTAGGTTCTTCAACTTCCGCGGTATCCGGAACGATGATCGGTTAAATCATAGCATCTGCTTCCTTCACAGGCGGCACGGTAGGGACGGAGTTCATATCTGGGTGGCGTGGATGCGGAGGGTTTCCGGAAGGCGGGGAGTGAGTGCTGTAAGCAAGGTGGTTATGTGGCGCGAGATCAGGATCAAAATATCACTGTACGATTAGACGATCAGATGAGAAAAGGGTATCGTTTGATTTCCTAATTAGGAAGTTTGCACTGATCGCGAAGGTGCTGGTTTTGAGCAATTCAGCCATTTCCCTGTTTCCTCCCCATGATTAAGAGTACTTTATTAATAATCCTACGGGGTTGAGATACTCTAACTAGTTATGCCTCTACATGTAGCAAGGCAGAGATCACGTGCTAGCTATGCTCGTGATTATTTGGGGCAGAAAGGTTGCCTTTATGCACCACAGGGCTATTTTATATTAAACCCACATGCAAGAGGAGCAGACTGCAGATTGAGCAATGCTAGGCTCAAATGGAGTAGGAAATTCTTCACTCGATTATGATAACCGTATTTGTTCTTCTGACATTCAAGGAAAATATTTAAGAGCCTATTGCTGCTCTGACCTTGGACTTTTGTGCAAGGCGACAACGGTCGAGAACGGAAACTGCAGAGGCTTTCCAATGGCAGATACAGGAGACAACGTCCACCTCACAGTGGAGTTTAGGTATACAGCAAGCACTATCTGAGTGATTGGGGCCATGCTAAATCAATTCACAGCGGTGGTCTTGAAATGCTCTTCTCGAATCGACGAAAGCATAGTGTTTCCTTGCCAAAGATTTCCCCTAAGGGTACTCCGGTGACGATAGACTTCCTAGTGAAATATCTTTGTGACCATCTCATGAAGGACTCCCGGAAAGATCTATTTATAATGGAGGACAATGTGTTAGTTTTACTTCTCTCGCTTTATGGTTTTCTATCCTTCATACTAACAGTGTGAAAGACGGCCAGGCATTCTGGTCCTGATCAACGATTCTGATTGGGAGCTGGAAGGCGAAGCGGATTATGAGATTCAGCCCAATGACAATATCATGTTTGTCTCGACTTTACATGGAGGATGAGGTCAATTCTCGGAAAGCTCCTAAACTAGTGAACAAAGATATTGGATTTTCAGGCCGACAGAAACTCCAAGATTAATCCAGATCGCGGATACCGGTATGGACCACGACGCTATACACAATAATGCCAACTCCAAGCCTTTGAGAAGCAATTCCCCCTGCGCCAAAAACAACCGGACGCCACCGGTCCCAGGTCGAAGAAAAAATCAGTGCAAAAGTAAGACAGGGCGAATATAAACCAGGGGAAATAGCTCTTATATACCCACGAAAATCTCATTTATTCGCACCCATCCAACGTCCTCCTACTTCCAGTGAATCCATAGCAAATATTCGGACATGCTTCACCCGCTCCGGACTCGCAGGCCAAACCTCCCTCCGTAACCGCTCAATCAGCGGATCATCGTCCATGGTGCTGTGGCTTCCATTGGAGCCTGACATGCGTTCGCTCCTCGACCGGCCGTTCGGGGGATCTTCCGTATCTCGATTCAATGCCGATCCGTTCGTCGATTGACTCTGTGGCCTCGGCGTCAGAAGGCCGTCTTCCTCCATGTTGCGCACTGGCGAGCCCGATGCCCCGTCCATATCGGTGTCGCCATCCACATCGATATCCATGGTGCTAGGTTCGGAAAACCGCTTCGCCTTCGCTTTCAATGCATCGATCATGGTCTGATGATCTAACTCTGTCGACGGGACGATGGTTTCCCGCTCGGGTGTCGCCCCGTTCGGGTCCATATTCGGCGACCCCTCCGCAGCCCTCTCGACGGCTTCCAATTCTCGTTCCGTGACCCCATTCGCCCATATGAGCCGCTGTTTGATCTCTTCCATTAGGCCTTCCCATTGACTCTTTCTTAATGTCACCTTTTCGACCTTGCCCAGCTCAAACGCGTGGTTCCCCAGCCCCACCCATTGCAATCCTTCGTAGTACGGTTTGGCAAACTCGATCGTTAATGGCATGACGTGCGCTTCTGCGGGGATTCGGCTGACCGTGCTCAGCAACGGATCGTTCGGCGGCAAAAGCATTCGAACCGCCGTCAGTCCCTTTTTACTGGTCCGCGCGCCTCCCTGCCTCGCACGCGCAACATACGCACCGCAGAGCGGCCGGAGCAGGCGGATGTCGTCATTCTCCAACGCGAGAGAGAGTTCCTCGAGGTTTGGGCACGCATCTACAAGCCCTTTGATCACGGGCGGCGAGAAGGCCCATTGGCTATATAGATTGAGACGGCGGAGGGTCGTGCCATGCTTCAGTGTGATGGCCGCGAAATAATCGCCCGCAAGCGCGAGGTCAACTGCGGGGTTGTGGTATGGGTTGTCTGGGGTCCGAGACTTCTCACTTCCACTCGAAGAGGGCGAATTAGAAAGGTGCTGTCCGTTCCGGTATGAATTTCCAGTCCCGTTCGCAACCGGGGTCTCGCCGCTTGCCGCGCTCGACGCTCGCGACTTGGGAGGGGAGACGTTCACGTAATAGATTTCCTCCAGGCCGGCAAATGTAGATAGCATTTGGGCATATGCGCGATCACGGCCGTTGCCTCGAAGGAAGCGGAGATTGATCGGTTTCTTTAATGGCATGTGGTTCCACGAATTGTCGACAAAGACCGTGACAGGATCCGCGGGGTTGACGGAGTTGATGGTTGTGAAAGACTGAAGCGCCTCCATGTTGAATACTTCGTTGAACTCGTTATTATTACGCGCATACAGGTTGTGTAGCGCAAGGTGCTTGACGTTAAGTTTCTGGTTGGATGCGATGAGCTTGCCAAAATACGTAATTAGTTGCACGGAAATCTCTCCTTCTTCGCGCATTCTGGGATTCCAATGCATGGTGAGAGATGAAAGGCTCTTCGTGCTGGCAAACAATACGGAGAAGTCGTCCGGATAGCAGAGTGGATCCAAATCTAGGAGTGAAAGGGTCTTTAAGGTAGGTAGGGGTGGAACTTGCACCGAAGGTCTGGGGATTCGAGTAATCGGGAATCGAATTGTCAAAGAGGTCAGGCGTGGGCTCACAGCGAGACCTGAGTATATAGTTTGAAGGGGTTTGGTAGACATCTCCCAGCTTTTGCTCCCGTCAGTATTGTCCATCGCGTATACAGCCGTATATCCCAACCAACCGCCAATTTCGACCAGGTAGACTTACGTGAAAGATTGAAGATTGTCCATCCGTTCGATCGCGGCTCGTACTGCAATACTCATCATCATCTCGTCGTCCGGGATCCTCCCTGCTCGAACTTCATCGATATCCCGCTCTTTTGAATCGCCTAGCAAAGAAAAGTGCTTCACGTATGTACCATAATTCCTTGTAGCAAGGCCATTAAGGCCCATGGAAAATGGGCTGCCGGCCCCATATCCTTCGGGCCGGCGGTTCTTGAACCGCATTTGCGCGTATGATCGGAGAGTGGCATGTTCATAGAGGCGAGGGAGGGTCATGTAATAAAGCAGTCTCGATGTTCGTGTAACGAGGGCAATATCAGCGGGTTCATCAAGCTGGAATTTCTTGAGTCAGCACATTGCATCGTGCCCCTATAATAAAAGAGTCAATGCCACTCACAAAGGAGAGAATGTGCAAAAGAATGTTCAACGGAAGTTCTTTGCGCTGCCTCCCGTCACTCTGAACGGTATGCTGGGGGGCCGGTGACGGAGCATAAACACGATACACATCTCGCGGGTCCATCGTGCTCTATGGCCCGGAAACACGTGGACGAAACAGTCAAGTTTGGAAACTCGAAAGAAAGTATCTGGGTGACGTTGGCGATGGTGGATTTCGAGAGGACGGAGTCCAATTCGGCTCTCGAGCTTGAAGACAAAGACTTGGCAGGCTACTTCTTCTCCGCATCTGCTTGTGTAGGGAGTCGAATTCGGCCAGTGGGGAATCGGTCGGTCCTGGCTACATGCGCATTTGACGCTCAGATCAAGGGGGCTAGTAAGCACTTATGGGTACTTGCGTACATAGTAGGAATCGGTCCATGCCAGTGAAAAGGCGAGAACTTAGAACGGAGAACGACTGTTATGCTTCATCATTCTGGGCCCTGGAGAAGCACGAGGCCGGCAGAGAAGCTCCGGCTTTAAGCGTCAGCTTCAGCCTGCAAGAAAACGCAAGTTTAGCCGACAGTCTGCCCCCATCGGCCCATAGTCTTGGAGCATTAGCATGGATGGTGTGCAATAGTCCGATTGGGATGGTGGGGATATTGTCATGGGTGATGCAATAATAATTATGCTGCCCAATGTTCGGAACTCTAACGACGGGATCGGGGGCCACAGGCAGATAGTCTGAATTAGTGAATGAGAGGCGGAGAAATCCCCGGGTTTAAGCCGGCGTGGAGAAAATACCCTAGGCATAACCACGAGAGCAGACCGATCCCGCGATTAATGCAGACATTATGACATGTGATGTTTGATAGACAAGGGGGAAATGACGAGCAGAATAACCGAGCTCCGCATTGGCGTAGAAGCGCGGACAATTTCTCGTTCATCCATGCGATGGAGGGGTTCAAAGTTGAAACTCCTACAGGCTGCAGATAATAGGAGAGGAGAATCGATTCTTGTTGGACAGGAACAAGAAGAGATCGCGCAGGACGGCAAGGCAGAGGAGAACTTGGGGATGACCAACGCGGAGGACGGTACGCCATGTCCTAATTACCGCCTATGGAGTTACTCCTCAACAGTCAGCGCGTCATAAATAAGGTACTTAGGATACCACGGATTTCCAAGTTAGGTATGAATTTAACCCTCTAACTGACCACCGAACCGAAGGTTGACCTTGGTAACAGGAAGTATCAAGATTCAAGTACAGCTACTAAGGCAATAATACCATCTTACATAGTAGGCAACGCAATGGATGAATTTGGCTACCATGAGTACGGAATACTCCGTACAGAATGGCGCTATCCAGCTTATTGCATCTTCATCCTTGTCCCATGTCGATGGGCGGGCACAATGGGTGGGCATTGCCAAATTTGCATAACAAATGCTTAACTTACGCGACGATGAATCCGGGTTTGTGCAATCTGGACCGGCCCGCTGGGATGTGTTGTGAGTGAGTTGCGCAACTTCCCTCGGCCGCATCTGATATACCACTAGGTACACCCTACACATCTACACTCTCAAGAGCACCACCATGGTGGATAGTAGTATTCGATCTTGGAATCATCAATCGCGCTGCGGATCTTAGTTCTATCACTAGGTATCAAGAATGGCAGATCTGCTGGCTTTGGAACACACCATGGATCGCCCCATTTGGAACAGATTTCGAGTGCGCCGCGCACAGTACTCGTCTCGAGGTACAAGTGTTGTTTCTCCCAGCAATTCATGAATTACCCCGTGTACACAAACTCCAGGATTCCAAAAGGTGTCCCGGGGAGTAAATGAACTTTATCCAGGTGGATCTTCGCGTCAACGCTCTGGAACAGCTCCTTCCATTCCTCGACCGTCCTCTCCTTCGCATTCAAAACCACCATCATTTGAAGATCTAGGGCGCTGAGGAACCGTTCAGCAGGCAAGGGCAACAACTTGTTGCCTTTCTCATCCGCCATTGGTGGCATCACGCCATCGAAAATCAGGAACCGCGAGCCGGGCTTCATCTGCGGCGTGATCTGGCCGATGATCTTCCTCGCATAACTATCCGCCCAGTCGTGGAGGATGTGTTTGAGGAAGTATATCTCGGCTTGGACGGGTTGGGGCGTGAAGAAATCGTGCGCCCGGAAGGAAATCCGAGACGAAACCGACGAATCCACGTTGGTGAGGCTGGCATCGAACTTCGCTTCTAGTCCAGGGAGGTCCTCAACGACGCAAGTCACGTTCGGTGCGATATTAGCGATGGCCTGCGAGATGTGTCCTGTGGATCCCCCAACCTTTCGCGCGATTCAATTAGCTGTCAATTTCTCACAATTCGAACTGGATCTGCGCAACTGAAGGGCGGGATGGGTGAGCTTACATCCACGAGGGTTGCATTCCCGAAAGATGCCCAATCGACTAACTTCAGGAGACCCGGGGGATCAATGGCAGTGTTCACGGCTGCGGATTGCATCGCCTGTCCGAATCGCTCTTCTCGCCAACCTTTCCTCTCGCCTTCACCGTCTTCGGCCACGAATTGAAAGAACGATTTTTCCGCCAGTTCCGGCTTGGAGTCTGGATTATACAATGCCAATGACGACGCTGCTTGACCCGGCTTGTCCGTCATCTGGTCCTTGCCCGCAGTGTACCGTCTGAGGGCCTCCGGAAGTTGGACGCACCCTGCTCCGACCTCCTCTGTATTATGGATAATCCAGGATGCGAGTTCTGGTGTCTTCACGACCACAGCCGATGAAGCGGTGTGGATAATATCGTCTGAGCCAGGGGATGACTCGGCAAACAGACGCATAGTAAAAGCATGACGAAGAATGCGGCGCACAACATCGGTGGGAAGTCCAGTGGCTTCGGAGATTTGCACATACGTTGCGCTGCCGTCAACTGGCACAGCGGAATAAAAGTCGAACTCGGAAAGCACTCCTATAACCATCATGTCGTGCTTGAGCTGTTTGTGGGGAGTAAGTTAAGTACCCTATCCGTCCAATAGGATCTGAAATTACCGTGAGTGAATGCCAGAACTGGAACTCCACGGGCCCGATGGCTACATGAAGCATGTCCATCAGAGATTCGATCAGCATCATACGAGGACCTTGGACTTCTGGTGATGGAGGATACGGATGAAGTCCGTCCTTGTCCAACGATGGCAATGGAGCGTTCACAGAGTTCATGTGGGATGTAACTGCCGTGGCCATCTCCGTGACCTTGCTGGCCAGCTCGACTAGCGAATGATTTCCAGCCATCGTAGGTAAAGCTTGTGTAACGTGTAGGTTAGCAATAAGATCTGGGGATAAGCATAGGGCTGGGAATCGTAGCGTCTTTATATCTCCTGCCCTCGCCTAGATATGGAGTAGCGGTATGCCTCCACGCCCCACTGCCCAAATATAGTTAGCTCATGGCTCGAGCGGATGGTATACGGAGTTAACCAGGTTCGGTTTTGCACCAATGCACACGATCAAGGCGATGATGTGCAGTTGGGGTATGGAGGGGTGCTACGCATGGATTCTCAGCAAATAGCAATGGTTACACTCCTCTTGGGATAGCAGACTTTGGGCCAAACCAGCAAGCGAGCTTCATCAGTCATCAGTCATCGGTCATTTCGCTCTCCTTCTGACTTCTCCATAAGGATATGCAGCTTTCGGAACGGCATCTCCCCCCTATGATCATTTGCTGAACGGGCATTAGCGTGGTGGTGGTCCACTTGGGGGCCAAGATCCAACATCGTTAATTTGGTCTTACATCGTCGGATGGCTCAGATTGAACAGACTCAAACGGTTTAGCGCTTAGCTGCTAAGCATCGGTACCTCTATACTTCGTAATTGAATTCCTGGCTGGGCGTCATTAATGGCAAAGCCTGCAGGTGTTGTTTATGGGGCGGTTTTCAGTGAACCGACATGGTGCAACGAACTGTCTGAATGGCGGATGGGTCAAGGGTCCGCTTTTAAACCACCCGGTTACGTATTAGATATTATCCTTTCCCCCAAACATCGTTGTCGAGATCATGGTATCTAGAATTTCGTTCTGTGCCGATTAACGATGGGGATCTGGATGTCATCCCCGACCTTGCATCATGAGAGCCTGGTTCAGGAACCAATCAGCGAATACAGCTGTCACCATAGCGACCAGGGGATGAACGTCCATCGTCCTAGACTTCTCCGCGGTGGCATCAGATAAGGTCTCCTTGTTCTCCATGATTTTCTCCATCGTGCCAGTACAGGTCGTCCTTCGTGTTAGAAATCACCATCGATGCTCCAAAACCTCGGACGCGTCTCGAAGCTCAGTTGCCAACGTCCTAGGAGCCGACTCGGGCATTGAAGCGTTCCCTTGGCCGCATTGTCGCGGGGGAATCTCAAGTCATTCGGCGAATCGTGCGGAGAACCGATATCTTGATCTTGATGCTGTAAGAGTCTGCCATGTCGGATTATACTCGCGGCTTGCTACTGTAGCACCCTGAATACAGGAAATGGAGTCTTCGAAGGGGTTCAGTACTTACGTCTTGCGGGAATTCCCCAAAGTAGGAAAACGTACTTGGTCATTGGCACAGCATCGTCGCAGTTGAAATCCTGTGCCGTCTTCAAGAGCAGGGCCTTTCCGGTATGGGCCTGTAGCAGATCCTGATGACGCTCTCCTTCGTTGATACTTGTTTAATTGTGAAGGTCTCAAGTTAACTGAGTGCTCCAGTGATTACCATATGTCGCTGTAAGCCGCTCGATCGAGGCCAGCGTTGTACGATATCCCATCGTCGATCTCCCATAGATGCCCATTAGAGCTATGAGCACATGTTCGGCTTCAGTGGAGGGGGTATCTGGCGAAATACTGGGCATGAATAGCAGGGACCGCGACTCCGAAATGGCGTAGTATGGAGAGGTGCACAACATCAACTTTGCTGTTGGCAAATAAATTGATGGCTGCTGTGTCGTTCACAACATTCACACCCGCAGTTCCTCGAGCTTGAGGAAAGCCATTAACCACTGCTGGCCCATGCCTTATCCCTTCACTCCAATATTCCAGCCCCATTCAATCGATGGAAGCTCTCCCTTACTCATCACCAATTACTTGGTTAGATAAACCTAAGTCTCTTGTTACTGCAGCCCAGGAACTTCCCAATTGAGTACTATGTACTAGCATCAGGCAGAACAAGTAACGCCCTCATCGGTTATTGATGGATGCTTGTTGAACTCAACCACTGCCAACGGCTACACTACACCCTCTCTGTCGGTGTTTCTATGTTATTCCCCATCATCAGGCCTTCTAATTCATCGCTCTTTTGTCAGACTTCGTTTTCCTCTGGAGAGGAACAATTTGAGGGCTTGCTGGTGGTTATCACTCACCATCTCCTTCACTGCCACCAACCTCCACCTCTTTCACCCTGGGATGAGAAACATCCTATAACGCTTTCGTTTTACTGCCTATTTCCTTTCGTTGTTTCAACACTATGGCGAGTATTTGGCATCCAGCCTCTGCAATGGTCCTACTAGCGTTGTACTGCTTGATGTTCGTGGCTCATGCTGATATCCTCCATGAGCGCATCACGCAGGTACCACGTGGATGGGCACGAAGCTCCCTCCCTCAGGATGGCGAGACCATTACCCTCCAAATTGGGTTAGCCTTGAACAACCTTGACCAGATGCGAGCTAACCTTATGGCCGTTTCGTCTCCTTCCGACCGATGCTACGGCCATCACATGGATCGTGAAGCGGTGGACGCCATGGTTAATCCAAAGCCTGAGGCAGGAGAGAAGGTTATGGGATGGCTCAAGTCCAACGGGATTAAAGACATGTTCAACGACGGGCGGACAGTGCACTTTTCCACCTCCGTTAGAGCAGCCGATCGTTTGCTGAGCACCCGATTCCGGTACTTCAAGAGCGATGGGGCTGTTAAGCTTCGCACCATGGACTATTCAGTTCCTGAGGACTTGGAGGAGCATATTGACATTATCCACCCCACCACGTACTTTGGTCCGATACATCCCGTTCCAATCACGCGGCTCTTGGAATCCGAGCTTGCAGAGGCCAGCAACACACTCAGGTCGTCAATCACCAAGCGTCAAACCACTGCCCCTTCATGCGGAACGTTTATCACGCCATCCTGCTTGAATGAGTTATACAACGTTCGGAATTACACTGCCCACTCCAATTCTGGATCTCATCTTGGCTTTGGGTCATTCTTAAATCAAAGCGCTCGTTACGAGGACTTGGTTCGCTATCAAAACCATTTTGGCCTGCCGCACCAGAACTTCACGAAGGTTTTCATCAACGACGCGGCAAATAACCAGAGTGCATCCTCGAGAGATCAAACCGAGGCAAATCTTGATGTGCAACAGCTAGTCGGCGTTGGAGGCCCGCTTCCCATTACCGAGTTTTTGACAGGAGGTGCACCCCCTTTTATTCCGTCATTAGACCTCCCAACCCCAGAGGAAAACACCAATGAGCCTTACGTCCCATACTACGAGTTCCTCCTCCGCCAACCGAACTCGGCATTGCCACAAGTTATTACCAATTCCTATGGGGAGGCGGAGCAAACCGTCCCTCTTCGATACGCCCACCGGACATGCAACCTCATCGGCCTACTCGGTCTTCGTGGTATTACGGTACTTCAGTCGTCAGGCGACACGGGGGTCGGTGCTGCCTGCCAATCCAATGATGGGAAGAAAACACCTGAGTTCGTCGGCCAATTCCCCTCGACCTGCCCATGGATTACCGGCGTCGGAGGTACCGAGGGGCTTAATCCTGAGATCGCATGGCGAGATAGCTCAGGCGGCTTTAGCGACGTGTGGAGTCGTTGGGACGCCCCATATGCCATCAAAGCCGTTTCGAATTACCTGGAGAACGAGGCTAACCAAACAGCTCTCGAGCAGCAGAGACCGTACTTTAACTATCACGGTCGTGGATTCCCAGATGTATCTGCACATTCCGGGCGGCCATGGTATCTCGTCTTTAGTGGCAACCGCATGTCTCGAACTGGCGGCGCTAGCGCTGCGTCTCCAGTATTTGCTGCCATCGTTGGGCTTCTCAACGACGCGAGGTTTCGGGCCGATCCTCCCCTTCCAGCGTTGGGCTTCCTGAACCCGTGGCTGTACTCCGACGGGTACAAGTCCCTCCTCGATGTCACCGAAGGCGGATCGGTTGGATGCACCGGAATCAATCCGCAGTTGGGAATCTTCTACAACGGGAGTAGCATTATCCCATCCGCTAGTTGGAATGCCACGAAGGGATGGGATCCCGTGACAGGACTCGGTGTGCCGGACTTTCAGAAGATGTTGGCAGCAGCGTTGAAATTGAAGAAAGGGAGGGGATGTGGGATAGCGAAGGTCCTGCACGAGGGATCTGCGGAGCGTACGTGAAAGCACAATCGGAGGTGTCCACAGGGAGGACTTTCGGGAGGAACACTGTGTAGACCAACATCGCAAGATAAATAGGGTCAAACGGTCGCAAGCGACAGCCATTTGAACGCTGCGAAGCCATACTAGTCGGGCATGCTGTGCTCTGGTGTGCCCAACTGATAACTGTACATTCGTAAATCGCGGAGAAATCTTTCGGGAAGAGGTCAAAAAGATTCCAGTTGCCCCTAAACTTTCCTTTAAATACCGCTATCGCGTAGAGTACCGTACAATTGGGTCTTGGGGACCCCAAGCTAAAGACCGCCAAATTCCCCTGTTTGCTCAAGTGCAGTGAGGTCACTGAAGTCGGCCCATTTATCCTAAGGTCGATCGAACACTAGAGGGAACGATCTGCAAATATGTCATCGGGGACCACCGAAGCCGGTCGGTATGGTACAACAGAACTCGGAAGATTGGGATTCTGTTGGGTCCTCGACCTTTCTGCCTGAATCGGGATTCCGGGATGATCCATACCTTACCTCCTGGTACCATCAAGCACGGCTGATGACATGCATGCATGAGGTACCCTGCCCTTTCAATTTGACCCATGTGGTGTGCTTACGCCTTACACCCACGTGGGCCGGAGTGAACAGGTACATCCACCACTATTTCTACAGTCCCGGTCCTACTACGGAAGGTACCTTACAGCCTGCTATTAAGTGTGCATTTCTGAGTCCGCCCTGGTAGACTACAACGACAGACAGGCTGGAGTTATATCTTAAATCGCTCTGGCGCTGGACTCCGCAGGTGGAGTGCCGTGGTTGCGCTCCACAAATATCCGCCCCTCAAATGTCAAACTCGTAACTCAGGTTAAGTTGAAAACCACACACCACGAGAGAAAGAGTTTTAGGTCGCGCAATTCCTGATGCTCTCGCCATTCGGTTGACGCAACGCGTGAGGTTTATGGAGGACATCCCGAATCGCGGTTTGCCCGACCTGTCAAAAACGTGGACATCCTGGCCAATGCAACGTATTACACAGAAGCCTCGGTCAAGCCCTCCATCTAGAAATACCTCCGATGCGTGAATGGTTGAGTCCTTGAAAGATCTCTGCTTTGCGGATCTAGACTGTGGAGACGTGGGTCGAGATGTCAACTTCGACAACCCATTCGTTGCGCTGACATCCGCGTATGATGGGAGCCTTGTGGAATAGGTTCCATGTTCTGCTTGACCCTGACGACCCTGACGACCCTGACGACCCTGATGGCTGGACCTCCTTCTCCGTTCCCACTGGAAGATCGACTTTTTTGGGTAAATCGCCAATGGCTGTCTGCTGTCAACGTCGCGCCGTTCCGGCTCCAGGCATCGGATGAGGAGGAACGGCAAAAGGCAGGTTGTCGCCATGTTCCTGAGCTGACTCTCTTTTCCTCCATTTCCACTGTCCTCGTACTACTGTTTGTGTTTCTGCATTACACTTTCACCATTTACTTTTCGGTACTGTCATTTTCCCTTTACGTCCATTTTCAACCGTACTCGATACAGCTGGAGATCATGAGGTTTCCCCCGCCGGAAGTCCAGGCTTCATGGCCCGAACCGAACTTCGAGAATCCCAAAACTCGAGGGCTGGCTCTGATTGTTGTCGAACTTACGATCCTACCAGTCGCCTTGATAGTGCTTTCACTGCGGTTCTTCGTGAGGGGCTTCATGCTCCGTCGTCAGATTTCATGGGATGACTGGACCATGTTGGCGGCAGCGGTCAGTTTCCACACCTCTTACTGATTTCCAGAGCATAAAAGATCTAATACCTCCATTATTTAGATCTGCGCGATCGGAGTCACTATATGCGTTGTTCTAGGTACGAACTATAGAGACATGGAAATAGTGCCGGATGATACTGACTTTGAGACTCAAGCGTCGCAAGCGTATGGATGGGACATCCATGTATGGGATCTGACCGCGAGTCAAGCAGTCAAAGGCCGACAGGTGAGTGTGGCCGTCATCACTTTAGGGGTCATGACTGCTGACGATCTAGTGAAGGCGTCCATCGCTGCTCAAACGCTTTTCATACTTGCATCCGGCCTCACGAAAGTCTCTATCCTGTTAAGTTACCTACGGATTGCCCCGAAGGGCTCGCTTTTTCGGCGCATCACTTACTGCGCCCTCACCGTATGTGCACTCGCAATAGTGATCTTCTTCGTCGTCCTATGGACGCAGTGTTTGTAAGTCGCCTCACTTGAATCATCCCCCCTCTTGTCCCCTATACCGGTTGTTCTTGTCTGACCGTCTCGTTAGGCCCATGTCCAGTTACTGGGAACTTCTCGCGCCGCACCGTGACTGCAAGCCGGAAGGTCCACCCTTGATGATCCAGGCGACGATCACTGTTGTCCTGGACTGCATTATTTACACCATCCCGATGCCGACATTCTACCAACTCAAGCTTCCTTTGGTGCAAAGGATCGGCCTTATCGTCATCTTCGGCTTCGGAAGCGTTGTCGTCGTGGCCGGAATCATGCGCGAATACTACATCTATTATACCGTCTACGAAACGTACGATATAACGTGGGAAGGCTTCTCCATGTGGATTTGGACCGCCGTCGAAGTCAATCTTGGGGTTATCTGCGGCAGTGTGCCATCACTGAAGCCTCTCTTCTTCCGTGATCGATCTAGGAACGCTTCCTCATACGGCCACTCCCACGGAGCATCCGCTAACGTCACGGCGGACCGCCGTCGGACGATGCGTAAGCCCCACGCTGATGAAGAGATGGATACCCTCACGGGAGGTATCACGGTCAAGCGAGATGTGAGGGTTGACTCTACACGGAAAGTACCGTCTTGGGCAGAGTCCGCTTTCGAACGGGCGGGCGGGGCATCCTCGATTGCCAGCAGCATCGAGAATAACCAGACACCATGGGATAACCGAATACCCGCCCAAGGACCTCCTTGAGGGTCATAAATGGCAAATTCGGTTTTGATTCCCTCCCCTAACTATATCCGATTCGACTTGAATATGGAAACGGATACGACTAGACACGGCGGGTCCGTTGCCGATACCCCGGATAACCTGGCTCGATTGTTGGAGCTCTCGGTTCCTCCTTGTCATTCGTAGCCTTCCCATTAATCTCCACGGGTACCAGCCGGTCCACACGACGGCGCGAGATTTTAAAGACTGGGCTTGAACGAGAATCTGGTGTTTGTTCCTCACAGGGGTGTCGAACGAAAGTCCTAGCGACATGACAGACCAATCACATCGAAGAAAGGGCCGGCTCGATAACTGCGGCCCCTGTACAGGGTTCTTCCAGCGTCTAAGATGAGTCTCGGCTTGAAGTGTTAATTATTGGTACGCTGTACATTCACAATATGACCACTGCTGCTGAGTTAGACCGGGCTACCTGATGCCCGGTCCAACAACACCTCCGGTTTTGACCAAGATGTTGGATCCGGGGCGATTGATTGAAATGGTCAAGACCACTGTACCATTAACTGTATGGTACACCGGGTACCATGGTCAAATCCAGCTCCCACAGTGACTTTGGCACACCGTCATCGAAATTGCCCTAAGGAACAGCATCGTATTACCCGCAGCAGGCGACCTCGAACTGGGATCGCTTCAAATTATCCTCTTGAACTCCCAAAAACGTATGCAGCTCAGGGTGCTTTGGTTCTATTATCTCAATATCAAGGCCCGCGGCGAATGTTTCCAAGGGAGAGACATCATATCTCAAGATAATATGGAACAGTCAGACAATGACAGACATAATCAACGTTAGTCTTAGTGCTATCCTCTGCTCAAACATAATAATAAGAATCAATTTAACGTACTATCTGGATCCCTTTCGGGTCTATGAGCACAGCATTCGATCTGGTCTGTCGTGGGCAAAAGTTTCCCCGTGGCCCAGAGGCTGCGGGCACATAAAATCCCGCCTCCTCCCCTTAGTAGAGTATTCCAATCATTTTTTATCTTTCCGCATGAGTCGGTCTTTCCGCCTACGCGGAGAGCTTATTCTGGGACGTCGTGGAGGAGCTGGAACGGTTTCCAGTCCTCTATTACCTCGTTCTCAACTTCCTTGGTCACCCGGTATTGCTCGAGGCCTCCCGCATCGATCAGCCATCTTGCTGCGTAGCGCACCTTGTCCCTGTCATGCAATACCCTCTTAAAGTCCGTTGTTCCAGCTCGTTGGAGGAGCGCGATCCTCTGGTCGGTCCGCTGCGGGCAAAACGCAAGGAGATGGTAGAGAGACTGTCGGGGGCCACCGCATTCACACGCTGGGTGGATTCCAGGGACACCAATTTTCGCGAGCCATCCTTCAACTCCGACTACCTCAGTCCGTAGTGCCATAAGCGCCGAGGCCTCGTGTTTCTGGAGGCCATCGAACCGGATGAGGCATTGGGTTTCCCACGGGTCCTTCTATGTCCTTGCCCTCCTTCCTGGTTTGGCCGCTTCGGCCTGCCATCTCTCCCTCCATTTCGCCCGATACTCATCCTGGATCATCCGGTACGGGCCTTTTCGCTGTTGTGTCTGATATCCCCTAGCTGGTTCGGGCCGGGGGAACAGAAGTTTTCATACTGGGTCCGGAGAGTACACATTGCGGGTTCAGGTATAGACCGTATACGTCGGGGTCGGCCTCGCGTTCGTCTCGGGGAGCGGAGGCAGTATCCCAGACTTGCGTTAGGGCTCCCTCAATCTGGGTAGTGACCTTGTGGGAGTTCATCGATGCTGCTCTTTGAGCGGCCCGTTCTTGGACATAGAGTTCGATTGGGGGAACGTCCGCCTCTCTCTCAAGCGCGGCGATTGGTGTCCGTTTGTAAGCCCCTAGGATCTTTCGAAGGCACTTATTCTGAACCTTGGCTAGGTCCTTCATTTTGCCCTCAGAGATTGGCTCACCCTGCTGACGGACTCCCCAGATTGGGGCACCGTATGTCATAATGGGCCGTGCAACCGCTGTATAGAGCAGCCTCGATTTCCGGACGGATGGTCCCCATACCGATGATGTTACCCTCGCCAGGGAGTCGAAGGCCTTAAGTCCCCTCTGTGTTGCCCAAGGATGTGGTCCTTCCATGAGAGAGAGGGTTCGAGCCAGACTCCCAATACCCGGAGGGACGTAACTAATTCAGCGTGGTGTCCTTGTATCTGGATCGTAGAACGGAGATTAGCGGAAAGATTGCGTTTCTTGGTAAAGTGGATAATCTGGTACTTATCCGGGGCAAATTTAGCCCCGAACCGTGACGCCCATTCCAGGCAAGCATCGTGGGCCGCAGTTAGTCGTTGGCAGTTAGCTACTGCCGTGTCTCCCCAGGTGACAAGTGTAGTATCATCAACGAACCCGAACCCGAGCAAGTTACCCTGAACATCTTTGAACTGTTGTAGCAGGTCAGATATGAATAGGGTAATCAGCGCGGGTGATAGGATAGAGCCTTGCGGGATCCCTCTGCTCAAACATAAGTGTCAGAAGGAAAGAATGGGCGGTATCAGTTTATAACCCCCGCTATAGTACTATGTAATAACTACCACAAAACGCTCCCATTTGAAAGAAGTCGACTGTGACTAACGTGTAGTGAATTCTCGGGTGTCCTTCAGCACTATTTGAAATAGACGCTTGAATAGATGAAGGAATAGTTAGTTGTTTCCAGTTAACTGAGGCCAACCAAGAGCTAGTAGAATACCTTTTGCTAGGCAGTGACTCATCTTCAGATTGACATTCGAGATCCAAGGTGTCGCGTGGCGCGTATCATTACGTATACCAGCAAGGTATCGGACTCGGCCGCGGACTTCCTTAATAATGATGAGTTGCAGTCTTCCAAGGGGTTCAGTTTGGCCCCTCAACCCGCCATGTCTATAACTATGTTCACCGTCGATGATCGGGTAACGTGCACTCTCAATCAAACATTGGACGACTCACCACAGCTTCTCCTGTAAAGCATATCACTTGATGAGATACTTGCGCCAAATAGTAGATCTACAGGTTGGGATTTAGAACCGGACATTGAAGTGAATGGTTCGACCAGTTGATTCCCTGGTTAGAGACGTGTGGAAGTGAATTCACAGCGAGATGTGAATGCTTTGTCCGAGTCAAAGAACAAATGCCATGTGAATTGTCTTCTCTCTATTAAATCAAAGTGTGATCTATGTTGTGCTGCCTGCAAGGTTGACAAGACACTCATCACTTCATTCAGACGCGACACTCATACCAGCCTGAACACAACGAGGCATGAAAGCCAGAGTGATGTGTTGGTCTCAGGTCAAGGGCTTCCTTCGACGCCTCCTATCCGGCCATAGCGTCGAAGAGCCGGATTTCATCATGGTCACCCCTCCTACACCTCCGGAGAGCGACGAGCTCGAATCAACAGACTCCTATGAGACCGCCCCGGAGTACCATATTCCTGTCAACAGCGCCGCCGGACGACAAGACGGTATGGCTGCACCAATGATCAAGACATTAAAGTGCTAATCAATCCGCTAGCTCCACCGAGGGTCCCGTCAGGCATCCTAAAAATTCGACATCAGCCAATTCAAGCATACATGATCGAGGACGACGTTTTCTCACCCACCTATCTCCGCCTGCCTCCTTCCTAATCTCCGCCTGCACTTCTACAAGAAATGGATTTGAGGGGCGGGTACGCAAGGGCTGGCGTATTAAAGGTGCCTGTCTGGATAGGCAATGAGGGGGCGGAACATTCGGTCGATGGTTCTCGTTGTGACTGGGATCCAGACGACGGCAGTAACTCGCGCAACAATTTGGCTGGATCTTGGCACCATTGGGCGTTCTGGTGTCCTCTTCTGCTGTCTATAATCCTTGTCACGTTCAAATGAATTTTAGAATTCTAAGCAGCAGAAATACTAGCGCTACGGCGACAAATCCGATTGCGCGGTCTATCCAAGCAGACAATACGTCCCGGTCCGGTGTTCGAGGGGTGTGATTCGGTGTTAACGCAGCGGGTGCGGTCGAATCGATCGATCTTGTTGGACGTGGCGGGGAGTTTGAACTTGACGAAGCCACTGTTGCCACCGGGTCACTCTCCTTCCGCTTCGCCATTCCATCTTTGTATGCCAGTGCCAGCCCCGGCGGAATGACAGTGTCCGACGTCTCAAGTTTTTCACCTCGCTTCTCCATCGCGCTCACCTCCTCTGCCCACTCCCCCATGATTTCCCTATTACATTTCCCGCATGTATCGCATTTCCAGCCCCAACTTTCTTTCGCGAACGTCTCCCGGACCTCGCTGCTGGTCTCAAGCCCGCCAATCTGCCCGCGGCTGTCGTCGGCCATGATTGACCGTAGGGCGACTAGCGCCGTCCGCACCCCCCAAGCAGGTAGCCACGTTTCTTCATGATGCCCGGAGATACTGAGGCAAATCTCGCGGTTGACCTCGAATCGCCCTGATGGGGTCAGGAAGCGGAAATTGGGGGGTTTGAGCGGATATTGCGGAGGGAGGGAGATGCGGCCATGGTAGATGCCGGACTCATATGGAGATGATGCCGGGCCTCGTATGGTGAAGTGCCATTCAAAAAGGTTCGAGTCGATGGGATGGGCGGTTAAGGAGGGATCCGGCAAGGACGCGAGCTCGGATGCTTCTTTTACTGCTTGGCATGTTAGCGGATTGGTATTCTGGTGGAACATATTTCGGCAAGTCACGGAGAACCTACGTAAGCGCCGGATGGTTGGAGTTTTTGAGTTATATGAAGACGTGTTTGCCATTAAAAGTCCGCGACTTGGTGATACGGTAGAAGGGCGAGGCTTGTGGAATGGACGTGACGAGTTAGATAAAATTCCAAACCGAGCAACGCTCCAGCGCTAGAAGGTTAAAACGTAATTGGTATAAAAGAGCACCGGTATAGTAGTGTATGTATCTAGCATTTGTATCGTGGTATTATCCTGTGGTGATCTGCGCGGGACCGTTGAGCTTGAAGTACTGTACATACTAATTACAACTGATGCGACGTGGAGCGCGGGGGGTTGGGAGGTTGGGCCGGGAAGGGCAGAGTACATTGTCGATACCGTATTATTTTTAGATCCTGCTGACACTGTTATAGTGGTGCCTTATCAGGATTATATTACCGTATTAATATCATCTTTTGTCAGCCTATCATATCTATTTGTCGCAGGCCAAGGCATGAGCTCTAGGAGTCCAAGGCTACAAACTGCATTAATAATCTTGCCGTGACTCTCGTATATCTGTAGGGCCGGGGGACCAGGCATTCAGCTAGAACACACAACTTATAGAACTTACACACAACTTACACACAACTTACACAATACAACAACTTCGCTGCTGGAACAACAGCACCTCACTCCCAACCATTTTAGCACATCACGTGCGACACTATTCTATTAGCTGAGGAGTGGAAGGTTTCCAGTCCAGTGCTACGAAAAGCCACAGGTGCCATTGATGTCATTTTCATCACTATTTCCAGAGTCTTCACGGTATTTTTCTGGTCCTGTGGACAAATCTAGATCTAACAGACACTTCATAAGACCGCATTCCATAGTATGGTTACATTCGAAAAGAGTTTCATCGGTGCTGGCGGCAATCGACACCCAGCAGCATCAGACTGGCACCAAGATTCGGGCTTACTTGCCTTTGGCTCAGGGAGAAATGTCGCCCTATGGTATCCAAAGGTACGACTGGAGGAGTGAACGCTCGATTGCCGTAAACAGACCTTTCAACAAGATTGGGTTTTCGATGTTGAATCGATTTGCTAAGCTTAAGACATGCATTCCTCGGTGACGCTGGGACGAAGGGCGGTCTCATTACTTCCGACCTAGTAGCATGGACAGCTTGGTTTTGTTTGGAATGGATCATGCAGATATATTATTCCCCCGTCGAACTAGAGCTAACAGTTGATCCATAGGATGAGAAGGCCCACGGCATCACGCAACTCTTGGTTGGCCATCAAGACGATGTGAATGTCGTTAAATTTTTCCCCGGAAGTTTTGGCAGGCGACCAGTCATTATAAGCGGCTCCGTGGATAAGACCATACGGATATGGTGTCCGGAGTCTAAAGAATTTCATGAAAGCCCACATTTCGTGCAAGTGGACAAGATCGAGAGCCACAGTGCTTCTGTCAATGCCATATGCTGTCTAAATGGCACCAATCTCGTTGTTTCTGGGTCCTCAGATGGCGAACTCAAAATCTGGAGCCTGGATATTTCCGAAAAGAATGTGGCTAGCCATAAGTGGAAGGAAAATATCTCACTTTGCAGGCCCAAGTTCATTCCTCTCGCTATTGCCGCAATACGCCTTAGCCCTAGCATCGACCTTATTGCGGTGGCAGGAACATTCAACAAGGTGTTGATATTCACTAGGCCCAAGGGTCTGGATGGATCGATGGGCATGTTCCGCCAGGTTGCTTCATTACCAGGTCACGAAGGGTGGATCAGATCACTGGACATTACCCAGGAAACACCGGAAGATGGCTCAGACTTCCTGCTTGCCTCAGCATCTCAGGATAAATATATCAGGCTTTGGAGGATACATCGAGGCGCAGACCTCCCCGCAGCGGCTGCGACGGACCCATCGTTGGGATCTTTCGGGCTCGCGCTTTCAAACAAAGCATATCGATTCAATAGCGGTGAAGAGACGCACTCCATCACTTTTGAAGCCCTTCTCGTCGGACACGAAGATTGGATCTACACTGCCCGATGGATGAGGTTGAACGCCCACGGATATCGATTGCAGTTGCTCTCCGCCTCGGCAGACAATTCCCTTGCAGTATGGGAAAAGGACGATGTCTCGTTGATCTGGGTAGTCACATCACGACTGGGCGAAATCAGCGCTCAGAAGGGCTCGACGACTGCCACAGGTAGTACCGGAGGGTTCTGGTCCGGTCTCTGGTTCTATTCCGGAATCTTGGCGAGTGTCAGCGCGGCGGGGAGCTGGAGAGTGTGGGAATGGGACCCGTCCGTGGGAGATTATCTGCAGCAGATTGGTGTCGGGGGTCACACGAAAGAAGTTCGAGGGATATCATGGTCGAAGGACGGCTCCTACCTTCTCTCGACGTCCGCCGATCAAACGACACGACTGTACGCAGAGTGGAAGCGAGATGGTAGACGCTCGTGGCACGAGTTTGCGCGCCCTCAAATCCACGGATACGATCTCAATTGCATCGCCTCACTCAACCCTTCTCGGTTCATCTCCGGTGCGGATGAGAAACTGATGCGAGTTTTCGATGAACCAGCGTCGATTGCAACGCTACTCTCCGGATTATGCGAAATCGCGACGCCTGGTGCCGCTTCTCTGCCGGAGACGGCCACCATGCCAGTGCTTGGTCTGTCAAACAAGGCGGTGGATGCTGCTGATCCCGACTCCGAGGGAAATACTCAAACTTACAAAAGTGCATTGGAGGCCCTCACTCACCCGCCACTAGAGGACCAGCTTTCACGGCTAACACTGTTCCCTGAGATCGAGAAGCTCTACGGTCACGGCGCGGAAATCTCCGCGCTCGCGGCGTCTCAGTCTGGCAATCTGATTGCGTCCGCCTGCCGCGCTTCATCTGAGGAGCACGCGGTGATCCGAATGTATCGAAGCAGTGACTGGAGAGAAGTGAAGCCGCCGCTGCAGGGTCATAGTCACACTGTCCTTGGCCTCTCGTTTTCCGCTGACGATGAGTTCTTGCTCAGCGTCGGGCGCGACAGGACGTGGATTCTGTGGCGGAAAGAGGAAGGGGATGATTACGTGCTATGGGCGAAGAACCCGTCGGCTCACACGAGAATGATCCTGTCATGCGCGTGGGTTCCGCCACGGTCGACTACAGACTCACGGCGGATTTTCGTGACTGCTGGAAGAGATAAAAAGATCAGAGCATGGGCGATTGAAACGGACGTGAACAAACCCAGTGATGACAAGACAAATGCGCGCGAGAGGGTGACGCTCTTCGCGACAGTAGATGCCGATGGGCCCATCACAGCCGTATCAGTTGCACCGAGCCCTGTTGATGGATCGTGGCTCGTCGTGTATGGCAACGAGAATGGGAGACTCAGTGGAGCTCTAATTTCAGTGGACGGATCAGTGTCGCCATGGGATGAGGGACATTCTCCAATTGTCTCAAGCGGTGAGATTCACGGTTTGGAATGGCGGGTGCCCCTTCAACAGTCGGATGAGAAATTAGGGAACGGAAGGACGTTGGCAGTGGCAGCGGATGACGGAGTGTTGGTTTATGATATGTGGTTATAACGGAGTGCTATCGGTCAGAGAAGGGTTCTGATACGACCTTGGTTAACAAAGGATCTGAAGGAATTCAATGGCCCCCTTTCGTACCTCCGGGTTCTGGTTTAATTTATGGTACTATACTCCCTTGCTTAGTAGCCGACTTACCTTCGGAAACCATCCATCATGACTCAGTTAAGTGTGGTTTGGGAATCCAGGAAGCAAGCGGTGACGTTCACAAACTCCATCAAACCAGATTTTCAGAGGGTCCCAACGTGCTTTGTTGATTCTATCTGTGATCGCCCTGGTGCGTTAAATTCATCAATCCTGTTTTCATAGCCAAAATCCAAGGTGCCTTTCATATCCCGAATCACGGTGTTCCTTTGATTCCACTGGAAAAGGGAGTTATATCGCTGACTGATCGAACATACCTGACGCCGACCACCCTTGAACAGCAGGGAGAATGTGGGACCTACCATTACGCCATCGGTCTCCAGAGTTACTAAAGTGAACCACGTTAACTTCCATAATGACTGGCGTTCTCTTATCCCGCTTCGTCGACTAAGCATCCATCCGTCTCGATCAAAAGGTTGCACAACGTGTCCTTAGCAATCCGCAACAAATGATATTTATCCATCACAGATGGCATATCCGCCTCTTCCTTGGCCAGGCTACCTGCAACGATAGACTGTGCGGCTTCTTGATTGGCTGGAATCCAGGCCCATGGAGCAGTCTTACTCGCCGCGCTCACTTCTTCGAATAACGGCCGAACCGTGTTGAGGTACCTCGCTGTAAACCATACGTTGGGCGTACATTGGGATAGGAAGTCCACACATGCTTGCGCACTCGACATGTCCGCGTGAAAGCCTTCGGCAGAGCGATGTAGCAGTCGTAGGGTTGCACAGTGGACGAGAACGGCGCAAGCAACGAATGTTTGATAGCTGTGAGAGATGTTACTGAGGTCACATCGGTTTCCATGGCGTCGAGAGCGCGGTGATCAGGCCGGCACTTACACGATGATCCAAAATTGACTTCCCCCAGCAGTACGAGCTTGTTGGAGCAGGACGACCCGCGTCATTTGCTGAGCCGCAGACTCACACTCATCTCGTCCCAGGTATGCCTCGTCGAGGGTGCAGCCTGAGCAGGACCAGTCGCCAGAGCTCTCATATTCGGCAAGAGTATAGAGCAACTGATGATTGATGCCAATGAGCGTACTGAAATAGAACATGTGCATATTCAAGATCGACCTCCTCTGGATGAGAGAGTACAGTGCTTCGTTTCTATGGTCGAGGGATGCGAGGTGCACCGAACAAGGCAACTCATTATGCCAGGCAGCCAATCGTTGTTTTCGTGCCCTGAGGGTTGTGCCATAAACATCCGACGAAGAACCAGTAGGTCCTAGTCCCTCCATTTTCTCCGCGAGAATCAGCCCAATCTTACTAACTTCCTCCTGTAGGATTTGTTCAATGAAACAACTTGACGATGTCCAGTGGCAAGCGAAGTGTAGATCCGACTCGAGGACATTCGACTTCCGCCCGAGAGCCAGGCCCTGCCAAGTCTCAATGAAGACTGCTGTACGGAAGACGGATCGCCAGTAGTGTGCTTCGTTGTTCGGGATACTGTTTGGGGTGTTGTGATTGAAGTCTGCTCGGGGGGAAATCTGAAGTCGGCCGATTTGTAAGGCAGTATTTGAGAACTGTGTGGCGGTGAGGGGGGATTCCATAGTACAGTACAATGAAAGACAGAGGAAGAGCCGCATATGATGCAAATCCGACATGCCCTCACTCTGAGTCAACTGTTTGAGGCATGAATAGAAAGCCGATTGTCGAAAATGAGCGTCCGTTAGGGAGTAGTCAAAGCAGCTGCCGACAGCAATGATCACAAGCATGTTTATCAGCAGGAACTTATCCATTGCAGGATTCTTGTAGTCCTGTGCCCAGCTAAGCATGGCGGCAATCTCCTCACGAGCGTATATTGGAAACATGGCTCCAGTGCCACCCATGAAAGCTGTAATGACTTGCGATGTCAGGGGTTTCTGGGGAAGATTGACACTATCCAAGTACTCAATACCTTCCGGGGCCATTTCGAGCAATCCCCTGGCCGCGTCCATTGCGGGAGCAATCGTGAACCTGTAATTCGGATCGAACATATATAACGTCGGTGAAGTCGGTGCGGATATCAAGAACAAGTCGGATCGACGTGAAGACTCGTCTCCGGAGCCACTCAGGGGCGACTCTAAGGTGGTATCCAAGATGCCAGGGCCTATTGATTCGGATTCTCCACCACCATCCATGGACGTATCAAGAGGTTGACGCCCGCCCTTTCTTTGCTCTGTGCTACAGCGCTTTTCCGAGCTTCCTGTCAGGGAGGATTGCTCACTGCAAAAGGCTTTCAGGTACTCATGATATCGAGCATATCCCTTCGTTTTCTTGTACTCACCGAGTCGGGCTCGGTATAGAATCATCGCGGCAGCGGCTTTGTCTTCTCGCTCCCCCCTTCCTTCGCGCCCGAGATCTCGCCACAAGTTTCCAACATACTTTGCCACTTCTACGAATGACAACCCACTGATGTCGTGGGTTGAGCGAATGTGGTCCGAGAACTCGACGTAACCAGTTTTCGGCCTGACTGGGGCATTCGGATCTGGTTTAGGGTGGCGACGATATCTCCTTTTGATCGATTTCTGATGGTTAGGACGATCGGGGTCCACCAGGGGTTTACCCCGCGATTCTAACGATACTCTTCTCTTCGACGAGTCTAGAAGGGCATCGGGCGACGCTGGCTGTGTCTCCGGCACATCTGGTGGATTGCTGGTGAACTCTCGCTGCAGCTTCCTTCGACGGCTCAACTCCGATTGAAGCCGTTCGAGATCGGTTTCGCCGATTTGAAGTACGGAAGACCAAGTGTCGAAACCACACTTAGCCAGCACTCCTTCGTATTGAGCAAGATTAGACGAGGCAAGCTTCGCACTCAACTCCGCACACGGTTGGTCCTCCAGGGATGGCTCTATGGCAGCTGTGGACATGGTCAGAAAACGGGTAACAGAAGTCGAGGAGGCGAAGGAGGGAAAGGCGAATTATCCAGACGAATTACGTATTAATACTCGGACTGATCTCCTTTTCTCGATTTGGCCAATCAGACCGAAGGGGAGTCCGGAACCAATTCCTGGCCAGTGAGCTTGGGGAACCATCCGGAGATGATTCCCCAATTATAGATAGCTGTCCAGGTACAAAATTTGCAAAATAATGCTGCGATGCTGGACAGATAGGGATACAGTTGTCCTACCGTGTGGAAATCCTGGCACGGTGTGTGCTTGCCCACCTGGTGACGTCACGATGATCCATGGCGGTCTGCATAAAGAACCGAGACGTTACGAATTGCTTAGGCAAGCCAGGTCCAGTCAGATACGGCTATCGGGACCCTAATGGATGTAATTACGGAAAGCCTGCCGAGGTGGGCACAACCACAGTGCAGACAGTGCGCAGCACCTCCAGACTGGCATGCAGTGCTAGGCACGGGGAGGCAGCCACTTGTACGGAGTGTCAGCCAAAATATGACATGGGTATTGATTTTTGAGCAAAAGTCCTGCATCACCCACCCACAGTCCACACCCAACTTAACTAGTAAAATACGGTGATTTCACGACGTGAAGCTCTAATTACGTGTATATAGCGATTTCATGATGTTTTACGTGATCTATCTACCTAATACTTCGTATGCCCACCTTCCACGTCGATCACCGCCTGGATCCTGTGTGGCATAGACTCCACCAGCTTGGTCAAAAGCTCTGGATTCGCGATCTGATCATACCGTTCGTGCGCCCATTCGACGACCTCCCGTCTCTGGACTCGTGAAGGGCCCGTACGGAGACAGAATTGGCGTGTGAAATCCGCCTTGGCGGGACTCCAGATATTCTCAGAGTAATTCAGATCCGGCGAAGCAGGCGAATGAGCCACCGTATTGATGCCGTTACGGATCCTCCATTTAGTAGCGAACTTCATATGCCCAGAAGCGTTATCCTCAAGCAAAGCGACCTCCCCATATCGCTCCATCATCTCCACGTAAAAGGGCCAAAGGTGAGGCTCTAGGATCTCCGTAACGTAGCTCGCGGAGTCCATTTTCACGCCTGGGGGGATCTCAATCAACGGTGTATGGTGCTCGCCGCAGAAGGCGCCCGAAAAGGAGACGCCCTCACGACCACTAAAGTGCTCGTCGTGCACGCAATCAGGGTGATACTCCTCTCCAGGGCGACGGAGCACCCGTTCATTTATGACCGCTGGATTAGTATCGATATGGAACTCGTCGCACGCGATGACACGCTCCCACTCGTTGAATCCCCAATGCCGTTTACCTTGCGCCATCGCGTGCCTGACCTCCTTCGCTCGTGGCGTTAACGCGGGCTTTTTCTGGGGTCGACAAGATTTGAATCCAAGCTCTTTCGACGCCTGCGCGAACCGCCATTCGGTCCAGCGCCCTGGCGTATCATTTTCCTGGTTCAAAAGGTCCGCGAGCTGTTCGTAATTCATTCGCTTTGTGTCCCGATTCCTCATAATCAGGGACTCAGCGGAATTGCGCTCCGTTTCGGTGAAATCTGTGGTGGAGGGCCGCCCAGATCGTTTTCGCTTACACCCTGCGTCTGCTCCGCCGTACTCATAATTAGCACGGATACGGGAGATTGTAGACTGATTGATGCCCAGGGCCCGTGCAAGATCCCTCTGCGAAATATTGGTTATTTCGGATAAGGTAAGAACCACAGTACGCTGGTAATGCGTAAGATCTCCAGATTGTTCTCCCACTATATCCGGAAATTCAGCCCATTTGATAAAGGGGCTGTTCGGGTTGACGTGGAGATGACCAATTGGTTCTTGCGGCATACGCGCAGCCATATTATTCGAGACAAGCGCTGAGGCGAGTAATTCAATTCGAAAGACTTTTAAATTCATAGAAAACAGTAACTAACTAACTAGTTATCAAGGGTCAGCGCCACGGGTTGTGGCGTGCCAAGGCGCATGATAACCCAGCCTTTGCGCAACCAACCGCCGAGCCAACCCCCACCACCCATTTTAGGCACCACGTACCACCCGTTTTAGGCACTCTTTGCCGCCTATACGGCCCCCGACCGCTTCTGCCCCGCCACGACGGGCGGCTAACCCAAAATCGGGGATAGGCGGTAACCAAAACGGGTAGTACGGGGTGCCCAAGGCGGGTGGTTCTGGGTGCCCAAAATGGGTGGTAGAGTGCCCGCGCCATAGGGAGTCAATCAAAATAAGTCACGTGCTACATGATCATTTCGCAATGGACCAATCAGAGTGCAGGATTCGTGACGGGGGGGGCGCTTTGAGCACATCTGGGGGTGGCTTCTTCCAGCATTTCCCTAATTATAAATATAGATTCCAAACCCTCATATCATACGCTTTTCGTCACACCGTTACATTCATGCATCCAGTCATCCCATTCCATACTCTCCTATGGCAGCTTTTTGAGCCTACCCTTCGTTGGATTCGTTACTTCTTCAAATATTCTCTGCTCCCTAACTGCTCCGAACCGCCTCTATAATTCCGCGTAGTGTATAATATACGTCAACTGGGTGTCCTGTTTTGTCCATCGGACCTTTGATTACAATGGCCTGGTACCTTATCCGTGCGACAAGTATAAGGAAGTGGTTTCAAAGAATCGTTAATGCGTTCCATCTCGAGATGAGATTCCCTAGCTGACCAGACAACTCATTGTTATTATTCGGACCGCCGGCCAAGCGCCCCCGTACCTCCTGGAACTGCGGCAAGAACAAGCTGAGTGGCACATCTTTTACTGTTTCGCCTGGTGCATCAAGATTCTGGAAATATGGTCTTGAAGAGTCCGGGACGTTCTGCTTTAGCGTCCATACCAACGCGTAGATGCCTCGGAGCATGGTCCCGATGACAGGGAAGGTCGGCAGATTGACAGACAGCATATTACATGCCTGAGTGAATGGCCCGTGGGTTCTTTCGTCATTGAGCCAAGGTGTGAGATGGAGAGCGGCGTTGTACGGGGCAGAGAAGAAAGCGCAAGCATAGTGCTCCGGCGACCAGATTTTGATACATTTTTCGGCGCCTTCAATGCTAGAGATGGCATGTATGATGCACAGGTCTTTAATGGTCGAGCCTCCATCAAGGTCTTCGAACCAGGTATTGGAGGGCAATGGTCGTAATATGGACACTGCAACTTCGTTGATTTGGGAGCTAATTGGTGTCAGTCTGAAATCCTCGAAACCTCGTCGACTCATGAAACTTACTGCAAGGCCACAGTGTGTGGCGTAACATGCTCTGTGATTTTGTACATTTTTGGGATGGTGCCCTTCCATTCCATCAGCTTCCTGTACAATTCATTCCGTTTGGAAATATCCTCGTCACTCCCCGAGTCGTAGTCCCTTGTTTCGTTAAATTTCATGATCTTGAACTGAGATGCGCAGAGATCGTAGGCGGAATCGGCGATTCCTGGTGTTTGTGGAGGCTGTGGCGACTCTTTTCCGAACTTGTGCCCGAATAGGTCAATGTGGTCTCCAGCTTCGAGACTGCTAGTCTCGAATTTGGATAGTGGTGGTCGTGGAATACCGGGGGGTGGAAGAATTGGGGGTTGTAAGAATCCATATGAGATCATACTGCCAAAGCATTAATAGTGCACTTCCGGAAGAGAGTTGAGGTAGATACGTACGTGTCAAGAAGATGAAGTCCCCACAAGGCTTTTGAGATGATTCTCCGTCCAACCATCTCGGCCTCGGTGTCACCGAGTGATCGGAACCGCTCTTCAAGCTTGAGCCGTTTGAGCATGTCGAATGCCATGTACCTGTATACTGACCCGAGTCGATCTCTCCCCGTGTACATTGCATACACCAAAAGGACAGCGAGCCCCAGGACGGTAGATAGACACTCACTTCCATCTTCCATGTCTAGCAGCTTCTTTGCCTCGTCAAAGAATGCCTCTCGGGTATCTTTTCCGGTGATACATTCCGCGAGTTTCGAATGTGGAGAGGAGAACTGTGAAGGCGAGTGAGTAAAGCAGTTCAAAGCATATGCCAGGAGACATACACTTCTCTCTGCGCATATGGCATTGACTAGCAATGGTGAGCAGACAATTGCGTTCTGGGGATCGCCTTCTCGCATCTCCTTCAAAAAGGTTTCCTTATCGACGAAAGAGTAAAGCAAGTTGTGATCCCAGCAGAAAAAGTCGGATATCAAACTGGATACGAGACCATCCTCGGTCACCATCGTCCAAGGGTGAGCCGGCACTTTCAGGTGGCTACTTCGCAACGCGTCGCGCTCCACAGTCTCCAACCGCTGCGTTTGTTCATTCGTTTCTGCGCCAACAGAATTTGGCAGCAGGTAATTCGCCTGCTTCACCATATGGAGGACCTTGATCGCATCCGGGGTGGTCCTGATGCGTTTGAGGATGTCGGATGCATCTCGTTCCGTCTGTTCGCGGAGAGTACGGTAGAGCTCTTGGAACTGTTCCACTTCCAGTTCCAGCTTGCCATACTTCCGCTTCAGCGAGGAGTAACGACTTGACTCGCCTACTTCAACATCGTAGTGGCATGATATACCGGTCTCAACGCAGCTAGTGCAAGATGGCCGATCTCCACTACACTGCGCCTGTTAGCACACTTGCATCGACTCCGAACCAGAGCCAGTCATGGATACTTGCCTTTGCCTTTTTCTGCTGGCAAGTGCGGCAGGCAACTTTCACAATGCTCCGCCGACGGTTCGATTGTCGGCTCGAATTGGCGGGAGAGGTAGATGTCGCTGTCGGAGTTGCTCCCGTAGCGGGAGCCAGAGGCCTGAATTGCCGGTCCATGTTCAGTCCAAACCCCCTGTCAACAAGATTCCGGGACACTGCACATGGGCCTGAATTCGGTTTGGTGCCGGTTGTCGCGATAGGGAGTCCGGGATGAAACGGGAACCGAAATAGGAAGCTGTTAGATGTAGGATATGATAGATCCGTAGAGGCTGATCGTCGACAAATCAGATTGGATGAGTCGATGGATCAGGAAACAGAAGGTGAACGGAATACGATGCCTCGTCTGGGGAGGAGTATTCATATTATGGTGATCTCGGTAACGTCATGTTGATGGAAAACGCGGACCTATGTCCGGGTCTCTCGTCTTCTGTAGTACTGGCCGGTAGGTGTCGGTCATAGGAGGATGGGACGACTGGATGAGTCGACCAGTGTCCCTCAACAGTCGATCCTGATGGCAAGCTTCAGTCTATCCACTGACGCCTCAGCCGGACTTTTCTCCGACATGGCTCCTGGGTTCTCGATAGCGTCAACTTGACGCACGGCTAATGTATGTATCATCGCTGTGGCGTCCGACCGGGTCTGGCTCCGTCACCAGTCATTTTTTGTATATATTTCATCAAGGATGTTCGCCTCCCTGGCTCTTCTAAGTTCTAAGTAACCCTTATGTCCACGTTCACGTCTTTGTTCAAATTCGATTATCAATCACCGCTGTTTCGTGCCAATGACTTTGCCGAAAGTCCATCAGAAGTCCAGAACATCCATATATTGGTCCCATGACGACACGACTTCGGCACTTCAGTGTCATGGCGGATTTGTTGATAAGTTCGATTTTGTTGAGAGAGAGATGAAGTCGCCACCTGGTAGGTATCAGGTTGCGGTAAATCATTCGAAATAGATATGCCAATTGCCAATTTGTGTGTAATCTGATAGCACTAAATGCATTCCAACTCCGCTGTCGATTCCCAGCACCAATCAAACCATTGGTCCATTGCAATATTGTCGCAATACTGTAGAGCACGGAGTATGGTACGCGATTGCTTAACATCCAAAACACTTCATCTACCGTGATCTGGCACACACTGCAAGATCAGATGATGTATGCAAAAAGGTGGGTCACCAATCAGACATTGCGCTGCTCACAATTGCGGCTAGTATGGTATGCACTAATTAGACCAAAGTTAATGCAGTAACACAGCCTGTGGCTCTATCTATTGGCCACAGATATACCACGCTTAACCAATATCGGTATAACCTATTTCATCTTCCATACCTTTTCCCTCAAGCTCGGATCTCGCGGTAGCTTATTTAAACTCCATCAGCCACTGCCATAACAATTTCAGTGACTCTTTCGTACTCCCTGCTGGGAGCTCAAGAGCCTTAACTCGCTTCAAAATATCGTCTTTGTCTTCGTTCACTATGAGCAGCTACTTCTCAAGCGCAGTCATGTCTTCACATTATCGCGGTATCCAGCTCCCAAAGGTCCTGTTCGTACCTCCCAAACCTTCTTCGCGAGGGTTGCAGGAATATTATGCCCAACATTGGTATCCGTAACCTGGATCTATCTCATGGGATCATACGCGCTGGCAACAGCAGTTTCTCGAATAGTTGGGCAAGTTTCCAGCGCCTGTTGTCTAGCCTAGGACTCGCATACATCCATAGAAGAATTGAGAATGAATAGGTAGCTAAGTCGATAACACCATAATTTGGATGCTACTGATTCGGAGGGGAGCTATTGGTTTCTCCCATATATCATACGTTGAATATGGTACTGCATGTCCATCCCGCAGTCACTAGACAGGGATACATCATATTATTCCCACTTTGACGATAGAGCCATCTGACTGCCAGTCTTTATAAGTGCGTAGCGACTACTCGATGTGGTACCCCTGCTCACTCGCCCGCCAACATTGCTTTGTACTCATTCCGGTAGTAGTGGGCACATGATTGAGCAGTGTCGGGCTTCTCGGGAGGGCCCTCCTTCGGTAACGTATCTTTCAGCTCCTTGCCACAGAGCTGCTTGTGCCAATGCCAGTGCTTCTTCTGGCTGAACACAAATTAGCAACCTAAGTGGTGTCTTCGGGTAGGGTACACGTGGTTGCCAGTCACTCACCATTCAACTCCGCAGTATTTGCGCTTCTTGCAAGCCCCGCATTTCATCAATGGACCACCACGAGGCATGGTTTGTGCTCCACAACCACCACACGCATCATCACCGTGATAGCCATCTTTGACGATGAGCGAAAGGGAACGGAACAGCACCTTGTGTCCTTGACCCCATTCAGGTGAGGTTGTGTTCATGAGGGTTCCAGGCAGAACAAGATCACTTTCATCGGTCTTGCCCGCTGCAATGGTGTCACGTAGTCCAAGGCTGCCGCAGTCCCATTGCTTTCCAGGCTCATATTCCTTGAGAGCGTTGTCGACTTGGGGGATGCCATCTCGTTGCAATCCAACCTTCTCGTATGCCTTGGACGTGAAATCAAGGAGCTTCTGAGGCACGGTGCAGCCTTGCTCGATGCAGACAACAGTGAAGATAACGACGGCATATGCAGCTGGGTGCCAGTCTGGCTCCTTGGGAGGGTTGACGATCTTGCCCAAGTACTTGTTCATCACCATCTGAATGCCGGTGTCGTTCAACTTCTTGCGAAGCGCTGCGACATCCTTGGGGATGCGGAGAGAACCATCCTTATCAGGGTCAAGGTGAAGAAGATCTTCAATCTCCTTGAGGATATCGTAGTCGAAGTCACTCTGAAAGAGCCCTAGTAAAAGTGTTGGTTGTCATTTACGAGCAGCGTGGATAGTGGGCGTAATACCGAGTCCCCATGCACCCATACTATCGGTCGAATTGAGATTCTTACGCTTCGGGAGTGGTTGCTATGCTTTCTGAGCTGGCGAACGCCAATTGGATCTTCTTGAGGAAGGCAAAGATCTGAGACCGTCAAAGTGAACTGAGTTGAATGAAGACTAAGATCAAAACTGACAATGAAAGGAATCGACGAAAGCGATGAGTTCGACAACCATAGTCGAGGTTCAACGAATGTTCATGAAGTGTGATATATCATACAATCGAATAGCCGCTAATTCATGTGGTTGCTGCCTGTTGCAACTGAACGTGACTTGCGGCGCGTTCAGTCGCGGTCAGTCGCGTTAAGTGACGCGGGATCCCGTGACCTTGTGGCTTCGTGGGAATGCACAACAAGCACAAGGAGAGGCCTTCAGAGGCAGCGACTATGTTAAGTTCGGCAAAGGTTAAGGCAAGATATCCAAGGAAAGAGTAATGGTTGTCCTGGATTGCATGACACTGTGCCATCCGACTGATTACAACTCACCTTGCCAAGGCTTTCTCGTTTGTCAATGGCTATTAGATTTATTTGTAGGACTACAAATCAAAGAGATCTGACAAAATAACAAGAAGATACAAGATCCGTCACCCATTACATGCTATCCAGATCAAAGAACTCGATTCTGTGGATTTTAGAAAGGGAAAGCATTGTGACATAGTGCTTTATTGATCGCGGCCTGCTCGTTTAATCTACCAAGGTACTTCCATCCTCTAGTTCCATCACACAGGTACCTACACCAATGTAATTTTGAATTAACATGGAAGTTCAAGAAAATTGGCGACAAGTGACACGGTCTGGATGCTAAAATGGTTGGGAGTGAGGTGTTGTTGTTACAGCAGCGAAGTTGTTTTTATTGTGTGTTGTGTATAAGTTGTGTGTTCTAGCTGAATGCCTGGTCCCCCGGCCCTACAGATATACGTAGGGCAGTCCAAATGAGCTCATCTGGATTAAATGATGAATTACGGAGGAATCTCATAAAAGGTGGCAGTAATGGGCTCGTGCATTGCTGATTCATCATGATGAGTCATGTAACCTGCCTTCTTTATGAAGAATTGAGGATTGAAGCTATGTATATACACGTCCATTCCTGCTATGGTTTGGTTATTTAAGCGATGAAAATGTTGATTACAAGACTATATACAGTTGGAGAGAGCTTTACGAATGGGTAGAATCCACAAATACCGATGTGAGTGCCTAAGGCACCCACATTTGGGTAATGCTATACCTAATTGGGCTAGTATTTATGAGAGCATTTATGAGCGCTAGAGATAAATCGGGTTAGATTTCATGAAGACTTTATGAGGACGGCGTGCCCTAGATATACGAGAGTCACGGCAAGATTAATAATGCAGTTTGTAGCCTTGGACTCCTAGAGCTCATGCCTTGGCCTGCGACAATTCTTTATAGTTAACTAGTAGTAATCAACTAGTTACTAGTTAGTTCAATTTACGGTACGTTACATATCTGATTGGGTACACTATTACCAAGTGATTTTGATTCTGTCATTGGATCTTGCGGTGGTCACGTGGTCAATCGGAACGATCAACTGTGGCTGGTAATGACGATCGGTTCTGAAGCTCAACGATTTGACTATTATCTGCAGTCAGTGACTGGAGATAAATCACCGACTTGAGAACTGGCGATCAAGTCTACTCAAAATGGCCGAAGGGACATCTCTATCTCGAAGTCATACCCCAAGTGCGATTCCTCCGCAGCGCCGACCAGAGGATGACCACACTCCTGCGGTCTCATCGCCGCTAAACCCGGATGGAAGCTCGCGACAACGCGCGACGCGTCCTTCCCAACGAGAGCAACGCGAGAAAAAAGAGTCGTTAAAGAAGAGGGAATCAGCTACTGCCACGCGAGGGAATACGCCGGACCTAAAATCAAAATCTCCACAAGAGTCGGTGCCGATCAGATACAACTACCTCAACCCCAAGCCGAGTGATTTCGAGCCTCCAAGGGAGACATGGTTTGCGTCAGTCGAGCCAACGCCGGTTTTCACGCCAGATGGCCGCGTGGAACTTTTGAGACCTATGGACCAGTAAGTTGGCGGCCTTACGGAATGCTTCTCAGACGACTAACCGCCAGCAGTGCCCAAAATGTCCGAGGCTTTAGATATCAACACTGTATTGCCGACCCTCTTTTCCATCACAAGCACTTCTTTCGAACTACCGACACAGTGCCTTACGGTCCGCGAATAAATTTCGAGGACAGTGATAAATGGCTACGGTTCGACCGATCCGGCACATACATCACCAACGACAAAGGTTGGAGGTCATGTCGGGCGAATGTCTGCGCAAGAGAAGGAAGGTACTATTATGAAGTCAAGATCATCAAAGGCATCCCCGCAGAAGATGCGGCGTTGCCAAAAGGTACCACAGGCCCACAGCCGCATATTCGCGTAGGGTTTTCAAGAAGAGAAGCATCATTGGATTGCCCCGTTGGGTTTGATGGTTATAGCTATGGGATCCGCGACGTCGGTATGGACACCATGCATCGGTCGAGAGCGGGAAGAATCTCGAATTTAGACCCGAAATCGAAGGCCAAATCGAAGACCGCAAAGCAAACCCAAACATCTGCAACGCCCCTGGAATCATCGGACCTTTCGGGAGGAGATGTTTTAGGCGTGGAGATCTCCCTTCCCTCTCTTCGTTTGCACCGCGCTGTTGTTAGCAATGAATACAATCCGGCCGTTGACGTTGATGATGGCTTCGGTGACTCCGGATCAAACCCGCACGATACCCCATCCTTCCCGCTTGAACACAACATCTTACGAGACCGCATCCCCATATCTTTCCGAGGAACCACGTATTTCGAAACCCATGACTATCAACCTACCAAACCAATGGAGGCGTACGCATCACGATCTCCGTCTGATACACTGTCGCAACTTCCGAACCCCGCACACGACGAACCCTCTCTTCGCACGCTTCCTAGCAGCTATATCCGCATCTTTAAAAATGGACAACTGATGGGGACGGGATGGGAAAATCTGATGGCTTTCCTCCCCCCAGCAAGCGCTCCCGCAGACCGCGCGCTTGGGATGCAGCTACGAGCGGTGGACGACGGCGCCGCAGGCTACTATCCATCAATCTCGGTCTTTTCAGGAGGCATTGCTCAGGTTAACTTTGGACCAGACTTCTGGTATCCGCCTCCAGAATTGGTTCCGGATAATGACGACGCGGACAGGATGGAGGTCGACGAGGCCCCACAGAGCGCCGGCGGTGTATCCGGGTCATCTCCATCGACGACCAATCCTACGACCTTGAAGGGGTTCAATGTGAGGTATAAAGAACAGATTGCGGAGGACTTGATGTGGGATTTGATTGACGAGGCGACTTTCTTCGTCATGGATGGCGGATTCGACTACGAACAGAACGGTCTATCTCGGGGCTCGGGTCCTGCTGTCGGAATGCGGATGCTAGATGATTAGTCCTCGACAGTGTCGGCACCAATTATTAACTGATCAAGAAGGGGATTGTTGAGCATCCAGAACAGAAAATAATTAACGTCACCTGTGACACCCCGCTGCCAGCCCAGGCCCTGACCAATCCAACCGGGCACGACTTGTGTTCTCCATTTCCAGGTATCGAGCGCCTTTGCCTTGGCTTTGTTGTCCACCCTAATCCTTTTCATGGCGTTTTCTTGTGTAGCCTCGACACACGGCGGATTTGATGAAGCCAATTTTTACGGAATGCGTCCTAGAAAGAATGCCGACGAGAGAAAAACCTGGGGAACTTACCGCCTCGATTTCGACCTACCTATGGGGTCTGAAAACTGGACGTGCAATGATAGGCTGACTGGCAGCTGCACTCCCCCTTGGTCCTTTGGCCCTCGTCATCACCTGGCTTGTAAACTACCGTAAGTATCCATTAATAGAAAAAGAGAGATTTTCACAACCCATTTGCCTCAAAGTCGCTTTTATAATACCACTCTTGGTTGTGGCTCTGATGCTATCGTTGTCACGACAATCTGATACCGCTGTTTTACCCCCTCTTGGTGATTTTTCGCTCCTGTTCTTTCTCTCCGAGTCCCATGTCCACTGATTTGGTTCTGCTTAGTTGCTCTATTGCAAATCCCCGGACAGTCTTCATGCGCTTTCATTGGTGGTTCTTGTTCAGGGCTGACATTCTTTGCATGCAAGCGTGCTGGATTCTTTTGGAGATTCAATGAGCATTAAGCAGTGCTTAACTTTGGAAGTTTGGGCTAAGAAACGCCCAGTACCATATCTAGCTATTCCGGAAAACTGGCCTCTAAAAACGGCTGACAGGAACAATCTGGCGTCCTTCATTTCTGCAGCCCCTAACACTTCCATCCCCGCGCTTACACTCGGCACACTTCTTGTGCCTAGCTCCCGCCTGTGAATAAACCTGGTATCTCTCGCCATTTTTCAGGCAACGGCGTCAATGCTAGGTAGAGGGCGTCGGAACCAAATACTCCAACATAGGAGTTGTGGAACGCGCGAAAGCAGACTACAGACTACCAGTTTTAAAGTCTCTTTCTGGTCGCTAATAAACACACGTGGTTGTAGTTTTTCTATCTTAAGGAGGAAGTTTGAGATTGCCTAATGGTTGTCTGCCTGCGTCTCGTTGCTAAGGAAGCAGAAACCTGCAGAGAAGAAGGTCTATAGATTGGTACAGCCGAGTATATGCAACAGTGGAAGTTTATATTTATTGGCTCTATACCTACAGTCCATCAATAGGACATCGGGATTCGCAAGCAGCAGCTCCATCTGCTTCTAGTAGACAAAGAAGAGACTTTATACACGATTGTCCGCATCTTTCTTGATAGCGAAAGCCCCTCCTAGCGAGGAAAGTTCATCTAGCAATGTCTCGGCCGAATTTCTCCCATTTAAATGCTTCTCTCTAATTGCCTTTCTCTCGCCACGAATATCATTGATGTAATTACATCTTTCTAAGCTGGTGTACGTCTACAATAAACATTATGTGCACTCGGGTCGAGTGATCGAGAGTGGTTATAATGCTTATGTTGAACCTCTAGCTTCCACTGGTCGTTATCCTCTTATTGCTTTGTCTTGAAGATAGCAAGCTTAAAAGGTCATTCTATTGCACTCGTTCTCGTGCTCAAATTCCTTGCTCTTGACCGATACTTTCTGAGTCGATCACACTGGTAGTAATATCGTGTCTTGACATCAGAATTGTGAGGTTTGCTCTGCTTGAGTACGAAGCCGTAGCCATGCTACATACCATGGATCCTAAGAGCATTATAGGCTTGATGAAACCATTAGTTTCCACCATTAATAGCGCGGGGGACGAATCCCAAAAATCGGGGGACAATTCTCAGCAAGTACCATCCGGGATAAGCCGCTGGCGAAAGAATTAGGAAGATACATTAGGTTTGCATAGCTAGTAACTTATAGAAGGCTAGAACATAGCCAAAATCAAGATCGGACGGTAGAAGCTTTAGATTCCTTCTTCAATTTTCCAATGCACCCTTGGTAGTAAAGCTGAATTGCGGTACTATAACTGTGTATAGATTTGCAGCTAGTTCCTTGTGACTGGATGAGCAGGGCCATTTGTGCCTAAAGCAAGCGGAGCTGCGGAGGTAACATCCTCGCGGGCGACAGCTGGTGTCACAGGAAAATTACCTTAGCTATATCTGCCCTTCTACTAGCCTCCTAGTAGGGGCGTCCCTTTTTGGGGATTTAGCTTAGTTGGTTACATTTGACAGCTGGCGGTTCCAAAATCTGGCGGTTGCAAAATGTGAGAGAACGCTTGGCGTAGAAGACACGAAACGCGCTCAATGCATGATACTTCCTCCTAGGTTGGTCACCACAAGCTATTGCAGCGGAAATCGGCCTAGGGGTTTCTATTATCTACCGCTATCGTGCACATCTTATTAGATATAGCCCTCTTCGTGCTTAATACCGCCGGAAACGGGGCCATCCTTGTTCATTATCGCAAGCAGACGAAGACGCGCTCTTCGAGAAGCTACTCTAGGAAGGGTAGCTATATCTTAATAAACTTATATTCTGGTTAGATATGGAAAGGGGCGTACACATTAGTGAGTCTACGGTATGTCGCGTGATTAATCGGAGACACTGGTCACAAAAAATTACGAAGTAGATCTCGCGGAACCAGTCCTAAGAGATGCGGGAAGCGTATTAGGCAGAACTTCGTCAGTTTAACACCGATGATACGGTCTTTCTTGACGAGTCGATATTAAATGAGAAGACAGGCTGGAGATACCGTTATTATTCGCCCATTGGGTCTGAATCCCGCGGTTTCAGGCGCATAGATCGGGCAAGACTTGGGCTGCTATCGAGGTATATACGATCAGAGGCTTAATTGCCTATGGTGTACGCCAAGGCTACTACAGTCGAGAGCATTTGATTGAGTGGCTACAGGACGCCCTGCTTCCGTCTTTGGCTAGAGACTCTCCTCGTCCACGTGTTATCATACTTAATAACTGTTCGACGCATGTTTCAGAGGATGTTATAAGGCTTCTCGAGGAAGCAGGATGTCTTGTACGTTTTACGCCGCCCTACTCTCTAGACTACAACCCCATCGAGATGGTCGGGTCAGTCCTTAAAGCTTGGATCAGACGTAATCACGTCTATACGCGCCATCTATGTGGCAACTTTGGCGAGTTCCTCAACTTTGCTATTACGCGCAGTCAATGTGATCCTTTTGAGCTTAAGCATTTTGAAAACGTAGACCATGGGATCTATATCTCTGACCAGCGATATAATGAGCTTCGTGTACAACTCCGTGGGTTTGAAAATGGGAGGATAGGTCATCCGGCTAGTTAGTACGCGAACAGTAACAACAATCTTCTCGTATCTCCAGTTTTCGTCCTTTAGAGGGCTACCTAGGTTCACTGGTACCTCGTCCTCTACGACTGTGATCTCAAAATTGTTACGCCTCATTGTATCCAGGGTGGCATCGTAGTGGCGCCTGCCGTTAACATGGACTCGAAGCTGGATACGAATCTTGTAATCGGGAATCCTTTCGGCGTGAAACGTGTCTATGGCGGTATAAAGCTGTTGCCGTGCAGTTGGCTGCGTAGGAGAGTTCCTGGTCCCAGGATATGGCTCATCGTGAAGGAATGGAAGGCTCAAAACGGTCTGAAACACTACTTCAATTGCGCCTCATCTCCTGATCTCGCGATCATCGAGAACTGTTTCCAAGCGATGAAGCAACACGTACGTAAATATACCCATTGGGACCCCGACGAGACGCAATAGCTTCTAAAAGAGGGATGGGACGGTATTAAGCAGGAATGTATCAATTCCCGCGTTGATTCTATGCCTGAAAGGCTTCAGGCCGTTATAGACGTAGAGGGACAGCTGATTGGAGATTTTAAGGCGAAAACTTAGAATCTATTAGATATAGAATTTTTAAGCGTTCCAAATAGCATCATTTATATTTAACAGTGTTTGAACGGATGTTGGTTGAGATATTTGCGTTGAAACTATCAATATATGCCGTTTTGTATGGTGATGCGGACCCTGTCAAAGTGGTGGGACGCGAAATCTGTCGCCCGCGAGCATCAAACTGGGAGAATCGACTTATATTGCAAGACTGGAAACTGGAAATACCCAATATATAATCGTGTTCGATCTGAGTCGTAGATCGAAAACTAACCAAAGCTAAATATGTTTCAAGAATTCAGGTGGTGGACAACGCAAATATGACATGAAGTTGAACGATTTCCATGAACTTGGGGCTAACTGACGCTATCCATACTCGGATGGGATGCCTGCAATATCCGGTTCGGCCCGTCCCGTTCACTGGCCAGAATCCGCCTTATGCAATTTTAACTTCAACTATAGTTAGTTACTGCAACAGCCTCTTCGTCAATTGCCTACCGACAACCCCTTCGCCTACATGAATTGATAACATTCAAACCACCCGACTACAGGGGCTCCACAATGCATGCCAGGAGCTGGAGCTGAAGCTGAAGCGTACGCGCCTCCACCCACTCGACAGGCGCTTGTTGTCACAGAATATCTGTGTTTTAAGAATCTAGAAATGAGGCGATTGCAAATACGATAGGAAGTGGTTTTGTACTCCGATAACATTATAGCGTTTACGGTATGCCTGGGAATTGATATTTCATAATTGCAGTGGTAGACCTGCAACCGGCTCGTGGCCATGCGATGCCGAGCGTCCATCATCGCCCTTCATCGGTGAAATATACACGATGAACCGATCATGGATGCTCGGCATCGCATGGCCACGACCGGAATCTGCAAAGGGCATACTTCCACCCGTATTGCTGGTGTGTATATACCTTACACTCGCACCCGTCTGCCACGAATTGGAGTGCTACGCTTTTGTAGGCTTTGGCTGCGAGTTTCTCGCCACTGGAGCAACTGAGTTAGTACGATAGGTAGCGTTAGGAGCAGGGGTGTTTACCTTGCCCTGCGTTAACTAACTTAGGCAATTATATTTTATTACATGATTCGAAGCTCGTTGAAGAGATGATGATCAAGTTAGACCCGATTCAGAGGCTAAAAAGCAATTGAGGATAAACCAAGTTAAAGAATACAGGAATTGGCCAATTATAAACAGGATCGGAGCTACTTTTGATACTCTAACAAAATAGTGCGAACTGCAGTTACGGTTGGATGCATTATGCATCATAATTCAATACCCATTTAAACATTAATATTTTTAAATATGCGGTATTTTGGTAAGGCCCGCGGGACGGGCCGAGCTGAGCCGTTTGGATTCCCTGTCTCCCCTCCTTTACTCTTCGTCGTCCTTCCTTCATGAGATACGCGAGAAACCGGTCACGGCCGCTCGGCATCGCATGGCCATGGCCGGAACCTGTAGCGCGTATACTTCCACCCATGCTGTCCATCTGCATACACCTTGTACGCTCGACCATCGGACACGCATTTCGAGCAAGGCTTCGTAACCAGAACGCCAGTGGCCCACGCACCATGGGCGTGGTGAACGTGGCTCTGCCAGCCACAAGACTATTGGCTCCATGCTGTCAACGATGTTTCATAAGGACCAGAGGTGGAGCGAACCAACTCTTGCCCTCCGTAGTCCCCAGACCTCCGTTGTTGCTATACGGGTGGTGATTTCTTTGGCACTGCTCGAGCATTTCCCGTCGTGGTTATACTTGAGCCGGCTCCGTCTGCGGAAACAATGTTGTTCTTGCTGTTAGGCCGTCCCCTAGCTTCGTTGGCGACGTTGGCAGTTGAGACTTGATCGACTACGTTTTTACTTCGGGGAACCGGTCCGGGGATTAATTGTCTGGACCATCGTCGTTTTCGCTCCACGATATTGGCCGCTTAAACACGGGGGGTTAGATCCTGTAGTCCTCGTTGTTTCGGGCCCTGGGTCCGTCGTGGCCTTCCCGCAATGTCCGCCATCTCAGCTGCATTAACGATCAGCATATTATTAACTGAGGCTTAAGCAGGGAGGCTGTTACCTTCATCATTATCCAAATCCCATAGCCATGGGGCGGCAGTGATAAGGCGAATTTTGGTCCGTATTTTGGTCAGGGAATGCTCATAAGCTGCCATGATGTATGTAGTAAAGTGGTCGAGTGTTTGTCAAAGAATCAAAGTTGATAAGAGGAAAGGTTGAGGGAGAGAGAAGCAATATAGAAGTGGTGACTTGATCTTTTGCAGTATTGCACTCAGATTTGTGATTGAATGGAAGAGTTCAGAGAGTAGGAGAAATTAAAAGGCAATAACAGACGTGGGCGATACCGATAAGAATTCATAACACAGGTGAATCTACTGGTGAACTTACCTACTGTTTCCTACCTAGCCCCAATTGACGATCACGGGGCAAATCGATAGATTCGGGCGAATTAGCTATCACATGGACGAATTCCAAACTGCCAAAATGTTTCTTGAGTTCCATCACAAGGCTGCCGAGACGGATATACAAGGATATTAGCCTCTGGACTCTTACTACATAGCAAGCAAGACATCTAAGTTCGCCACCAGTTGCGGCTGGTGAAGAGACATGCTGGTCTTCACGTACAGCTCCTGACTACATTCTCATCTGGTTATAGTGTACATATGGTTCATTATATTTTCTGTTCGGTGTCGTAAAAGGAGTGGCGTTCCGACTGACTCGGACTGATCTTTGGCGATGTATTAGCATTGAAAGATATTAATGAAACGGGTTCCATTACCCGATGCTGGTCACTAACCTTTATATCGTATCTCCCCAATCTGCAGATCACAACTTTTCTTGACTTAGGCAGTTGCTAAATATCTCAGGGGTATATCAAGGTAGAAAGTGGTAGAGCAGTGTCCAGTGCGTCTTGCGTATCATTGAATTTATACAAAGCAGCAGGCCACAGATCAAAGACATGGCATTCTAAAAGTGGGAAGTTAAGGCCATTAGATTCGGTACTAAGCACGATTAGGTTGTAGTGAATGTTGAAAATGGATCCTTCAATGGGTCTTGGACAATGAGAACACAAGCTAGTAGAAAGGGTGATGATGATGTTCTAGATCGATTGTAGTCAAAGAAGGTTTCATAAGTTCCAAGGTCGAAGTGCAAGTGCTTCAGGCAAAATACTGCGTCTGTTGCAGCAGATATTCCTACGATCTTGCAGAATTCGACTGACGCTAGAACCTGGAGGAGGTGTAAAGAAGGTACACACGTGACACCCTATTCTTGGTATTCAAGGAGTTGTAAGATAAATAGTTCGAAAAAAAGTGCATGGTTGCCCGAATGCATCTTGACCATCTGTTGCCGTTGCCGCCCTCGTTCTTAGACAATGCCTCCCGGTATGCTCATGTCACAATATGCCGAACGCCTTTAAAAACCCAAGGTAACCCTCTATAGGCGACAAATCTACTACCCAAAGAATCAGACTCCTCGAAGTCAGTCAACCGCCAATTTCCCCTGCCTGGCGGAGAAATGTAGGAAAGAAAGGGTTGAGAAGGATGTGGTATGAGCCTTTTAATGTTGCAGAAATCGCTTTCCAAGTAGAAGTTTGCTCTTGCGGCGAGTGCTGGATGACGGGTCAGAATTGTTTGATTTCCTGAGGAGACAGGATGGAATGCCGTGATTGTCAACTAACCTTGCTGAATCATCCCCGGAATTGTCTTTGGATTTACCACCTAGGCCGGTGAGTCGCTTCGCAAGTGAGCTGTGGACACTTGGTGGTCTCCTGGATGACTGATTGAGTTAGCAATTGAAGACATTTATGAATTGGGTTCGATTTACCTCATCGTCTATTCCATTTGAACCAGTAGCAACCGATTGCTCTGCCGTCACAAAATCGTGTTGAACCACTGGTGACCCTCTTGCTACCGGAGCTGTGGATGAGGAGTGAACGCTGGAAGCTAAAGAGTCCTCTTCGTTGCGATTGCTCTCTCCAGCCTGACTTTCACTGTAGCTATCGTCGGTGTCTCCGGCAAGGACATCAGAAAGGTCTCTGGTGCTAGTTGTTTCACTTGTTGCTTCACTTCGAGAAGGTGTCATGCTCAGGAGGGTGGTCGAATTCGCAATTTCCTTCAAGCGACCACCTGGGATGCCCGGCGTCTTATGTCGAGAGAACTTGTTTCCGACAATAGCGCCAACGTGCGAGATGAGCGCTCGACGGACTTCCCTCTTGAGCTGCATAGCAAGGTCGTAGTTGGACCAGGTCTTATTGCGGTATTCCAACGTAGGAAGTCGGAAGACAAGGTTGTGGACATCTTCGAAATTGCGTTGACCTTTGCCTTTGTAGGATAGACAAAGGACAACGCTCGGGATTTTGACATATGCGAGGGTCATGTAGTTGGATGCTCTCTTCATCATCTGGGTGATGTCGTCTGGACGTGAAGTTTTGGCGGTCGAGCGAGTACCGCCCGTCGGAGAACGATGCAAACCAAACCGCTTGCCTCGGTCCGGACGCTCGGTTAATTGGGTAGAAGATCTTTCGGAGCCATCTGGATGGCTGGGAGGGCGGGAAAGTTGCGATAGACTATCTGAGGAGAAGTCGCGGCTCGGAAGTATCGGCGTCTTGTTCCCAGCGGCATCGGATGAGTTGAACAAGTGCAGATGATACAGGTGACGGCTCTTGGGTTTACCGGATGACTTTTGTCTTCTGCTCGGGAGATCCAGTGTAGGCTGAAGGCGCAGTTCAAAGTCCTCGGTGCCTGTGTGGTGGCTAATGTCACTCCCAATCCCAGTAGATACCTCATCATCAACCTGGCCGGCGTCAACTTTCTCATCTTCTTCCTCCTGAGCGGGAAGCATATTTTTGACGAGAAATGGGGAGAAGCTGCCGTTTTCAAAAGCGTTAGGTCCAGCTTGCGGGAAGATGTACTCAAAGAGTTTTATTCCGACGTCCTTTTCAAGCTGCAGCTTGATGGGATGAATGTTCACCTCGAAGTTGTTCATCACTGGTATGCCGCCAATCGCTTCAAGCATATACCAATGGACACGGATCATCTTTGCCTCCCGAGAATCCGGAATACCCTTTGCGTCGTCAGAGTACGGACCGATGATTTCCGGATAGAGCGCATTGGATAGGAGATTGTATCCTCGAATTTGTGCAATCTCCATCGTATTGCGGTTGGATCCGTCGCTCTGATCCACACGATCAAAGCAAGCGCCTTGCAACTGAAGCTCAGCAAGTGACTCATCCTTACCCCTTATCAGATGCCACTTGATCTCAGAGGCAGAGATGAGCCAACGCAACATGCCCGTCGTATCCATCGCCGACCCCTTCTCTTCGTACTTTCGCTGAGCCGTCGTGATCGCCTTCATCATGAAGAACAGGTCGTCTTCGGCGACGCTCAAGTCATGTTCAACCGCAATTCGGCCTTTCCAGCCTTGGGCATCAAGATACCTCTCGCGGACTTGGAACACTAGCTTTATCTCTTCCAGCTGGCGGATCCTCTCCTGAAGCATTTCTACCATCTCAGGCGTCCCGGACAGATCGCTGAAGTCTGAAGCCAGCATGATCTTCTCGAGTCGTTCATTTCTTGTCTTCTCCAACGGCTCGCTGTATAATAGCAAATCTAAGATGATGACGTAGAGTGCGTAATATTGCGTAGAATCGCAGGTGACACGAAGATGAGGGAATTCCACCCAGATGTGGTCCATCCGCCTCTCTCCTTTCTCCGCTTCCGGCAGAGGCTGGTCATCGTTTCCAGTTGTGACGTCATCGTTATACTTGAGACGGAGGTTGTTATACTTGTCATAGCGCATGGTCACCGACGTTCGCTGAATAACTCTCGAAAATCCGAATGGATCGATGCTGAACTCAAACATGACTTCGAGAGGCACCCAAGGTGGCCATGCACTACCTGCGGGGGCGCCGTATCTGCTCCCAGAGTACATGTGCAACAGGTTCCGCGGAAACGTTTTTGAGTTCGTGACGAAGATTTGCACGCTGTCTGTGGCTAGAGTAAACCGTCTTTGGACCAGTCCACTAACATCGTCCGTCATTCTGTCCTTGTCCATGATTTGGATAACCTTCATCTGCATCCCTTTAGCTGTAACAAGGACGGCAGACTTGGGGTTTTTATCGCTTTGCAATTGAATTTGAGGGGCGATGAGACGGACGTGGTAGGAGTTTTGCGCAGTGAAGTCGAGAGATATGTCTTCACCAGCATCGGCGGTCCGGTTAATCCCAGACCCATCTTTTTCATCGGGGTCGTCCGCCGTGACAAATTGTCTTGCATCATCAAGCAACTCCTGGATTCGACCCTGGATATTGGTCTCATCATCTTTTTGTGGTGTGACAGGAGCCGTTGTGGGGGTGGCAAGGGCCTCTTCAACATCTGGATGCTCGGTCTTCAGCTTGTTTTGTTCGTCCACGATGTCGAGTATGAATTTGACTGCTCTGCGGCTCATGTAATACACGAACCCGCGCCGTTGACTGGCCTCATGGATATAGCGCATGATGATGTTGCGCAGCGAATTGTTCCACTTGACTTGGGAATTGTGTACGATGAATCGATTGTTAGAATCACTCAGGTAATCCGCAAGCGGTGCAGACGCCATAGCCTCTGTTTCTGCGTCAGGGTCCTCACTCTGTTCATTAGCCTCGAAGAAGATGTCATCCGCAGCCTCAGGATCTTTAGCCATGAACTCGGCATCTTTTTCCAGCCGCTCGACGAGTGTCTTCAACATCGCTTGGAGAAACGCCTTCTTTTTGCGAAGAGTATTGTCATGATCTTGGAGGACGCCGAATTGCTCTTGCAGTGGGCCGGCGTCGGAATCTACGCTTTTGACTAGATTTAGCTCGTGCTCTCCGAGCGTCCTTCGGTGTCGCATGATTTGCTCGTCGATCTGCTCTAACCGGGCTTGAATGAGATCACATTGAACTCGGCGGGGATCATTTCGGGCCGACATCACACAGTAGTGCGTATCTTCATAACCAAAGGGACTGGATCGATTCGGATCTCCGGAAATCGTCTCATTGTGGTCTGTCTGTCGGAAGTAGGTGAATCGAGGCGCAAAAGCTAATGGGAGAATCTTCGTTTCTGGATTCGACTGAGTCGGGATGGCCCAGTCCATTTCGCGGAAATCGTCCATATCAACCCATCTCAAGTCATTGTCCGGAATTGTGAACTTGGAAAGATCAATAGGAGTTTCCGAGCTTAGCCGGCCGGGGTAATCGTCTTCTGTAACGTGGAGATCATTGATGCCTGGAGTAGTCATCGTTGCAGATACAGCCCGAATATCGGCTGCCATGAAGTCAACCTGGGCCTGGTTGATGCGGATTGCAGTCGTTTTGGACAGCTTCCCTTGGACCATTTTCCTAAACTCCTCTCGTCGTTGATGAAGATCCAACATGAAACTGTCGATTTTGACCTTCAACCCCGTAGCATTGACCTGGCCCCCTGCATTTCCTTCACTGTGCGTGTAAATGTGACTCATATACAAAGGACTCAGAAGGAGGTTATACTTGATTGTGGCAAGATGGCGCCCAAATTTCTTGCTTGGCTTGACTGGCGCGTTTGGCCAGAGTTTGCCCTGCCGGACCGGGAGAGAAAGCACACCGGAGAACATAGACCACCAACTGAAAAAGTGACTGAAAAATCTAGGAGTCAAATGCACACTATTGTAGTTGTTTGACGCCTTCAGGTTCGTCACCGTCCAGTCCCGATCTATCGGAGCGGCAACGGCGATGGACATGTGGATGTGGTGGCTCCTAAATCCCCGGTACGCATCGTAATTCAGTCCGTCTCGACTCTTCGCATACTTTGGGTGCTTCAATACAACGTCGTAGTGATGTTTGAAATCAAAAGACCGTCCGCCATGGGGCAAATTCCGCTCGAAGACAAGACCGAGCAACCAGCGAACGCTCCCAGTCAATTTCATCACGGTCTTTTGGAAAATGGGACCGGGTTTCTTTGGATCGGAGCTGATAGGGATGGAACCATCCTGTCCCGTGATCGTATGATCTTGCGTGTGTCGAACGTATGCGCTGAAATCCGGAACGGCCAGAACGAACACTCCAGATTCCACGATCATGAATCTCCTGGGATCGTTTTCTTGCCAGATGCGCCAGGCTACGTCATTCTGCCAGCACAGAGCGAAACCGGCTCCGACCCCCGTGACTAGATAAGGATCCCTGGAGCCTTTCAAAATGAGGTGAACGTCACCATCACCCTTCCAACTGACGAGGAGCCGAGAATGAAAACAGAGGCTCAGCTTATCCCAGAATCCCACGCGCTCAGATGGGTCGAGAGCTGGTTTAGTGAAGCCTTCAATGATTTGCATCATGTCCTGCATCGCTGGCTGATAGCTCGTGCCCCAAGCAATTCGTGTTGAGCCGCTCGTATTGATGTCGATCGAGATGTCGGAGAATGTTTTGACAGGACTGACAGTCCGAGGCACAATGACGGAGAACCCGCCGGTTTGCTCGTCATCAGGCCCAGTTTCGGGTGGAACAACGACGACGTCCACCATTCGCTTCGATTCGATATCTCTGAACTCTTCTGCGATCACAAAGTCTGTCTTCAGTGATAAGCTTGGCAGTCTTGGGCTTTGACCCGGTCGAATTGCAGGAATATGAACCAAAGGAAGGGGGTAGTCTCGTAACGTCATCCTGGTCTCTCCCATGCTGATATGAACGTTCATTGGAATAAGGATGCTGTACTTCATGTCTCTTGGCATGCCTTTTCCAATCCGGTTCAAAAAGCTTGGGAAATCATTAATCGGAAAGCTTGGCTTGTCGACTAGAAAGTTGAAGTCCGATATCTGGATTGTGGCGAGAGCAGGCCGCTGTGGAATGGACATGATACACTCCCGTTGGTCCGAGTCTTCGTGGCCTTCATCAATGCCCCAGAACATGGCACGAATGTCCTTCATGCCACGATTCTGGTATTTTAAGCCCAGATCGATTCTTGTTTTCCAGCTCCGAGCGTTCAGCAATTGAAGCGCCTCCCAGGACTGGTCGACCGTACGCTTGGCACTATCGCTAAGCCCACAAGCGCCTTCAGCTTCGTATCTTATGACGTTGGGTCCACCTATGGAAGGGCTCCGTTGTCGGCCACGTGGGCCTTCGCTTTTGCTCCTTTCATGTGTATCTGGCTTAACCTCATCGAGGCTGCCTCTTTCTGGTCTCGACTTGCGATCGTGAGTACTCTTTGCTCGGTGCTTGGCCCCGAATTTCTTGTCTGCCTCTTTCAGTTTCTTGACTTTGATCCGGAATGCCTCTTCGCGGGTGGATCTTTGCTTCTGCTCTAGGAGTCCCATCTTATATATGACTCCGAGCTTCCATTCGAATGGGCTATCCTCAATCTCTCCTAACAAGGCTTGGGTCCGGATGTTGATTCGAGGCACTTTCTTCGGTGCCTGGGGAGGCTTGTTCAAAATATACTCGTCAGAATGTGTCGTGAACCGATGGTGAAGTTGTTGGACGGTTTTCGTGACGTTGACCAAGTTATCAAAGATTTTATGAACAACAAGTCCATGCGGAACAGCTACTCTGATGGCTTCCGCAGCAACATCGATACTGTTCTCATCAGTGTAGACGCCATTTGCGGACTTTTTGCGGGCTGATCGGAGGTCTACTCGTCCACTTTTGATAGTGATGAGCCTACTCCAAACATTTTTCAACCCTGGAGTTTCGGCATACAATCTCGCAAATCGAAGCCTTGCAAATGGCGCGGACCATCGGTGCCATCCTGTCTCCAATGAAAATATCTGCATCATCAAAGGAGGATCCGCGGGCATCGAAGCCTTGATCTGAATGAATGCAGCTCGGAAATCCAGAGTCACGGTCTCTGTCAACCCCATGAAGGCATCGGGGGCTGTAGAGGATTCGTCTGGAGAGCGGGGGTATGACGGCGAGCTAGATATTCCAGATGACTTCTCGGAAACAGGGAAGAGGAACTCGGATTTCGGCGAAGTAGGAGAGGGGGCGGTTGGAGAGAGAGGGAATGACGAGCTTCGGGAGAAAACGCTGCGAGAGCGTCCGGATTGATTAGATAACGGGCCGATGAACGTCCGCAGCAATACCATAGTCGCAAGATCCACGGCGAAATGGCGATACAGTGAGTAGTTAATGTAGAGCGCTCGTGTGAAGGAATTGATGTGCAGGATCGGTCCTTTCCCATCTGTGGAGGTTGAGAAAGCGACCTCAAAGCGAGGAAGCGTCAAAAATGGAGTCGGTTCCCACATCTCTGAGGACTCGATAACAAACGCATCGAGGCCGTGCAAGTGTATAGCAAGTCTTCGACCATCGCTTGAGCGTAGATTACGTTTGCGGGGACTTCGGGGCGTTGAAGGCCGGAGCAGGATGTCTTCCGGGTTGACGGTACGAGAACTTCCTCGCTTTCTGACTATCCGAGCGGATAGTTCATCAGCCTTGTTCGCTTTGTATTCGGCATACCAACTTTCGAGGTGAATCGCAACACCTTTAGCGTTGGAGCTGATCTCGGGGTCAATGCCAGCGATCTCAATATTGAAATCAGAGCCCTGAAATTGAGCATTCATCAACCAAGAAGGGACGCTTCGGAGAAGACTCGGAGTAGGTTCGTTTAGAGATGCTCGCGGTGCTCGTAGGAAGCGATCATTCTGAATTTGAGAAACAATCTGGCGGACGCCTTCACTAATTTCCGGACGAACCATATGCACACTGAAGGTTTGAGCGTTGAAACTTGCTATCACCGCGACATCCGGGCTGGCACTGATTTGTACCTTGGCCTCGAGACTATCGGTAGTCAGTAGACTGTGTTTCTCCCCTTCCGAAGTTTGGTAGTAGAGTTGGTGTGAGGAGATTCGGGAATTCGACGATAAGGAATAATGAAGGTCTCCAGCTGCGGAATGTGAAGAGTCGACATCAAGGGAGACAGAAGACATAGCGCTGATTAGAAGATCATATTGATCAGTGCCACGCAAGGCTGCATCCATTGGCGGCAGCGTTATACGGACAACCGGTTCGTGGATAGAAATTTTGATGTTGGCCTTGGGTAGCAACCTTGAGATGATGTGCCTCTGGCGCTTCGCAGGTGCCGAAGTAAATTTTGTCCTCTTCTGATATTTCATCAGAGCGATGATCAGAGGCAAATGTTTCGGATCTAAATCGATCGATGGGGAAGTAATGACAAGGTTCGCAAACAAGATGTTGGTGTTACGTTCCGCGAAAGTCTTCTCCTCCGAGCCTTGGATGGTCTTCGATGGCAAGGTAGTCCGTACGGTTGCTGTGGCCATCGGTACATAGAGCAATCGTTCGGGATGATCGTTCCCGTCGTCGATGCCAACCGAGATCGAGATCGCCGCAATGAGAGCTTGGTGCGCAATGTCGGAGGGTGAGAAGTACATGAGATGCGCCGGACTCTTGGGATCGAGTCTCATCAGGTCTAATCCAAGCTCTTTCATGGACATGTCTAGGAAGACGGGCGCACCGGACGATTGAACAGACCGGATCCTCTTTGTCAATCCAAAGAATGTGGTGGCAAATTGGATCTCCTGGATGCCTCTGAGTATGGAGGACACAAATTCCTTAGAGTCAGATACTGTCTGGGAAATAGAGGTTTCTTTGCTGCCAGGGGCATCAAACTCTTCCATCAAATCCGTAAAGGTAATGTCGCTCTGGCTGTCCTTCAGGTCAAAGCTACCATATGCTCGTCGACAATGCTTAACTCGTTCCGACATGGTCCGCACATCGTCGTATGGTATGGTGACTCTCCCAAGTTTGAGCCCAATCGATGCATCTCGTAGTCCATCGAGATGCTGGTAAAGAAATCCATGGATGTTCAGATTGCAGTTATCCAGGATCTCGGTACTTTCTTTACCCTCAGGCGTGAGGAGTACGCTTCGAAGATTCATAATCCACTCGGCAGGTTTCTTTCCAGCAGATCGGGTCCTTCGATTTTGATAAAGCCGAGCGCGGTCCACGGTCTTCCGGCGTGTGTCCACAGCCAAAGTGAAGTACGCCATCTGAATTGTCCCAACATCTTCGATAACCACCATGGAGTCTGTCGCGACCAGATCGAACATTCTAATCCAATGGATTTTTCGATGCATCCGCTTTATTCGCTCTTTCCATTCTGTCAGTCTCTTCCAAAGTCGACTCCGCTCCTCCTCTTCACTCTCTTCCTCCGGTTCCGGGGATTGTCGGCCTGGTAATGGAGAGTTTGGACGAGATTCGTCATCATCACCGTCGTCCGTAGATCGTAGTAATGCGCCGTTTCCTCTCCACACTCCCCATCGACTCCGGCCTTTCTTGTTTTTGCTCTTGCCCAGTGTCCGCAGGTCAATAAGAACCTTCAACTCCGTGAATTTTATACTGATCCATGTAGGTTGTGCAAATGTGGGGCGATGAATCGCGAACCCTATGCCCCGAATCTCTATCCGCACCCCCTCTTTCGGATTGAAAGCGACGCGCCGGAAGCCCGAGAAGCCTAGTCGTTGTATCGATATGCCCGTAACGATCCGTAAAAGTGCAAAGAGCACAAAGGTACCCAGGTACGCTAGGATGGCGATACCAAGGAGGAATGAGGGTGTTGGAATTGCCATTGTTGGGTCGTCGCTAGGGATGAACTATGGTTCTTGAGTGCCCTTCATGGTGGATATCGGCCGGGGAATCGAATAATCTGGATGGGAGACAAAGGTCGGATGCGCCGCGCCGAGTGGTCACGGCGAGCGTGTAATCCTCCACCGGAAGTTCCACCATTCCCCTTCAAGGCTTGTGTTGCAGGTGGGTCTTCAGCACCATTCGACGATGCTGGGGAGAAGTATCACGTCTTGACCTGGTTCAGGTCCCAACTAACGATACGCGACAAGGGGGTCTTCATATAACAAGGTCCCCAAGGAGAGGTATGTCGAAGGAATTGGTTTAGAGAGAGTGAAGGTCAAGGCTTCCGCGAATGACTGTGGTATTCGCAAACCGAAGCCGACCGGACATCAGATTGTTGAATGGTTCGGAGGAGCTGATGATATCCGTCAGGCATCATTCTTGAAATCTCACTGATGCCCCAGGCATTCATTCCTCCGCTGGCTCAAGCTCTGCGCCCTCTGGGGACCGAGCTTCCGTTCTTAGGCTCTGACGGTTCTGTGGGGTTTGTCAGCTTGGGCCACATCGTATTCCGTACCTCCGTACCAATGAATGACGAGGACATATAGCCACGTGACTGTGTTTGTGCCCTGTAGCCTTGTGGACTTGAATATCAGACGAGCTTGCTTTTTCAAGTTTCATCATCATTCTCCAGTATTCCTACGTCAAGAAGTCCAGTTTTGTGCGTACCTACATAAAAATCGAAGGCAATTAGGCAAAGACGAATGTTGAAAGTCAAACATTCCTTTGTAAAATCCATTAGCTATCACAAGCTAGATGGCTCTGAACGCGTATGAGGCGCGTCGCGCCGAACAGATTTCCCGAAACAAACGACTTCTTAATGACCTGGGACTTGATAAACCTCAGGAACAGGCTACATCCAGTCACAGACCTGCGAAGAAGAGGAGGTTTGATTCTGGCGTTCCGTCAGACCCTGCCCGAAGTTCTACAAGACTGTCAACTGCCCGGTGGAGGCCGAACTCTGCAGAGCTAGGACACGAAGCAGGCTCTGATGCGGGTCATCGTCCATCATCGGCTACGAGGATGCCAGTGTCCGCCTCTTCGCATTATCCAATATCGAAAGAGCAGCTGGATGAAATCCGATTAGGTTGGACTACGTGGACTGCAACAGAGCCTAGGCCTACACGAGATGCGAGCGGGACACTCCATTTCGCGTCTCATCCGGACTTCCAGCCCAATAAATCCCCATCCGAAATTCTTCGCGAAGGCTCCTTCGGAGGGACGTACTTCCGGCCTCTTTACTCGAAAGCGCTAGGGACTACCATTTCGGACGACTGGCGCGAACTTCCTTCTTCCTGGGTTAAAGGACTAAACATTTCAAAGTTTCTAACGAGTTCAGAATACGATCCGACGATCAATAAGTTCGGCGTCGCGTGTGGTCAGAGCATCGAAGAATGGGAGGCGGCCGGGTGGATTCACCACCAGTACGATGTTCGTGGATGGCTTCAGTGGTATTGTCGCTTCTTCATGGGCAGACGATGTGACGATGATGAGTGGCAAATCGGCCGGTGGATGAGATGCGCTGGGGATACGGGACGCTGGAAAAGAGCGCTTCTGAAGAACTATGTGGCGATGGGCGTCAGGAATGTCGCGGACGAGGGCCTTGACGAAGCGGAGAGTGTCAGTCCCGTGATACACCAGACTTGTCACCACTGGGCCTTCGAGGCTAAGCAGCCTATCCTCGACGAGTTCTGGGAAACGCAATAGTAGGTAACGATTCAAGGGTATGGACATTCATTTCCATACTAATACTATAATTGAACATGAATTTGCTTGGGTGGTCGGTTGGGTCATAGGTCACACCATTGTATCACGGCGACGTGGGTTCAACGATTTCTTTCATCTACTTCACTATGTGGTCTCCTAGTCTGATCCATGGCCGGCAATCTATGCTTGCCCTGCTGCCGCTTTAGTATGGCTTCTATTTCAGATACTTTTTGCTTTTCCTTACTTCCTCCTTTATGAACCGCCTCCCATCTTGGGCCCTCTATGCGCCATCAATTTCTACCTTCGATTTGTAGAAAGCGACATATCCTTTGATACTCAGCGCCTTCTCTTTCGGATCGGGATAGTACCAAGCGGCATCTTCCAACACTTCGTCTCCGACCTTGATAGTGTAGTATGACGCTATCCCTTTCCAGGGACAAAACGTGGTGGTTTTAGTCTCCGTGAAGTGGGCGGTTTTCAGGCTCTCCGGCGGAAACTGAGATCTGTCAGCACGGAGAGATGGGCGAATCTAAGCATGAGTCTGGTACACTCACGTATATGTTCGACTCAACGACCTCGTACTTTTCAGAGGCGGCAATGATTATGCCGTTGATCTTTGCGGTAACGTGGCCGGACTTCGACATCGTGGTTACAGGTTATCTGGTGTACAACGTTGGAGTAAAGCTGGATTCTAAGTTGGATAAATGTAAAGAAGAAGTCCACTCGAACAAAGATTCAGAACTATCGCTCGTTCCAATTATATCTAATTCACATCATCATGGATAATTTGATGCGATGATGCTTACGAATCGAGCATCGACGAATCAACCAATCAGACGGCCAAGCAGGATTAATAATCGACTGAGAACTGTACATCCATCTTGTTGATCATACTTTGCTCTTGATGTCTACCATTTGAATGCTTGTTGGAACCCTTCTTAATTCTAACTTCAGCCTCTTGTGCTCCCTCAGGTAAGCGATTAAACCAGTTTATCACAATTTGGGACCTTAGGTAAGTACCACGCTCATCATCCACATCGAGCTTAGAATCCGAATCCAACGGATGTCCTCAGGGAATGCTGTATCACAGAAATTGACGTTAAGTGCTTTTCGGAGATTTGCTTATGAGTACTCTATCTATTTCATACTACATTTCTTGGATTGACAAGCAGATCCGAATGACTCTTTTGCCCAAAAATATTGATGACTCTTGCTTCTATGTCGTACAAAGATGACCGCTCACAGGACAGTTCAGGCTAGGAAATGCTATAATGCAGCAATCCGTGGAACAGGAATACTGAAAGCTTCATAATAGTTCTGAGGTTAGTGTATACCGCAGGACGGATACTCAACATCAGATGCATCGTGCATGGATTATGCAACACCTTGAACTGACGCGGGGTGGCGGCTTAAGCTTCACAGGACGGCCGCCACAGCCATTCTGCGAACAGCACATGTCCCTCTACGGCGTGAGAGCACTTTTGAGCACATTTCTTCCATTTTTGAGCCAATCGCCATTTGCATCTCATTTCAACTGCAACGAAGCCTGGAATTATGAATAGCAGAGTATTGCCCTGAGCTCTGGAGTGGCACGGTCTTACCGAACAGTATACCCAGCACTCACTTCCAATTTTTCGGAGTGGTGATAGATCATTGGGGTTAGTTGTGGTCGAACTTTGCGGAAATCCTGGTCTCGGAGTGTGCCGAGCAATGTTGAATGGACCGTCGCAGTAGCTTTGTGTCCAAACCAGGGCTTTCCATGCCACAAGGCAATTGCAGTGGTCTGTACTGCAGCTTCAGTTAAGCAACTTCACGATCCACATTCGGTGGAGTGAGCGTGGGCGACTCCTGCCATAACTGAATGGAGCTGGATTGAGCACAATAAGTCTTGGCTCCCGCATGTGTATTGTCAAGGACCCCCGGCATATATGTAGGTATGTTTTCCCAACCGCCATCTGCTTTCCGGTTCACCTCACTTGATGTTTACATCGAACATAACTTCACTCCTCCAGCTTCATTCTAACTTCGCACACTTGGAACGAACATTCACGTACTCCAAATATCTATTTTGCCAAGATCTTTTTGCCGAGAACTTTCACAAGTAACAACCGAAGTATTCACTGCCACTGAAGTCACTGTCAGCTTGACTTCCTCACGGACGAACCGATTCCCAAGAACCATGTCGATGTCGATGAGCTCAATGGTCGGAATGGACCATGGAGACATGGCCATGTCATCTACTGCATCCGCTGCTGCTGCTACTATGACTGCTAAGGCCATGGGGGGAATGAGCATGGGCGGCGGAAGTAGCTGCAAGATCTCGGTATGTATCTCCTTTATCCTTAGGCGTGGACTGAAAGCTAACGCCCTCCACGATGTTGTGGAATTGGAATGTTAGTAAGTGATTCCCTTGAATCCAATACGATGTTTCCGCTCCACCCGCTAGCTCCGTGAATTGGCGGTAAAGCCAAGGACCATATACATGTACTGATTCTGCCAACAGTGGACGCCTGCTTCCTTTCAAAATCCTGGCACATCACCTCCAAGGGCATGTTTGCCGGAAGCTGCATCGGTGTCATCCTTCTAGTCATGGTTCTTGAACTTCTGAGGCGCCTCGGCAAGGAGTACGACCGCCTGATCCTCCGACAGCACCAAACCGCCATCGGAATCGCGCCTGCCTGCCCCAACCCTGTAGCTGCCGGGAGCGACGCCGAGAGCGACCCGAAGAACACTGCTGTCACCGGAGCCGCAGCCGTAGGGGCTGTGACCGCCTGTACCGGGCCGACGGCGACCTTCAGGCCTAACGTCTTGCAGCAGGCGATCCGTGCGCTCTTGCATATGCTCCAATTCGCCGTGGCGTACTTCGTCATGCTGTTGGCGATGTATTACAATGGTTATATAATCATCTGCATCTTCATCGGTGCGTTCATTGGCAGCTTTTTGTTCAGCTGGGAGGCGGTTTCATTTGGGTAAGACCCCGTTTCCGCGTCTATTCTGCTACCGTGCAGTCCGCTAACAGTTCTTCAGCGGACCAAAGGAAGAAGTCACGGTGTGTTGTGGTTGATCTTGAGTCCCGGGACCGTCGAATTTACCGGAGCTTGAACCAATTTCGCCATTCCAGTGAGCAATCGTATTCTTAAGCTAGTCCAAACGGATCGGGTTCAGTATGAGTTAATTCTTGCATTATGAGGGATGGACTGCAGCATCCCACTTCTCATCTGAGATTCCAGTATCCGAATACCTTGACCCCACGCATCCGAGTTTTAACAGAGAGCGGCAACATTCTGATAGCAATGGACGTCTAACCCAGCAAACTTTATGAGTCGTGAATTTCGATACAGCCCGGCTTGATCTTGAATTGCGGGTTGACGTCCCTGAAACACGGCTTCGGTCTCCCAGATGATAAGTTCAATTGCCTAAAAGAATCGTTCTGCCTCGTCTTGGTGATCTCTCTCCTCAATGCACTGGCCGCACTGCTCTGTCTTGAGCGATGGTTCTGTAGTGATAGGGGATGTTTTGGCCTTGTAGCCTTGTGGCCTCGCCTGCGCGCCAGCGCTCCCCGCCCACACACCAACTTGTATCCCTACCTCCACCCCACCCCTACTCAGGGGAAAGATTTCATCATCCCGATCTCTTGACCATTCTTACATATCATCGCAATAAAATTGCGTTCCCAGCCTGTTTTCTAAGCCTATCTACGCTTGATTGTACTGCGTGACAAAGGTCCTATGAACGCATGCATTGATCCTCGCTCCAACAAGGATGATGTTGCAACTGACCGTTGACGGCCAGGGGACGAATCTGATGACCTTCCATGTCGAGACGACTAGAGTATGGATCTGCAACCCGTCAGGTACAAGCTCCCTGTACTATCTATCATCAAATTTGAAATACAATCCTCGCGATATCCGCTGCATAGGTAGCTTCCTACAATGGATTCCTTGGCCATGGAAGCTGGTCTGGCGCTGGGGAGATAGGATTGCGCGATTCCGACGATTAATTTGCTGCAGTGATATGCGACTTCCCATCTTGCCGGTATCACTTGTGATTGAGGTAGGACACCCGATCTGCCATCATTCAAAAGAGCTGGGATTCCTCAACATGTTTGGTGCTCTATTCGGTTTCGTCAAATTTCCGACTGAAGGTTTATCTACCCAAAATGATTACTTCAGCCATTCCCCTCGTTCTCGTTCTGATTTCTAGTCTTGTCCATGCCATAGACTCCCCGCAAGACCAAAACAAGCTCCTGTCATTCAACGAAACCGTGGTGACCCAAACCCTGCGTGCAGAACGGGCCTCTTATGACTGGGTCTCTACAGGAGAGGATGGAGAATATATCACGAGCCAAAACGGAAACCTGGTGATCGAGAATGTCGCATCGAACAAGTCGGAAGTATGGCTGTCGTCGGTCCAAATCCCCGAGGACTACTGGGAATACTGGATCAAGCCGGACGCGACGAAGGTCCTATGGGCGGTTAATTATACGAAGCAGTATCGCTATTCATATTTTGCCTCGTACCTCGTCCTTGACGTCGCAAGTGGCATCACAGAACCTCTTGTGGACGACCAAATCGGAGACATCCAGTACGCTACGTGGAGCCCGACCGATGATGTGATCGCATTCGTCCGAGGGAATGATCTATATGTCTGGGATGCCGGCAATGTCACCCAGGTCACCTTCGACGGCGGCCCAGACACGTTCAACGGCGTCCCCGACTGGGTCTACGAGGAAGAAATTCTCGGCGACCGACACTCTCTGTGGTTCAGCCCCGATGGTGACAAGCTCGCCTATCTCGCCTTCAATGAGACTGGCGTTGAAACGTTCACGGTGCCCTATTATATGGACGGCGAAGATGCGCCGCCATATCTACGAGAGCTTGACCTTCGATACCCAAAGGTTGGAACGAAGAATCCCACCGTCTCGTTTAATGTCTTGGATCTGGGTACATTCAGAGCCACCAGGTTCCCCACTGATGTTTTTCCAGTCGACGACTTCATTATCGGCGAGGTTGCATGGCTCGCGTCAGAGCACGCATATGTCGCCTATCGCGCTTATAATCGCGTTCAGGATCACGAGAAAATCGTGCTGGTCAACGCTGTAACCCTGGGAAGTACAATAACGCGTGAAAGACAGGTCGAAGAAGGGTGGCTAGATAACAACTTAGCCATTCAGTTCGTTGGAGCGGTCAGTTCCAATTCGACCTACCGCAATGGCACTGAATACCATGTTGATCTTTCTGATTCTTCTGGATACAACCACCTCTACCTTTTCTCTGTTCAGGCTGGGAAAGCCATTCCCCTCACTTCAGGGGACTGGGAAGTTACAGGTGAGTGGCACATCCTAGGACCCGGAGACCACAATACTAACTTGAGCGATAGATATTCTTAAGGTCGATACTGCTCGGTCGTTGATCTATTACCGGTCTACGGAGCATCATAGTACAGAACGTCATATCTTCTCTATCAACTATCAGACACTCGAAAAAAAGCCTCTCGTCGACCCAAATGAGCCCGCTGTCTGGTCGGCATCCTTCAGCAGTGGAGGGGGCTTCTATCTGCTTTCCTACCTAGGCCCAGACGTTCCCTATCAAGAGCTCTACTCCATCAACTCAACCAAACCACTCCGGACCGTGACGTCTAATGCGGCACTGGCCGAAGCACTGAGGGGATACAAGCTCCCAAAGATCTCCTACTTTGAGCTTGAGCATCCGTCCGGTGTGACTCTAAATGTCATGCAAAGACTCCCAGCAGATTTCAATCCCCACAAAAAATACCCAGTCCTTTCTCATCCATATGGTGGACCCGGTTCGCAGAGCGTGAGCAAGTCGTTCCAGCCACTTACATGGGAAGCGTACATCGCGTCCGACCCGGAGCTTCAGTACGCCACGTGGATCATCGACAATCGCGGGACCGGATATAAAGGCCGGGCATTCCGTGGTATTGTGACGAAGCAGCTGGGCAAACTGGAAGCTGAAGACCAAGTCTGGGCGGTGCAAGAGCTCTTGAAAAAGAATAGCTGGGCAGATCCAGAGAAGATAGTGCAGTTTGGTTGGTCATTTGGGGCGTATCTTACGGCCAAGGTCGTCGAGCTTGACTCCGGTGTGATTTCGCTTGGTCTAATCACAGCCCCGGTAAGTGATTGGCGGTTCTACGACAGCATGTACACCGAGCGATACATGAAGACTCCTGAACTGAACCCAGGAGGTTACGAAGAGACTGCCGTAGAAAAGGTCGATGGTTTTAAGAACATCGCAGGAGGAATATTGATTCAACATGGCACTGGAGATGACAATGTGCACTTCGCTAATTCTGCTGTTCTCGTCGATACGTTGATCTCAGGGGGTATCAGTCCGGAAAAGATGCAGGTGCAGTGGCTCACGGACAGCGACCATAGCATTGTGTTTCACGGAGGCAACTTGTTCCTTTACAAGCAGCTCACGAAGAAGCTGTACGAGGAGAAAAAGAGAGTCAGTCCAAGTGGAGGCCACTCATGGAGCAAAAGAGCTGCTCCGCTTTCCGCATGATCATTAGATATATCTTAGCCCCGCAATCAAGAAAGCGAATATATTGTTCACTGGCTCATTTGCACTTGTGCCGACTGTCGCCGATCTTCATTGACCTCTGCCTGGGACGGCCGCTCCGTGCCAGACTCCTCTCTGTTCCAGACTTGCTGGGAAAATTGAACGGCATCCTCGAAGACTGCCCATTTCGATTGACGTTCGCTTTCCTTGAGCCATCCATCCGGCATCTGGGTCCAACCATGCCGAACCCCCTCAACTCTCCGCACGCTGAGTTGCGCTCCTCGTCCGGCCTTGTCGACTTTGGAGGCCCATTCTTCTCCTTGAACAGTAAGATTGTCTATCGCGGGGAGCACCAGTAATATTCTTGTGAATGGATGAAGTGCTGTAGATTTCGTTGTCATTTTCCGGTCGGGCGTGTTGAGCGTTTCACTTTCTTCGGCCTTCAATGGGGGATATAGGTCCATTTCCACTTCAACTTCATGATTTGGATCTAAAAGTCCCGGGGATGCTCGAGGATGGGCGGAGAGTTCTCTCGAAACGTATGTCTCCGCTAGAAGATCGCCGATATTCATCGAATTCCACCAATTCGGGGGACTGGTCATGTTCTCGGGCTTTGCCATATCCATGGCCTCTCCCACTTTATTCCCAGCCGACGCTTCAGATACGTTGGGGGCATTAGGGGCTGGAGCTGGAGGTCTCTCGGAAGGTAGAAGTCGCAAGTCGAAGGGAGCATAAAATATCAACAGGGCCACTGGTCGCCGCTGTGGATAATGGGGAATAGGTGATGGCCAGCCGGATTTTGAGGTTGGCGTCCCCATGATATGCTCGAAGGGTTTAAGAAGAGTTTCCGGAATATGCATTCCAAGATTCAGTGCAATATTCGCCCCTGAACTGAAACCGGAGATTGCGACCCGATCTGTGTCAAGAAGATCACGCTCATCGCCCTCCTCTTTGGCATTCTTGACGGGACCGTATAGATTGGCCAAGATCCCCGACCTCAGCTGCTTCCCAGAATCACTTGTGCTGTCGAAAATCGCACGAAGTACGTCCTCGGCGTCTTCCAATGCGGCTGGGAAGGGATCCGCCGGTGCCATCCGGTAATCCACGCTGATCACGATCGCACCAAGCCTGCGAGCCATGAGAGCACAGAAAGGCGCCTGTTCTAAACAGCCTCCGAGGAAAAACCCACCGCCATGGAAGTCCAGCACAATGGGAGCAGGCTCCCAAGAACCGTCTGGAGGATGTGTGAGGCTAGGGGGAATAAAGACATAGAGTGGGATTTTATGTTTTCCATCCCTTCCTGTGAGATTCAGTATTACCGGATATGGGCCTTCTGGGTTGGTGAAATTTAAGACTTGGGTTGGAACGAATCGAGGCAATTTGACTAAAGCAGAGCGCCACTGAACGGAGAACGGTAGTGAGGTCCAACTCCTGCGTGACATGGTGGACTTGGGGTTCCGTAATTAGGGGAGTCTGAAGGAAAATGGGAGGATTCGACACAAAGGAGCGTTATACGAGTTAGAATATTGTATCGAGCAGAACGGACATAATAAAGCTTCAGGCTGTGGCAATGATGATGATTCTACAGAACCGATCTATCTCCACCGTCGTGTTTTAGAGGGCAGTGCAGATCGGTCGAATCGTGAATTCGTGATGCATCCAGGCCAGTGAATGATGTCACACGCACTTCGATATTTCAGGTTAGCGTGAGTGGCGCTGGCAGGTTCATGTGGCTGATGAGGCCTTATAGCCTGAAGCATCAAAACGATTTTGCAACTGACCCAATAATATCTCTTTGTTGACTCTAGCGCAACTTGGCAAGAAGTAGCCCCTTGATTGGTTGGATTTGCCATACACAGCCTCCGCGAATCGCCTCCTCCAGCGTTTACTGACTTCTCAGTCCAGGACATCTGACAACCATGCGCAATCCTCCATGTTAAAGGTCAAATCGGCTACATTCTAAACGCCCTCGACCCTTAATAAATTCCTAGCCAAACCTCTTTCATCGAAACCGACCTGCAACTCCCCTCGCTTGCTGGGCTACTCTTTCCTCTGACCGAAATACCAGCACGCTGCCATCATCTTCCCCTCCGTGACTTCAAAACGGCGGACTTAACCCCCCATCAGTCCTCCTCCGGTATTCGTACTCCAGGCTCGGAAGCAGAGGAGTCTGTGTCTAACTCACATACAGCACACGGCCAAGCACCAACACGTCCGAAGCTTTCGTCGCGCCCCTCGACTACCACTCCCAGCCGGACTAGTAGCCGTGCTCCCACCGCTCCGCCATCCCCGTTGGCAGTCGCATCGGCAATCAAGACCGCCGGTGATCTTCTCTGGGATCCGCAGTACACGTCGCGGCCTCGTCTACCTTATATCGGGCCGACGTACATTGGTACTATTACGGTCAACGATCGTACCGAAAGCTCTATCAGCGTACAGAGTCTTGGTGGCGGACAATATCCGTCTCCCGTGCGGAAGTCAGGCAACATGGATCCAGGGAAGAGACATCCGAGTAGTTTCCAGCAACTCGAGAAGCTTGGAGAGGGGACATACGCGACAGTAAGTAGCACATGACAAATCCGTGGCTCATGGATCGCAAGGACGTGTGGCTGACATATGCTCTCCTATTAGGTATTCAAAGGGAGGAATCGCCAAACTGGAGAATATGTTGCCCTGAAAGAGATTCACCTCGACTCTGAGGAAGGCACACCCAGCACGGCTATTCGTGAGATTTCTCTCATGAAGGAACTGAAACACAAGAATATCGTCTCTCTTCATGACGTTATCCACACCGAGAACAAGCTCATGCTTGTGTTCGAGTACATGGACAAAGATTTGAAGAAGTACATGGACTCCCGCGGCGACCGAGGCGCACTTGATCCAACGACCATCAAATCGTTCATGTATCAGTTGCTGAAAGGCATCGCCTTCTGCCATGAGAACCGTGTCCTCCACCGAGACCTCAAGCCGCAGAACCTCCTCATCAACAATCAAGGAGACCTCAAACTAGCCGATTTTGGGTTGGCTCGCGCCTTCGGCATCCCCGTCAATACGTTCAGCAATGAGGTCGTCACCCTTTGGTATCGAGCACCAGATGTCCTTCTCGGTTCACGGACATATAATACGAGCATTGACATCTGGTCGGCAGGCTGTATCATGGCCGAGATGTACACGGGACGCCCTCTCTTCCCCGGCACAACTAACGAAGACCAACTCCAGAAGATCTTCCGTCTAATGGGAACTCCCTCGGCTCGGAGTTGGCCCGACCTGCCCAATTTGCCCGAATACAAGGCCAATTTCCAAGTCTATGCCACCCAAGATTTGAGGATGATCATCCCGCAAATCGATCCGGTCGGCCTGTCTCTCTTGACCAGTATGCTTCAGATGCGTCCGGACCTTCGCATCACGGCCGCAGACGGCCTCAAACATCCCTGGTTCAACGGAATGGCGCCATCCAACCAGCCTCAGCCGATGCCTATGCAGGGGGTGCAGGGAGGCATGGGGCCGCCACAAGTCCCGCAACAGCAGCAATGGGGTCCACAATCACACATGCCGCCACCGCAACAAGGGGCTTATTAGGAATGGGAAGTTGGGAAGTACAGTGGGAGCGATAAACGGTTGGGCCATTCTCCATCAACAAAGATCCCTAGCTTGCATTCTTTTTTCGTGTAATGCTTACAACAATCATGATATATCACGACGATTTCCGAGACGTCCAATCTAAGGTCTGGCGATATTCATAATTCACCGACATTGATTCGTTCATTTCATGCATTTTCGTGGCCGTGACTATTCGTGGACCTAACCGATCCCAATTTTGTCACTAGATTCATCACAGCATGGGTTTCGCAGTCGTTTCGGGGTCCCTCCGCTCCAATATCCAATTCGTCACATCTTCTGCAAAGGTCTCCCTGTCCTTACCTGGCTCGGCATGCACTAGACCACTAGAATTAGACGCGTATCCGAGCAGAGTGCGAACCGACTTACATTTGTGGTACCATCCCTCATAGATCTTGAACGTTAGATCCTCCAGCTTCGTCCGCTCCACAAACTTCTTCGTGCCGTCGAAATCACACACCCCATCCGCCGTCCCATGGCTTACCCACAACCGCGTCTTCCCCCCCTCTCCGCGCCCTTCATGCACCGATACCTTGCCGGAAGCAAGGTCCTCCGCTCGTTCAATCAGCGCCGCCAGCCCTTCCAACGACCCCGTGTCATGGCACAGCGCATCCTCCACGTAATCCTTCTGCACCTGCGGATCGCGACTCAGCAACGTCGGTTCGATCGTATTCGTGAGCTGGAACCGGGGAAGCAGCTTTCCGGCTAGTCTCCCCACCGCCACTTTGATCCACGTCGGTTGCGTGGAGGGATGGAAGGCGATAAAGGGCGCCTCAACGAGGAACCCGCGGATCTGCGAGAGGATGGCGGGTGGGCCACGGTCGACGAAGGTTAGCACCTCGCCTCCGCCCATCGAATGGCCCATCAGAAAGACTGGTACGGGCGACGGTAAGACCGACTCGATGACGCTAGCTATGTCGGATATGACCAGTGACGTCGGACCTGTTTGGCCGTGGTCCGGTCGGGATGGAGACGTGCGACCCCAGCCTCGCTGGTCGAACGATACTACCTCGATACCTTTGCGTGCAAAAGTCGGGAAGAGATCCCCATAAGCGTTACAATGATCGCTGAATCCATGGACGAAGACGAGTAGGGAGGATGCGGTGCCTGTCGGCTACTCAGGATTGTAAGCAGATGGTTGATTCGGACTATGCGCTAGATATACCTTCCACCTCTTCGTATATAGTTCTACCCCATCGGGAACGGTCAACGTGGTTTCGACGGTTGAGATATCAGCCATGTTGCGCTCGGGATCTACACGGCAAACAGATATTTATACGTCAACTAATAACAATAAAGATTGATAGTGATACCACACATATGCGAACGGTCTCCAACGCGTATGCAATGGTTGGGACTTTAGGAGTTGTGTTGATCGTTTTGGCGTGTCAATCAATCACGGAAACAATAGGATACCTGTTCAGAGGCAGTGAGATGCTTGTATTCGGTCAGAAGTACATAGTTTACCTTGACGGGTATATACCCAGGCTTATGTAATCTTATGTAATCTACAAGGTGCGGTGACTAAGTAATAGCCGCGGAGTTCCGACAAGTTGGGACTAGAGACTTGGAAGTTGAAAATGCCCCTCGAATCACGATCTGATATGTCCCAGCCACTGCATGTGATATTGTGCCTTACGGCCTTACACCCCCTGAAGAGGGCATCGATATGCAACCAAGTCTTCCCTTCGACAGAGAAAGGACGAATATATCCCTTAAAAATAATGTGGAGTTCCTCTTCGTCGCTCTGTTACCCTGAATGTACATGCCTACCTCTCGCCATTGATGTTCTGTCAGTCTCTTTGCATCATTTGCACCTTATGGTCTTCGAGAGCAACTTCCAAACCGTCACCCTGATTCCAGGTTCCCGATCATGGCATCCTTGGTTTGCATATCGTCCTCGTCGTCTGTCGGGTCTTTTATTGTCAGTGGTGCGAGGCGCTTTCAAAGGTCACTGATAGATCTGCTCATTGTTTGCTTCAATCTGAGTATGAAGGTGTGGCTCTCGGTCAGAATGTCCCCTGGGTTGGTGGGGTACTTCCGTAGGCGTACGCAGCAAAAGTGGATATTGGACAGATGCATTGCGAAGCTGCACTGATTGCTTCGTTGAAATTCCATTGTTGATCTCCATGGTAGGCTTCTCAAGCTTCTCGTCCACCTCCATTTCATCAGGTCCTTCTTCCACTTTCTCGACTTCTAGAGAATCCGGGCCATAATCGGGGTCCGATGCAAGCTCTTTAGTCTCATCATTGTCCATCTCGCCCTCTGTGGATAATCCATTGCCCATATAGCGTGTATCGGTATCACATTCCATTCGCTGATTAGAGTCCATATCAAATGCTATCTGACTGAAGTTAGAAGAAGACCCTTCCAAGACGGTGTATTCCCTACCCGTAATTTGTCGAACCATTTCAAATCGCCCAAGGAGTTGAGTTTAATGGTTGACCCATACAGTGCTGTGGCTGCTATCGAACGGTGCTTTTCCGCATCAGCATTCCAACGATCCTTCGCATCCCTACTAACGTTCAGTATATTCCTCGAGAGACACGGTGCAGGGATAGACTGATAATGCCAGAATAGATTTCGCAATCACAAACAACGTGTTAAGTTTCGGGTTGCTGAGATTCGCTTCGTACTCTGATGAACTCACCAACCCTCTCGGCACTAATGAAGTTGTACGCTTTCCGAAGATCACTTTGTTCTGCTCTCGGAGCTTATCAAACTCCTCGTCTGTGGACTTTGACATGGCTAATGTCGGGTAAAAGCGAAGTTGGTTTGTGGTATGGGAGGATGAAGAGTCGGTTTGGAAAGGTATGATACACGGGTGGTAGGCTTCAACTAGATGAATGATTGTCAACAAGATGTGGAAGTGAATTCACAGAACACACGAACAGCGCTTCGCCTTTTAATGATTCGTGACTTGATTTCCGTCAAATCTAAGGTAAGTACCTGTTCAAAGCCTGGCTCTTTCCGTGAAGGATACGATACCATCCCACACCCGCATGAATTCTTGTACTCTCGCCAAGGACGACGACAATTAGTCCGAATACAAATGACCAAAATCTGTCAGGAAGCATAACATGCAAAGGGTGACTGCACGGAGGAACCTTGAGATGACACGGATAGCAAAGAAGAACTTACAACAGGAGTTGACCCCTGAGCCATCCGTTGCGAAGAACCTTGCCCCAGAGCAAAGCAGCTTCTGCCTCACCAGAAGCAGTTTCCAGAAATAAATCCACAGAAAAATGGCGCCTAAGCCAGGGTATAGTCTTCATAAAAGGAAAAGGTTCTGATGCGTCAGGTGGCAGTCTCAGGGACGGGGAATAATGTTTGAGACATGAGTTGTTGAGTTCGTAGGTTTGTAATATCGCCACAGGCCGCGGTATCTGTGAATGTCCAGAATCCCTCCTTGAGGAATATACGACAAAGCATAGACCTGTCGATCTTTCTAATCAGACCCTTCCTCTCCTGGCTGGGGATATTGCCCTTCTCACGGATAATCTTGGCCTACATGATGTCGAAATGGAAATCGGGAATGTGGTAAAGGTTGGTAACAGTTATATTGAGATTTCCTTGTTCGTGATAGGGACAACGATATCTCTTTGTCCTACGAAAGTAGTGTGGCTGTCCCCCATTTTGAAAACTCCGGAGGCAGGGGCATAGTCCGAGAACCTGGTTGAAGTTGTTGCAAACATGATCACAGACTAGGTTCCCAGGTAGAACTCCTGGCTACGACCCCCCGAGGACGAGTTCTCGAATCCCACCGATCCACATGATATTGACGAGACGGTTGAGAACCAATGAAGTAGTTCGATTCCCTCCTTTGGCAAGATCTGTAGAATCATTCTTCTCGTTTCCATGTTTTCCAGCATGATCTTCGTAAGCTTCCGGATGATGTTTTCCCTGAGTTTCCAGCCCTGTGGCATCCGGCCCATACTGAAGTAGTAACAGTCTTAATATCGAAATTTGAGGTCGTACCGACATCGCGGCAAGGTCGTCTTACGCCCAGGCATTGCGTATGGAGTTGGAGGGAAGGAGACCAGAGGTGGTTGAGTAGAGCTCGATCATGTTCGGGGTCTCAGCGTCGACAGCTCACTCTCTGATACTCCGAAATATTCCCTGATGGTCTCTAGCCAATATCGTGGAGAGTCCATACAGTCCAAATATACTCTACAACCACACCCCTCGGGGAGTGAAAACAACATGTCATCCATCAGCCACCATATTCCTTCCCAGGCAAGGTCTCTAGTAGGGCCTTCTCTCTCAAGGTAAAGTTTCTCGTCTGGAGGCAGTTTGTCAAATTCCTCGTCGGTAAGCTCTGGAGACTGCGGTGGGAAGTTGGGACCGTTGGGTTTGATATATTCCCACACTCCAGTTCGGCACGCTCGGCGAACGATAGACTGAATCCAGAGAGGCCAGTCCGCCTTAGTCTTAAGGATAGGAGTGGGGTACAAACCGAGCTCGGTGTCTGAATAATAAGGCATAGATGAAGCTGAACAATGAGACTGTAAAGTGAGGGACATAAATGGGAGATTCGTAACGATGGAGCTATGATGTTTGAGTTGCGATTTAAGGTCCTAACCGTTGAAACTTGGCTGGGGCTGATGCAATGGTGCGAACTACGGGGGAGGGAAGGGCGAACACCTGCAGTACTTAACTATTTCCACGCGTCAATGAGAAAAAGCCGAGTGAAAACTGAAAAGTACATCAATTCGTGTAACTCAATATTCCTTATTGGCAGTGGAGGGATATTTAATACCTCTCATTCCCAAATAGCAGGACATGAAATTTGAAAATATATCTTGCCGTGCTTGCTTGGATGAAAAGGGGCGAAAAGACTGACATTTGGGTGCGGACCAATCAAAACGCAAGATTTATATATCACGTGGCGAGGGGGTGAACTGGCGTGATGGCGTCTGGTCCTTGGGGGTCGGGGCTGGGAGGGGGAGGTAGAATACGCAGCTACAACAAGTGTGTTTTCATAGTCTCTCCCCTCGTTAGGGTGTAAGTTTAACTACGTCTTCTGGTATCCAACAGTTGATCCGATCATTTACAAGACCATGGAGAAGATTCTAGGAAGTCGTGCCCCCGTCGGATCCATATTATGGGTTTCGCAAATAGGGGTCTAGTGCAATTGTAGTCTCAACGGTCGACGTAAAGAGTGAGGACAAATGGAGCACTGACATTCCAGCGGGCTTCCTATACAAGATATTGGATGTGCATCAAAGAATAACGGGTGCCGCCTTGATCTCCTACTACCCAAGGGCCAAGGAGCGATCTTTGACGAAACAACGCTGCCTATCTGATCCCAGTGCGATGTATCCCCTGGTGACTTAGCATGTAAAGAGCTTGGGGCCGGGTATCGTGTATGGCGTAGCTAGTGCTGTTAGATACTGATGGTTGAAGCCTTTCGCGTGAACCGGGAGGAAACGTACCTTTGTATGCATCGTAAGTAATTCCCGGATCGGTGGGTTTATATGCGCCAGGGAAGCTGACCAAGTCACTTGGAGTAGTGTTCCCGGAACCTTTGACCTTGATTTGGATGCAGTTCGGGTAAAATTGCGCGCCGGGATATTCCCACGCTGCGTGCAGCGCGATGAGTTCGTGGCGAATGATGTAATAGCCGGGTTTGATGCACTGCGGGATCTTGAACGTCGCGCCGGGGCTGTTGTCCGCTCTAAGAGGCGCCTGAGGAGAGAGGCTCCTAGTTAGTGATCATGTTGAATGCGGAAATGGACTGGTATATAACCAAGTGTGGAAAGGAGTACGCACATCGGCCCAATTGTTTGAAGTTCCCTCCCGTCCTGCTTCAGCGACCTTGAACCAAACCGCACTAATTAAGACTGTCAGCTTGGAACTAGCGCTCGCTCAACATTTAATCTTACTCATTCCCAGGCATCCAGTCGTTGCAGCCACTGTCTGGGCAGCGAGCCAAGTACGTAATCACCTTGAAACTGTTAGTGAGGATTCCTCTCATGAAAATGTCGAGGCAGTGTCCCTAACCGGTCCAACGTGACTCTCGGGCCATTTTGTCTAGAATTTGTTAGCTAATACGAAATTGCTCCTCAGTCGTTATAACTTTACCCAATGGAGCGTCACAGAGGACCCGGCAGTAGCGTCTGCATGCAATGGAGCAGGCTTTGAGCCAGCGGTGTCTTTTCCGCCCTCTGCCCAACCTCCGCACTGAATATCGCTGAGGGTTATATCTTGAACTGGGCCATTCCCTTGAACTGGTCGTGATATCCGTTGCGGCTGTAGAGAATCGAACCGTCAGATGAAAATTTCAAGAAGATTCTGAGGTCACTCACTGCAGGGTTCATGTACGGATCTTGATATGGCTAATATTCAGAGTCAGATGGGTGGATCTGGGCCGATGTAGCTGGATCTGCCATCCTACCTGATAAAGCTGTTGAACGAGTTAGAGACGACAAAACACTAGAGATGAATAGAAATACAGACTTGATATTCCTTGCCGTCGATGTCCGCTGTGGATACGTAGCCATGAGCAGCGACGCTGCCCACGGAGAGCAATCCGAGGAAGAATGACTTCATATTATAGACTCGGATAATCGATATTGGTAGAGAGAAGGAAATGAGAGGACAGGAAAGGTACAAAATCAGTCCCTCCGCTACAAAACCACTAGGAAATCATGGCTGATATAGGTTGGGCGCGGAGATTACAGTCCGGACTGACCTACCATCATTGAAACCTCCGTCACTCAAATCAAGGTGTTCCTTCAACCGACGAGGCATATCGGTCATCGGGCGTCTGTTTGGAATTTGGTGAACTAGGAAACGCTGCAGAGAACCATCCAGGTTGACCCGGAATGATATGAAACGGGAAACTCAATTATCGAAACAAAAACGCTGATTCGGTAGGAGAGAAATGTCGAAAGCGGGGGGTCCCATGTGGACGGCCGCAAGAACGCATCAATAACCGTCGCGATGGAATTATCCACAACTCTATTTCATTAAATGGAGGCAATGGCATACGTCGTGGAGGATCGGATCCTTGACAGCACTCATTCGGAGACGAACCAAGGAACGTGGGAGTCCTTGTATTCTCCTGCCAAAAGTATAGATCAAACGAGAGTCTCCATCATCAAGCTCACTGAGTCCATAATTATTGAGTCCGGTTGAAATTGAATAAAAGGCAGTTTCCAAGCAAGGTAAGGTGGATCGTGATAGTGATCATAATGATCAGGAAAGGTGCTTGTGTGGTGGTGGTGAACTGGTGATGGAACGTGGCGATGTCACCGGGGGGGTCAAGCGGCAAAACTTCGGGACTATCGGGCATCTATCCGGCACTGCTCTGTCTGAATCATCAAAGAGCATCATCATCTAATTAACCTCGAATCGCCAGTAATATCCCATTCTCCTCCATTCGCAAAGAGTTACTCGTAACCTCACCAACGGCATAAGTATATCAAAACGTTCTTCAAGAATCATTTCTCTGTTTGAAGGACTGCAGGGTGAACCAACACCGAACCTGTTCAACCACATCGGCATAACACATCCAGTCAACCAGTTGCTTAGACTTTGCGAATCATTCCGTCCACTCGGTTCTGGTCGAATTATCCAGCAGCGCCATACGCTCATTGCTCTCAGTTCCCCCACTGTTCCTAAGCTGTGCTTGCGTGTCACTCCTTGCCTGGCCCGATTCCGCTTCGTCTCAATATTCCAGCGCCCTTCCCCCTTCTATTTCTCGTCCCCTTCTAGGCTGCTCCTCATAATCAAGCTCCTCAAACCGCGAAGCATCATTCTGACGCCTCATCGCCACCGTCACCACCACGACGCCCCATACAAACACCCCCCAGGCAACCGTGACGAGAATCCCCGCCGCCTTCCGCTCCTCCGCCATCCATGGCCCCAGGCAGCTCGCCGACCGCCGAAATTGATGGCTACACGTTGTCGGATCGATCCCGTGGCTCGCGCTAGGGAACGGCCACGGCATGTCGCGCGGGGTACGGAATCCGCAGCAGCGGAAGGCGTCTTGGATCGCGCGCACTCGTTGTTCGTCTTTGTTTTGGAATAGATGGCGCCATTGGGTCTCTAACGAGCAGGTGATTGAGTCGCCGGTGGAGAGGTACGTCCCGGAAAGCGTGCCGATAGACGTGATGTAAATGGTCATGGCTGTCAGGATTGCCAGTTGGATGGGCCGGACACCGGAGTTTCGCTTCGTGTTTCGAATCCAACGCATCAGTCACTCGAACGCGAAACCTAATATAGCAGGCAAGACAATGGTGAAGGCCCCAAGCGGAGTCGGGAAAGGCATTGAATATCTCTGGGCCAGGTAGGCTGCATAGGCCCCAAGAGCAGTTAGAAGGATGAGAAACTGGACACGGTGAGCCTTAACCATACCGAGTATGCCATCCACGAATTGCTAGGCCCCGTGGAGAACCGTAGAATACTGGACACTTACCAAGGCGCTTGCTATATAGCAAATCCGCATGAGTGGTGATACCATTTTCGCGCCTGGGTTTGGTGAGAATGAATAAGCTACGGTCGACCGTGTCACTTGAGCTTGACTTGAGAGAGTGGAGTTAGAAGCAGAGGAATCGTGGTGAGTGTTATCGTCAGAAGCGGGGTCTTAATTATTCCAAGTTCGCATTGTCTTGTGTAACACTTGGATCCAGCCTTGCGAAGCAATTGTAGAGGCATATGTCCTTATTGCAAATTCGGAACGATGCATACGGTAAGTTGCATAGATCCTATCATAAGGTAGACATGTACAGGCTGCTGTTAGCAGCAAGTGCATACAATCCAAGCTCCGTCACATCGATTCGACCATCCCATCCATGGCAGCCTTTCTTAGGGATCTTTCCCCTCAATTGTATCCTGATGAACGGTTGGCAAGCCTTCTGAAGGCAGTTGTGACAGATTCGGCGTGACAGACGGTCTCAGCCGTAGATAGTCATTCCCCCTGGTATTGACGGGAGCCATCGCTGAATTCGGTCCCCATCCTGTGTGGTCTCGTAATGGCCTTATCGTAAGGAATCCAGGGGCCAGGTTGCATCCGTATCGAAATGATATATCCTCATGACTCCTTGGTAGCTGGCTCGGGATGTACCAGCACATCGCCTTGGAATGGCGCAGAACCTCCTCATATGCCCTGCTGTGACCGCTTCAACTTCTCCACTCGTTTCCGAATATCACCCTCGCTCTGCTGCATCGGATTCAACTTCATGTCCCTCCACATCTTGCGGTAATCCTCCCCATGCTTCTGCATCAGCGCCTCCAGCCACTCCTGCTCGCGCTCCGACTGTGACCGCTTCTTCTTCTTCCCTTCCACCGCCGCCGCCGCCTCCAACGCCGCGACTACCGCGGTGTTGCCGGTGGGTTTGGACGATCGGAGGTCATGCTGGGACGCCATCATCGGCTCGTCGTCGTCGGAATCGAGGTCGTTCAAGGGGTCGTTCAGCGGGTTCGCTCGGGGTTCGATGACACGGAGGATTTGGCCCGTTTCCGGATCGCGCTCGACTTTGGCTTCGCGGAGTGGCCCGGATGAAGGAGCTTTCGGGTTGATGGCCATGCCATTGTTTTGGATCGGGATGTTTGCAGCGTCCCGTCCGGCGGTTGGGGTTCGGTCGACACCACCCGTCACTCGGTTGAGTTTGTTCACCAATCCTAGACGACGGTAATTCTGGCTTAACGTTTGTTTGGCATCCCTAAATCCTGTCAGCATCCTGAATAAGGTGTCCGATCGGGTATACCAACCAGTTCGCCGCGATGAGCGGATTCGTCAAGACGGCCTTCTTGGACTTGCGCTTCTGCGTCGCCCGGGGCAAGCTCGACTTGTTTTTCTTCTTCTGTAGTTCCCGTCCCATGATGTATGATTTGTCTGAATCGAGTCTTGGTCTGTTACAATCGGATAGTGGATGGATGGTAAATCAATCGAAAGGGCGGAATTTCGAGAAATTTGCGACTGATACTGCCCGTCTGGCACCCCGCAGAAATTTTGAATGCGAATCCTTGTCTTGGACCCTGAACGAAGAGAACGCCAAACAATTTGGTAGAGCCGCTAAACAGCCCAAGCGTTCCGCTCTTCGATAGACGATATCGGACAATACAGAGTAAGAATAACACCCAGGGGATGCTTGTCAACAGTCTCCTAAAACATCTGCAAGTCTTCAATTCTTTTGGAATTTCTCATATTTCCTTCCTTCTACTCGTGTCAGATCATCAAGATGGGTCGTATTCCTTGGAGCCGTGCACTGGTCGCATTTATGCTGCTATGGTTTGCCCATTCAAGTCTGGCTGCGGTTGATAGTCCGTCACGCGACCCCTTATCCGCGCTCTCCAGTGTCCAGATCGAAGAAAAGCTACACGTTGGTTCCATCTGATATACTGCAATCCACCAAGAACTAACAGCACCCAGAAATGCCCCCTCGTCCAGCAACTGGACCAAGAAAAGCTCGCGAGCGCCGATCAATCCGGCAGCCTCTCCTCGCAGATCTTCTCCGTCCTCTTCCCCGGCAGCCCCGCCACCAACGCCCTCCTTGCAACCCTCTACATCTCTGGGCCCCCGAACTTCCTCCTGGCGCTCTGCCCCCCGACCATCGACCCCTCCTCCCTAAGCGTGATGGTCGCGTTCGCCGTGGGCGGGCTTCTGGGCGATACGTTGTTCCATCTCCTGCCGGAGATTTTCCTTGGAGAGGACTCGCCGGAGCACGTACGGTTCGTGATGGTGGAGCCGAATCGGAACTTGCTGTTGGGGGTGGCGATCATGGTAGGGTTCCTGACGTTTGTGGCGATGGATAAGGGGTTGCGGATCGCGACGGGTGGGGCGGGACATGAGCATGGGCATGGGCATGGGCATGGTGCTGAGAAAGATATGTCGACGGCTGTTGCTACGGGAGTTGAAAAACATGATGGAACGCGGTCCCGAAAGGGGGGGAAAGTGTCAAAGGGCAATTCCAAAGATGGTAAGGGTTCAGATACTAGAAAAGATCCTTCGCCTAGCATCAAGCTTAGTGGTTACTTAAACCTGATTGCCGACTTCACCCACAACATAACGGTATTTGTCTTCCGCATTCCAGCATGGCACATAACTCACTTATGCTAGGATGGCCTTGCCATGTCTTCCTCATTCTACGCATCCCCAACCCTCGGCGCGACCACTGCCATGGCCGTATTCTTCCATGAAATCCCCCACGAAGTCGGCGACTTCGCCCTCCTGATCCAGTCCGGCTTTTCCAAACGTGCCGCCATGGGCGCCCAATTCATCACCGCCTTCGGCGCCCTCCTAGGCACCCTAATCGGCATCGCCGTCCAAGAACTCGGCGGCTCCAGCAGCGGCGTCACGGCGGATGCGGGCGCGTTGTCCCCCGGGATTCTGGGGACCAGTCTCCGGTGGGGCGATATGCTGCTGCCGTTCACGGCGGGGACGTTTCTCTACGTCGGCACGGTTGCGGTGATTCCGGAGTTGCTGGAGACGGGGCCGGATCGGGGGCAGGAGCTGAAGAAGACGGTGACGCAATTTTTGGCGATGTTTGTGGGTGCGGGGATTATGATCGCTATTTCGTGGTCATGATGCTTCCGAGGATCCTATCAACCCGTATTCACTCGACTACGCCGAGGAAGAGGGACTTTGAAGGCAAATTGCCATGCACGTGAGCGGTGGCGCTTTGCTTCGCGAGAGGTTCGTGGCAACCCAGACATGGCCGGCCGATGTTATCTTCATCGAGCTCGATTAGCTTACAAGACCTCTTTATCCTCCCAAAACCGTCTAACTTAATGTTCTCGATTACCTCGACGGAGTCAACGGTTGTCACATACTGGAGAGGCTTTGAAGATGTTACTCCAATTACTTTCAAGAGGTGCCGGCAACGGAAATGAATACATTATGCTACACGAGACACCGGGAGTTTGACAAGACATGATCCTCCAATCCTCTCAGCCATAGAAGAGTCCTCTCAGCCAGCTTCTATGGTTCACCTATATTTCATACGCATGGGAATCGGCCGGATTCCAAGTCGGTTATGCCCTACATTGCCTATCTCAGACCGTACGATTCCAGCATTGATATCAGCGGTATCGTAATGGCCCGAAATCGAAATATCTAGATCGACGCCGGCGATAGTCGCTAGTAGCTGGATGACGGAGAAACGACTTTCCTGGTGTTTTTCGAGTCGACTAAGGGGCTTGAGAAAGAGCACGTCGCGCTTTGATGCCGTGGTCTCGAACTGGATATCATTGAGTGGCATGGCCTTTGGTTTTTGTAATGGCATATAGTGGTAGAGTTTTTATACAAGTCAACGGCATCGCTCCTGCAGCTTGTGCTCGGCTTTGAAACTCCGTGTCTAAACGCTCTATACTCGAGTGAACGAGTCATCTTGATCTTGACCTCCGTGCGCGTAACCTCTCTTCCCTAACGTCATGTATATGGTGAATTTCCAATATGTCAACCAAACCCCTGGCCAGAACACGCCTGAAATGCTGAAACGGAACTCGCCCGCCTCTGGGCGAATCGCTCACCCAGCCGACAACATATGCTTGAACTTTTCAATCTACGCCCCGAGTCAGTACGATTCGTTCCGATGCCAAAGTGGCTAAAAAACTCACCTTCGTGCTCAAATACCTCTCCACCTCCGGCCCCTTCACCCCGCTCACCCCCCCGGTCCGCCAACTCAACGGCACCATCGCCACCCGCTCCTTCACCACGATCTCCTGCCTTGGGCCTTCCACCGCCCGCACCTTATCCGGATTGTTCGTCAACAGCCGGATCCCCGTCTCCCCGCCGAGCCCCAAATCCACCAACATCGCCGTCGCCAACCCATACGAGCGCGCGTCCGCGGGATGGCGCAGAAGCAGGTTCGCTTCGTACGTGTCGTTGCCGAGGTCTTGCAGGTTGTATGCTTTGAGTTTTTCCGAGAGGCCGATCCCTCGGCCTTCTTGGCGGAGGTAGACGATCGCGCCGCCGTTGGAAGAGGGGAGGGACATTAGCCGGGCGGCTTCGTCGAGTTGCTCGCCGCAGTCGCAGCGCGCGGACCAGACCGTCTCGCCGGTGTAGCACTCGGAGTGGATCCTCACGAGGGGCGCGTCGCTGTGCGGTTGCGACGGGAGCTCCTCCCCGGCGCGTTCCTCCTGCTTGATCTGATCGACGCGACTACTCGTCCGACCCGGGTGCAGACGGCCGACATACGCGCCACGGATCATGCGGTCCATCTCAGTTTCCCCGGGCCGCGGCAGGTCGAGGCTGCGGGATCGGATATGCGAGCCGAAGACGATGGCGAGGTGCTCTTTGGCGTCGGCGTCGTTGTGGTAGAGGTAGAGATACATTTCGGTGCCGGTGGTGGTGGGGATGCGGGCGCGGACGACGCATTCGACGCGGGGGAGGGCGTCGACGAGGCGAGGTGGCGGGGTGGGGAGGGTGTGGTCGATAGGGATGGAGGTGGGGGGCCGGGAGAGGGGGGTGGTGGTGCCCGGGGTGGTAGGAGGGGTGAAGGCGGGGGAGATGAGGGAGGGAGGTGGGTCGTGGGGAGGGTCGTGGAGACGGTCGTGGGGGGGAAGGGGGTGTGAGGGGGCGGAGGAGGAGGGGGGGGAGGGAGGATGGTGGTTGTGGGTTAGGGAGAAGTCATTGGGAGTCGAGCGGGATGACTGATCGTGTGGTTGGGGGGAGGAGACCGGGTGGAAGGCGGGTGAGGCGTGTGCGGGAAGAGCAGACGAGGGCGTCGATGTGGTTGAAGGCATGATGGGGATGGAGGCCACTACATAAGAGGATATGTAGATGAGTACGCAGCAATTGGGATTAGGAAGTCGTGGATGTAGGTGTGGATTAGAAGGGAATATGGGATCTGGGGTTGAAAATGTTTAAGCCTCGGAGGGGATGATGTGGGACAGACGGGGGAAGCCACGGGGAGTTGCCGACCCGAACTGGTGATCGGAACTGGTGATCCGAACACGGCCTGGACCTACTCACTATTTCTCTGTAGTCTTAACTTTCTAATATCTTGTGGCTTGTGGAGATACGATGCCGGCTTTTACTAATGGTTTACGGAAGTGTTCCGTATTCCGTATTCCGTATTCCGTACAGGTTGACATTTGCCCCTTCAAATTCCATACGCAACATCAAGGAGTTCGCATCATGCCAACCCTTTGGTATGTGTAGTTCCAATCCGAGCAACAGCCATTTGCACAGGAGTCATCGCTCCTCAAGTCTCCGGTTGAACATAGATTATTTCCTGAATGGATAGGGGTTATGTATTCGATATTCGCATTCGGCAGAACAGTAGGTGTCCCAATCGGCAATCAGTTCCTCGCTTAGTCATCCAGCCATCCAGTGCCACTGCCAGCAATAAGTGCGACATCAAGAATATGAGGCGACTCTCCGATGGCAACATTATCTCAGGAAGTTGGTTATTTTTGATGTGGCAAGGGAGATGTTTACTGTGTCTCGGCTGTGTTTCCTATCAATGACAGCATCCGATATTCGGGCACCAGTAGCACCACCACCACAGTGCCACCCAACACCTGACCTGCCCTCGGCAGCAGTGGTTACACTTGTACAATCCTTCACCCGATTTGGCTGGGATAGGCGGTTTTATTGACCTCGAATTTTATTGCTGACGTATGCATCGTGATGCTGTGCAGCTGCTCTCCTGACTCCACAGCCGCAGCCACCTCAACGGCTGGGCGAGCATTTATAGAAACGGATCAATACATGTGGGTTGTAACGCCTCTGAACGAGAATCAGGGCTAATGATTGCGCTGGACAAATTTCGTGGATGGAGCCTCCTTCTTCTACAGTGTGGCGTTGACATTCCTCGTCCAACACTCTATCTAATACAGATATCGTCAACTTCCGAAGCATTCGATCGCCTTGCTGAACAGCAAGATGGATGCAAAAGTGGCGGCCTGATCGACAGGGAAGCTAAGCCTCAGTCGGTAATTTCCTGATATTAGCGTGTTTGATATCCTCCTTTAAGTCGAATGCTAAGGCTGTTGACTTGCTGGATAGCTGAACCGCAGTCCGCAGCACAGACCCGATCCCCGTTCGACTTCCACAGCACCAAGCACTTATGACTTAACACTCCAGTCTCCACACTCCACTGAGGATTGCGTACATTTCTGTTCTATTCATGTATGGTTCGGTTTTCTTCTTGACCGTCCTTCTCGCCGAAGCATCCTCTCTTCCTCATGTACTATCCTACCCCAACCCCAAGGAACTTAACTGAGATCTTCCCGGATTCACCATCTCCGACGGACCCTCGTTCATAACCGGGACCCTTCTCCTCTCCAGTCTCCACGCTCCTGCCAATGCAACTCGTTTGTTGATATCACGTCCAACGGACCATACACTCGTTTGCTGTGTTGTGACCCAAGAGACGGCCCCTTATAACACGAGGAATCAACAGAAGTACCTACAATAAACGAACGATCGGCATAGGAACAAAAACCCTTCGCTTTCCGACCTTCCTCTCCCCCCATCTCCTATCCACGCCGTTTCTCTTCCCTCCACCATGGCAGCGAACGACTATTACAGCTCCTTCAACCCATCAAAACCGAATGACCGACGAGAAGATGCCCCGCTGCCACCGATACCACCCCCAAGCCCTTACCAAAGCACGCCATACGACACCTCACCTGGACCGGTCGTCTCCCCCTCCTCCCCCTTCACCGATAATGCATACCCAGCGAGCTCCTTCAATGCCCAATCCACATCGAAACCGGAACACGGCATGAATCAGTATCAAGGCAACAACTATCCCGAAGACACAGCCTACCTACCAGCAACGGAACGACCAGGACATACCCAGCGCAACGATGATCCGTTCACCGACCAAAATGCGATCCCGCTAAAACCAACGTCGAATGCATACGGGGCATATGGTCATGAGAACAGCTCGCCGACGGCAGGGAACGGGGATGCCGAAGGTCAGTTTTTAGGGGGCGGCCGCCGACGAAAGCACCGGGACCCGTATGGGCAGGATGACTATCCCGGGGGAAAGAAACCGTGGTATAAAGGTCGCATAGCGTGGGCATGCTGGTTCTTAACGGCGGTGCAAGTCATCGTGTTCATCATTGAACTCGTACGAAATGGTGGGTTATCATGACCCTGACCCTAAATCAACTTGCTGACTCGAAATAGCTTCCCTTACGAGTTCCCCGATCGCGATCAAACCATCATTTAACCCCATGATCGGTCCATCTCCCTACGTTCTAATCAACATGGGCGCACGATTCGTCCCGTGCATGCGGAACGTCGAGAACATCACCAACTCCGCCGGACCCGTCTTCTTCCCCTGCCCGGAAGCCACCACCCTCGACACCGAATGCACCCTCTCCCAACTCTGCGGCTTCTCCAACGTCCCCGACCCCGTCCCCGGCGGCACCATGGATGCCTCCCCCGAACCTAACCAATGGTACCGTTTCATCATCCCCATCTTCCTGCACGCCGGCCTTATCCACATCGGCTTCAATCTTCTCCTCCAACTCACCCTCGGCCGCGAAGTCGAAGCGAAAATCGGCACTCTCCGCTTCCTCCTCGTTTACTTCTCCTCCGGCATCTTCGGCTTCGTCTTTGGCGGCAACTACGCTGCCCTTGGCATCGCCTCCTGCGGCGCCTCCGGCTCCCTCTTCGGCCTCCTCGCCCTCACCCTCCTCGACCTCCTCTACCACTGGCGCTCCCGGAAGCACCCAGTCCGCGAGCTCCTCTTCATCCTCCTCGACATCGCCATCGCCTTCGTCCTCGGCCTGCTCCCCGGCCTCGATAACTTCTCGCATATCGGCGGCTTCCTCATGGGCTTGGTCCTCGGCATCTCCATCATCCATTCGCCCGAGGCCCTGCGTCAGCGCATCGGCCAGGATGATCCGCCGTATGGACCGTTGGACACGGCGAAGGCGGGCGGGGCGATGGCGTTCGCGCGGGCGCCGCTGGGGTTCTTCAAGGGGCGGAAACCACTATGGTGGGCGTGGTGGCTGATCCGCGTTGGCGCGCTGGTCGGCGTGCTGGTCGGGTTCATCGTGCTGCTGCGGAATTTCTATGTCGACCGCGTCACCTGCGACTGGTGCAAGTATCTCTCGTGTTTGGTACGTACTTTCTTTCTTATCGTCGGCCCTGACGGTCGTGATGTAGCTGATTGTGGCTAACGTTGGGGTAGGATATTAATAACTGGTGCGATATTGGGAATCTGCAGTTCTCGGCGCAGCCGGATCCTGCTAATGTTCATCGCCGCGATCTGTTTGGGATGCAGATGGAGGCGATGCGGATGGCGGGAGCGTTTTGATCGCGTATGTCGATATTCACGGCCTCAAATCTGCGGAAATCCGTGGAAATATTGTAATTACGGGATATTACCCTACTATCGCCATGGGCACGGAAGTTCTCCGGAAATCGTTATCAGGGCATAAGATTTCAAGTGCAGGGAAGGATAATAGTGATGAAAGCGAGCAGCCTATAAATATGGCAGGGGATCAACCGGCGGCACGGCCTTTCTTAGGATGGATGAAGCGACTTATGCATGGAAGAGGGCGTTCCCGCATCTCCAATATCATCTCCAATATCGTTTCCGAAGCAGGTTGGATAGGAAGGATCGGAAAATACCCAGAACTACCAATATGGCGGCATATGATGGAGCAGACTTCTTGCTTAGGTCAGGGCGAACATGCACTGCACATAATCTTGTTTTCAATCGCATATGAAACCACACCGCGTCCCATAACCTGCTTGAATCATCGGTATAGATAATATACTGAACCCCTTCCCCCGACCGTCCTAGTCCACCCGCACGAGCGTGCCCCATATCCGTGGCAATCCGCGCCAGGAGGTACATGTGGTCTTTGGGAACGAATCGTTGCCCATCATCCGAGAAACGCCATCGCCACTATGCCGAGCCGTTTCCCCCGTCCATAAACCGGATATAAATATGCGAAAAAGAAAGTTATTCGTGAGGACGTGGGTCAAATATGGTAGGATCTCAATATCCTGAGACCACCCTCTTAATGTCATTCATGCGAGCGTTGAAGATTACCGTCCTCCATTGGACCGTCGCGACCCCCGTCACTCCACCCTCCGTGGCTTCCACGCCTTCTTCCGCATCATCAGTAGCGGGATCACCGACACCTTCGACCCGACGCCCGCCACAGCCTTCCGATCGATCGGCGTGCGGCAGACGGGGCAGCTGCCGAGGATCTTGGTGGAGTTGGTAGCGCGGTCGCGATCGCGGTTGCGGTTTTCGATGGAAACGAGGGCTTGGTGGAGACACTGGTTGCAGAAGACGTGGCCTAGATAATGGATGTGAGTCATAAGATTTCAGAATGGAAGATGAATGGGGGGTGGGACTTACCGCAGGATGTCGCGGTGAGATTTTTCGGTAGCTCCATGCAGATGACGCAGCTCAGGCGGGAGAGACGCAAGGGTTTCTCGGTGGCTTCGGATTGCGAGGCGACGGCTTCGGCGCGCTGCTTGGCGAGGGCGGCGGCGAGGGGGTTCTTGTCCGGCGTCGGGGGGGCGTCGTCGTCGACGTGGATGAGGTTGGAGATGGACACGGGGCCCGTGCGGCGCGTGGAGTTGGAGGAGTTGTGCGGGGGGCGGAGGGACGCGGTGGCAGGACGGGGCGTCGCTCGGCGGGAGGGAGTCGCTCGATGGGCATCGGTTCGCTCTGCCCCGGCGGTGGTTGATGGTTGGGACCACGGATCGGGGGTTGGCGGGGAGGAATCGAACATCCCATTTCGCCTAGGGGACGTCCAATCGGGGTCTACTGAAAGGCCGTGTTGGCTGTTTCCCGTCGCGACGTCGTGCCTCGGGCCATTCATCCCCGACGAGACGAAATCGTCGAATTCGGTGCTCCAGTCCCGCGTGAGGCGATAATCTCTCCGTGCTCTTTTGCTCTGTCGGGAGCTCCCTTCGCCCGCGCTGGCGTCCCGGCCATCGTGATAGTTGGGGGATCGAGGCCGCTTTTGGTCGTGGCAGCGGCTTCCCGATGGTCGTTGGGAGCTGGAGAAGCGGTTGTGCGGGACAGGAGGGGAGTCGGCGGTGAGGTCGACAATATCGGCGGATGGGGCCATATCGTCCGTTGCAGTGTTGTGGGCAGGAGGAGAAGTGTGTTCGGGAGGTGCGGTGGTGTTGAAGTCGGTTTGATAACCGAATGGCAAATCGGTCGGGGTGGGCGTGGTGGAAGAAGCGAGAAGGAGGTCGGGGGGTGGAAGAGCCGGGGTCAACGAATTCAAAGGATGTGAAATGGTGGATGGGCGACGAAAGAAATCGCTTTGGTCGGCGGAGCGATGGTCCCGCGGAGGACTTTGTTCCGGTTGCTCCAGGTCGTTTGCAGTAGAAGTGCGAAGTCTGGTGAAGAAGTCGAAGACGCTGGTGATGGAGCGTGGGGCAAAGGGCGAATCAGGATGTCGATCGAGAAGGTGGTGGGGAGGGAGTGAATGTTCACTATGATTTGAATTTATCGATGGATAAGCCGTTGCTGAATCGTCCGAGAGGGGGAGGAGAGTGGAGTTTAGCAGTGGTGGGGAGTGGACATTGTCTCCATCGGCATCTTGTTTCGACATGTTGTTCGCTCATGTGTTGAAGGGGATGGTGGTGAGGTTTGGGCGGCAAGGACAGGGATCAAGCTGGAGGTCATAACTAGAGTTGCAAATGCATGGTCCAAGGGAATCGCAGTCCAAACAGAGAAAGTTCAAGAGGTAAAGGTGAAATAGAAGTGTATTCAAGAGGAGGGGATATCGGTCGGTTGGTGATGGAGGAACCGGAAGTCGGGCATCACCTCAGTCACAGAGGGAGTGTGCTGTGGCGCTGTAATCACACAATAACGTGGTAAGACATGACTGCAGACTAAGATAGCACAATGCCTCAATTCCACCTGGAAACAGGCCACACTGCTCATACCACCTGTTTCACATAAAAATTCCTTCATAAATCACACGTACACTTGTATCGTTGCTAAAGTCGAATCCAAATGATATGAAGGTGATGTGATGTTGATGCCTTGTTGATGCCTTTATGCCTGACCATCTTTGTCCAGTCACATGACATATTAATGTTCAGTTAGGCTTCAAGGCCCTAAGGCAACCATCTGCGGAGATTTCTCCACGTCCATCGCGTCTTTGGCCTCGACGTGATTGCGACTCAGCTCAGATAAGATGATGTGAATGTCGCAAGCTGTTGGGCCTGCTTCAACCCCCTTTTGAATTCCCAAGATGCCGTAGCCTAGGATTCACCCACACATCTTCTACACCATGCGTGCTTGTCGCTCGTGTGAAAGAGTGTTGCCCACCTTCAGAACCCGGCCTCTCTATCGATTGCGCCGACCTCCCTATTCCCCTCTATCCGGTTCGCATTCTGTTCGACCTTACTCCGACCTTCCATCCACACAAAATGATACCCAAACACCCAAGTCGCTTTCCGGTACGCAACTCTTCGATCCTCGCGGAGTGGCCGACCAACTGATTGTGTCCCCCAGTCCCCACCACCCCTCGATATAATCCGATAGGCGTCGAACAACTCTCCTCCCACCTCCACTCCCAGCTGTTTCCCACCCCGTCGTCCCCACCGTCCGAAGAACTAGTCGAAATCTCCAAAGCGCATCTACGCGCCCACGATCTACTGGGGAAAAACGTCAAAGATGCCGACGCCCGCCCCATTTCCTGCGATCTCCCTCCCCTGCATGGCGCCTCCGTGGACGAGCACTTCTACAAGTTGGGGATGGATGCCGCGGAACCCTACCTGAGCATTTCGCAGAAATTCGCACGCGCAAATGCGCCCCCGAAGCCGCGGAAATGGGCCCGGCGATCCGGATGGACGAAGTACCTTCCGGACGGCAGTTGGGAGCCAGTCGATGCTCCGGAAGGCGATGCGATTGTTTTTGATACCGAGGTGATGTGGAAGGAGTCGAAGTTTGCGTGTTTGGCCGTGGCAGCCTCGCGCTCCGCGTGGTTTGGCTGGATGTCACCCTGGCTGTTAAAGGAGAGCGAATCTGATCAGCATCTCATCCCGCTGGGGGATACCAGTGTGCCTCGAATCATCGTTGGACACAACATCGGTTACGACCGTGCCAGGACCTTGGAAGAATACAGTTTACAGCAGTCCAGTAATTTCTTCATAGACACCATGAGCCTGCATGTTGCTGTCAATGGGATGTGCTCCAGGCAACGACCGACCTGGATGAAGCATCGCAAGGATCGAGAACTCCGGGATAAGATGGCGGAATCAGATGATGCGTCGGATCTATCCGTAATGATTGAGTCTGGCATGAGTCAAGAGGAGGAAGAGCTTTGGGTAGGAAGAAGCTCAATGAACTCACTCCGAGAGGTTGCTCAGTTCCATTGTGGGATCGCTGTGGACAAGTCCAGGCGAGAGTATTTCGGCGAACTGGACAGGGATGGCGTCCTCGAACGACTTGACGAACTCATGGATTACTGCGCTGCAGATGTCGAAGTCACTCATATGGTGTACAGGAAAGTCTTTCCCAGCTTCCTTGAAACGTGCCCGCATCCGGTCAGCTTTGCAGCTCTGCGCCACCTCTCCACGGAGATTTTACCAGTTAACAAGAGTTGGGAGACATACATCGCCAAAGCCGATGAAAAGTACAGGGAGCTCTCTGGAGCTGTCACCGACAGGTTGCGAAAGCTGGCGCAACGGGCGGTGAACATGAGAAAAAGGCCCACAGCTTATGAGTCGGATCCTTGGCTTTCACAGCTTGACTGGTCCGGCCAAGAGATCAAGTATTGCAAACCGAAAAAGGCGGGTGAAACGCCGCGACCAATGGCGAGACAAAAGGCTCCCGGTATGCCCAAGTGGTATAAAGATTTACTACCGACGTCAGCCGCTACAGAGCCAGTCCTGACGGTCCGGACGCGTGTCGCTGCTCTCCTACTCCGGTTATCCTGGGATGGATTTCCGCTCGTGTGGAGCGATAAATTCGGCTTCGTCTACAAGGTGCCATATGAGAAAGCGGCGCACCACGCGGAAAACGGGGCAACCGAATGCAACATGGTAGAAGATGAGAATATCTCTCTACAAGACGACGTGGAGCATAGATACTTCAAGTTGCCCCATAAAGATGGTCCAAGTGCGCGGTGCGCGAATCCTCTAGCAAAAGGATATCTCCCATACTTCGAGAGTGGGAGGCTGAGTAGCGAATATTCATACGCTAAAGCCGCGCTGGAGATGAATGCGAGCTGCAGTTACTGGATCAGTGCAAGAGACCGCATCATGTCCCAGATGGTGGTCTATCTATCGTCACTCGACGAGAACCCCAAATCCAAGCGAAAGCGGAGCAAATCCACCACGACTCGACGAAAGAAGGTCGACCCGAACGACATTGGTATCATCCTTCCACAATTGATTCCGATGGGGACCATCACCCGACGATCCGTTGAGAACACCTGGCTCACGGCTTCCAACGCGAAGAAGAACCGCGTCGGGTCCGAACTCAAGTCCTGCGTCGTCGCTCCACCAGGATATGCCTTCGTCGGCGCCGACGTTGACAGTGAAGAGCTATGGATCGCCTCGCTGCTTGGAGATGCGCAATTCGGCTTGCATGGCGGCGGCGCGTTGGGCTTCATGACCCTCGAAGGCGAGAAGAAAGCAGGGACGGACCTCCACTCGCGCACGGCATCGATTCTTGGAATCAGTCGGAACGATGCGAAGGTCTTCAATTACGGCCGCATCTATGGTGCCGGCGTGAAGTTCGCATCCACCCTTCTCCGTCAATTCAGCCCGTCGATCGCCGAGTCCGAGGCAATCGGAACGTCGCAAGCCCTGTACACGCAAACGAAAGGCAAGCGCACGATGCGTCGCGCATTGCATGACCGGTCCTTTTGGCGCGGCGGCTCCGAGTCGCTAGTTTTCAACACGCTGGAAGACTTCGCCGAGTTGACGCGACCACGCACCCCCGTCCTCGGCGCCGGGATCACCGAGGCGCTCCACAAGCGGTTCATCTCCAAAGGCGCCTACCTGACCTCCCGCGTCAACTGGGCGATCCAGAGCTCCGGCGTGGACTATCTGCACCTGCTGATCGTCGCCATGGACTATCTGATCCGCAAATTCCTCATCGACGCGCGGCTGTCGCTCACGGTGCACGACGAGATTCGATACCTGGTCGCAGAAAAAGACAAGTATCGCACCGCGATGGCGCTGCAGGTCGCCAACATCTGGACACGTGCTTTGTTTGCCGAGCGCGTGGGGATCATGGACCTCCCGGCTGGAGTGGCCTTCTTCAGTGCTGTGGACGTCGATCACGTGCTGAGGAAAGAAGTCGATATGGACTGCGTCACCCCTAGCCAGCCGAATCCCATACCCGCGGGAGAGTCGCTGGATATTGACCAGCTCCTTGATTTGGGCGAAGTAGCCATGCTGCAGCCTCCCTCAGCAGAGGTACGCAGCGCCGAAACCCGCGCCACAATGCAACCTCCCAACCCCGACCGCTTCCCCTACGAACCGACCGCCCCCGTCATGCGTGAGCTGGCCTCGCAGAAATCCACCGCCGTCCGCCTCGCCTACCTCCGCGCCCAGGTCTGCGAGTCCGACACCGAGCTGCGCCAGATCTTACAAGAGCTGCGCCTCGCCGAGAAAGACTCAAGTCGACACCCATCGTTGGCGTCCGACGAGTTCTCGGCCGTCGATCCGCAGAATTTAAAGCAGGGGAAGACGGCGAAACCGCGGAAGAGGGCGAATAAGAGCGGGCGGAACGCTGGCGCCGCTCGTAGTGTCGGTGAGAGCGACGGGAAGGGGTATAGCAATTATGTGCAGAGCGCGACGCTGGTTCCGGTGGATTTGCCCGAGTCGATGGGCGTGCAGGGACATGTGCACAACGGGTTTGCCGGATGGCGAGGGTATGGGCACAATGGCGTTCATGTGCGGTGATGGTGCTACTGTTGCGTTGCTGTCGCGCATTTCCCGGAGTTCCGGATGTTGGATGGGGAGTCTCCGCGGGACGGTTCGGGCATATTGTGTGGATCTTTTTACAGGATTGTGTGATGTTCGAGGGATAGTAGACGCCCTTGCAAACAGATATGATTTATAGTCGGCGTAATCATAGCCTAATAGCTTATTCTTGTGATATTCTTTTATCTTCTCAGTGATCTAACTTAATCAAGTCGTTGAAATTAAGCAGGGCATACAGTCCCTAGTTAGGGAGCGGGCCATATTAGCTCATCGGAATTAGGCACGGTGATAAAGCTAATATATGATTGTGCGGCATCTAGTTTCATGTGGAGAAGAACCATTTCTGCCACTTGAAGCGAGTCAGCGAGTGATGTACTGTTGAGACATCATACCCGAAACAGCCGCGATGCCTCAACGGGTCATCATGACGCTGGGCTTGAATCGAGTATCAAGGTCAAATGGTTTTCAAAAGCACAAGTCCGGCAGAACAAACGAAGGATATAATCGTAATTTGGGCATTTATTCTGTTGTCGTCTCTATCAGACTGTATCAGAAACTATCCTGGGACATAATAATAGTTAGGGGTATTGTGATCTAGCTTCTATTGGCATCGATCTATATTGGCCGTCAATCGCGGCAAGGTGTCAATATTCACACCGGAAACCCCGTCCAGATGAACCTTCCATAACTCCAAATCCAAACCAAACTCCAGAGGCAGTGTCTCGTTGATCATGTCATCGCTTTAACCATCAATTGCGTTCTCTTGTCGGTAGGCTTTCGCCTTGGCCAACTTTCTTGCCTCCAATGCCATCGCGTGCTTGACGGCGCCTAACACATTGTCGACTGTTGCCTTAGGTTGGAAGCGTGGCTCGGTGCCTTCTTGATATACGCCAGTCCGTACTAAGATCGAGTACCAATTGTTGTCTGAGGTTTCGTTGTACTCGTTGGTGCCGCGGATATCCGACTCAGGCGTGTCTCCGACGAAGTAGACCGTCTCCGGTGGCGAGTCGATGGCGTGGGTGTCCTTCCGCCATTGCTGCAGCAGACGGGTCGCGAACTCGAAGGTTCCGAGCTGCGGCTTGCCAAAGGCGGTGGTCTGGAGCTCCTTGCCGGTCACGGCCTTGAACATCGCCTCCAGCGATACGCGAAGCGCGCCCATGCCGATACGGGTCAGGTCATGCGAAGCGCTCCAGACGACATCGTTGTGGGAGAAGAATACCGGGGGGCCTTCGTCGAAGTTCTCCGATCGGGTTCCCAGGCGGCCGTTCTTGCTCATCAGCAGGTCGAGGATGATCTGTTGATCGGCAGCCCAGTCGCGGCTATCGGCGAAGACGAAGATGGCGTCGATCTCGGTCTCGCCGAAATTTCGGGCCCTGGAGTTTCTAAATTCCTCGTTCGTGAGTCGCCGGAAGGGGGTAGTGTCGGCATTGTCTTTGATGATGTCACCGGGTGTGACGACGTCTTTGAATCCGTAACCTTCCGCAACCTGTCGACACTTCTCTCCCTCGCCGCCGACGACAAGGACGGTGTGATATCGCTCTGCCATTTCTCTCATGGGAGTATGGCCGCAGATGAACTGCCCCGGCGAGACCTCTTGCTGGAGCTGCTTGCTAAGTTGTACGCAACGCTCCTGTTCAGTCTTTCCACCGCCGTTTGTGACGAAGATGTATGGCCTGGGAAAGGTTAGACAATGTCTGTGTCGTGGAGCGTAGATGCCATGACTTACACTTTGATGCCATACTCATTCTGTCCATTGAGAGTCTTCATTGCCTCGATAGCCTCGGGAATGACCGTTCCACCCCGAATGAGGACACCGTCAATGTCGAACGCCAGAGCGAATTTGTCGGTGACAGCCGTTTCCATCGCTTGTTCAGGGGTTGAGGTGTCCGATCGAAGCTCATCAACCTCCTCTCTTGCGAGAGCCATGGCGTCAGCCACCTCGCTCGCACCGGATGGGGCCATGAGGTGTTTCGGGGGCATGACCACGGTCGGACCTTGGATAAGGTCCTCTCGGGTTGCCTGGATAGAACTGAGTCGACGGGCATGGTGTTGCGAGTTCGACGACGATTTGAAATGGGTCGGCATCTTGACAGATTCTTTCGCGAAGGAAAGGGCGAAAGTAGAGAATACTCAAGGCGGAAGCAGCTAATGAGAGAACGATTGCTGCTTAGATACAGCAAGATAAAAATAGACGATATGTAAATTGATACGTGTATATATGAAGAGTTATCTTGTTACTCGAGGATTTGGAAGATCAGCGAAAGGGTCTTGAGCGGTCGCCAGAGCCCTTTTATGTCTATGGTCATTCCGCTTGTTTGGGGAAGCATCTTCTTCCACAGTTGTTCATCCTCGAATGTGTGGAACCATGGGGTCTTGAATGCATGGAGAATGGTTCCCAGATTTCCCGATGAACGAGGGTGATGCAGATGAAATTTGGTACCCTAAGCCCATCCATCGCTCAGTGGAATGATTGCAGCCAACAGGGAGGCCGGTCGGCAATCTCTGGACGGTATACTCGGAAACAAGCGAAACGATCCCTGGTTCGGGTCCTCTGTTGGCCAAAGTGACCAAGAGATGAAGTGAAGAAAGAGTGGAGCGAAAGTGTGCAGACGAGAATGTTTAGGAGGGGGAGGATGATGATGAAGTGGACTATGACGTCGAAGTACCTGCTGAGGATTCAACCATTTCAATCCTTGCCGGGTACCTGATACCTCTCATTCGCCCGGAATGACGGTATCTCGGAGGTATTGTAACCCATGTGGGTACTGAGCCATGTTGCAGTTGCAGTTGCAGCAGTTCCATACGCCATCCGGTAGTACGTTACCAGTGGCGAGGTGCTTGTGTTTGAGGCATTGCGTCTTGTTGGGCACCGGCGTGTATTTTACCTGCATACTTAATTCCCCGTGTCCCCGCGATTGATGCAGTTGGTAGAGGATGTATTGTGCGGAGAGAGGGAAGTCGATATCGAGAAATGGCTCCCGGCTTGCGGGCCGCACAGGAGGATTGAGGCTTTTGAGGCTTGCTGCGCGTGGTAGCCGAAGACAATCCACCTCCTACGTCACACTGGAATTCAGCTGTCGTTTCAGCTACGAGATGAGCCAAGGGAAATTGGGTATTTAGGTCGGCTCCGAAGGGTCCGACTAACTACGAGCAGTAAGTCAGTAACAGAACCCCACGAGATCGACAAGAGAGCCTGCAGCCAGGCACTTTGCCGGTACGTTGAACATCAGATAGGAAGAGGAACGAAGCGGAAGATATCCATCGCTCCATGGTTTCTGCAGCTGCGGCTGACATTTACCATAGACATCGAACATCTGATTACCCTGTCCGATACTGGTAGGCTTCATAGCTACGTAAGAATGAATGACTCTAAGAAAGTCGAAAGGGAAGTAGAAATCACACTTGAGGGGGGTAGATTGGTTCATGAGGGGTTCTCACTTCTCAGGTTCTGCAAGGTCAACCCATGGTCGATTGTGATTATCGAATGTTTCATTGGCCTCATTCTAATCTGTTTAACTCGGTTGAGTTTAGACCGCATCATGCCGTCTGCTAATTTCCTGATGCTGACATGCCTGCCCTGTAACTACCAAGTAGATAACTACTAGATAGGTAAGTTATCTATGATCTATCCGACTATCATGCTAATCGCTACTCTACAGGGAGTCTACACACTGCAGCTCGCGAAGCCAGCATGTTCTGATATTATCACCTCCTCAAAGTCCTCGAAGTCCTCATGGCTCATATGAATAATGCTGTCGATTAATAATAGGCTCCAGGTCTCCCAGCGCTCACAGGACGGATCATCTCACATCTTCCACCGTTCGATATAGACCTGCAGTGCTAAATATTAGCGGTACGGTAGCTCTGTACTCTGTACGATATGCAGGCTTTCCGGACACAGCCCGCCTTAGTCGCTTGAAGCCTTTGGTCATATCTTGACTTCAAGCCCCCACGTGAGGAGCCTCATTGGTTGCGGTTCGTATTAACCTTTCCGGTGCGCCGAGTGCGTTGTTGAGGTGCTTTGTGCTGCATCAACCAGACCGGTAAGTGATCACATCAGCGCAGGAGACGTATCCTCGACAGTCCCTTGAGATGCCGCAGCCTCACATATACCGGAAGACACATGTGATGTCGATCCTGTCCTCCATTAGAGTGCTCCTGGAGAACCTCCTTCGCCCTCGGCTTGAACATAAAGGTGAAAGAATGCACGAATCCCCGTGAGTTGGTCTATCCCAGTATTTGAAGGCAGGTTGACATCAGAATATCCCATGCCAATGTCCGAGACCGCTATAAATTCGGAAGGAAATCATCGTTTGTGTGGTTGATGCATCCAGTACGGGATGTCGCCATCCCTCGGAAATGGCCGGAAAATCGAGTCATCATGGAACTTAAATGCTGTCGTGATGCTCCCTTAAAGCGATGGTGAAGAAAGATGGCATGTTCCGCAGGAAGCGCCGGAATCGACCAACATTGCTGCAATCAAACATCCTCTCGGATTCTACAGTAGACCTACGACTCTGGCAAATAAAAATCTGGATTCAGTGTTCCGAGCCTAGAATTACCGTACCAAGAGGCTGATGGTGTAGGTGACTATACAGTGTGCTAGACAGGACAAGACGCAGACACCCATCACGAGAAAGCGATGATATATTCCCGATGTTGTCAAAACCATATATACTAACCGAATGAATCGACTTATCAAAATCGCAGCCAATAAGACAAGGTATTGTTTGAATTGCAACGATGTCTGTGTGGAGGTTTTCTACTGTGAGCCTCACGATCATGTGCCCGTCGTCAGGCACCCAACGCTTATTTTGACCACACTTGACTTTGTTGCTATTTCGCTCTCTCTATGAATGAATGAATCTTGGTCTTTGCCCTGGCCTCCGTACACAGTTCTATAATTCCTGGAAAACGCAACATGAACTGGGTAGGTGGGAGGCTTCGCCGCCATTCCAAGGCAAACTCAAACACCGCGAAAGCGAGGCAGCGTGAGTATTTCGCGAAACAGAAAGGCAAGCTCGGCACGGAGTCGCTTTCATACTTCGAGAATTTCAGGCCCGACTTTCTACCTCCGGACAAGGCATCATCGCAATGGCAAGGTCGGCAGCAAAAGCTTGAAGAGTTTGAGTCAGTCGCTCCAGTTGTCAAACGGCTGATCTCCATGACCCCAAGAGTCACTGGAACCAGTAAATCTCACGGCCCTAAAAATTCGCTTCAAGGCAAGCTTGATCTGCGCTCAAATCATGCCGAGAGCGCCAACATAGCGGACAGACTTCAACACCAAGTGGTACCTCGGGCATCACCCTCAGGGAAGCTTGATGTTTCAGACGAGCACTCGAATCCAGGGGAGAAACTGACCAGAGAAGAATGGCTAAAAGAACAGAGAAACCGACTTCTCGCTCAAGATGATTGGGCGGGGCTTCGAGTTACCCAACCCTTACGCATGGCGTTCGTCTCGGACGCAGAGCGATCGATGATTGGGAAGCGTCGGAAGATTAACGGCGATGGCATATCGATGTTCGCCAAAAGACATCTCAAGCAAGCAAATACCACAACTCCTGAGCCGACTCTAATACAGACACATACGAATACTCACCACGGCGGGGACAAGGGAGACATCATTGTACGGATTGGCACGAATGCCTTGGACAGCACTCAACACAGTTCTCGTCCAAACTCATTGTCATTCGATCCTTTCGAATCACCAGACTCTATGCTTCTGGACCATGAGGCGAAGCCTTCTTCGACTCCATTGAAGAAAAAAATGCTTGACGTCAGAACTAGTATCCAACAAAGAGAGTTCCACCCCCAAATGGAAGACACGTTCAGAGACGACGACTTCCCCATGCAGCCGCCACCAAGTTCTGTCTCCTGGGTGCATACCCAGTATTCACCTACTCCGTATGCACAGAATACGCCTCCATCGATTTATGCGAGAGCCCCCGCTTCAGTTCCAATCTTCACTAACGCATATCTGCCTAACGACCGGCCATATACTGGCTACGCAGTGTCAGAAGAGGAAGATGATGATAGGGTGATCAATCCAGCTTCCCAAAACTACCCAAATATGCTAACAGAAGCTCAGTGTGCGGAAAATGCGCCGGCATGTGCACCGGAGCGATTACCCTTTGGGATTGACGCGCCCGTTCTCCCTGTTGACAATCCTGTCACTCCTGCTGCGCGGGCCCTCTCAATCATCACAATCTCAAGCACTACAAGCAGTGATTTGACGTATGCTGACAACCAATCAATTGGCAATGAGGCTGTTGGCAATATGCAGTGGGAATATGTACTTGGGGTTCCTCAAGGCAATGGTATTGCGACCATAGGGGGCAAATCAGGGGCAAACGAGAACGATTCGCAAACAGCTAATCCAAGCGGACACCAGCATAGGACAAAAACGCGAGCGCCTCATGAAGGTAATCCAATCTTGCATGAGTCTCAATCAGCCCTAGAACAACTGGACTAATACGGCACAATAGGAACTGAGGCCGGCCAGGGAGGCAAGGAGACTGACCAGAAACGTGAGCGGGAAAGGAATGAAATAGAAGAAGAAGAATTGTGGAAGCGTTTCGTTTTCGGGTCCGAGCTAGACAGTCGGCAATCCCCAACGGGAAAGGGGGCCAATGTGGAAAGGCAGGAAGAGCAGGATATGGGAATCAAGAAACATCAGGAGTCCTCCCTCACTGTGAACGTGGGTACGAGTTCTTCAAATTCGATTCTGTTTATCCAGCCATCGACACCACGAAGCAACGCAGCTACAAAGGCCTCAGAACCACTGAACACCAGTGTTGACTCCAGCTGTGCGCAGGAACGGGAACACCAGGACAACTCTGCATCCTTTGTCACCGGAAAACTTCCACAAGCTGGATCTGTGTCATTCATTAGCTCTTTTGCAGCCAGTGAGTCGAATCAGGGGTCTAACGGCGGTATTGATGCTCAGTCACGAACTGGTCAGCTTTCGTCCAAATGCCGTAGTCCACTGGAAATGCTACCGTCGCATTCACATTACCAGAATATGAAGTGGAAACGGCCGCAGCAATTCTCATCTGACCTTGAGCCGTCTAAATCTCAGGGCTTCACGGAACTGGTTTCGAACAGCCATCATGGCGCCCATCCGCCACGTCCATCAGCCTTCCAATACTTCCCTGGTCGTCCTGAGCATTCCAAGCCTCGGCCATTGATTGAAGTTGCGGAGGATATTGAGGAGTGAGAGATCCTATTCGATGTCTGACGAAGGTGGAACCTCCTAAGCATACCCACGCAATATCAAGCTCTAAATTCATCCGCGTTGTCGTTGAGCATTATCTTACCCAAGTTAAGTTATTATCTATCTAGTTAGTGATAAAGCTAAGATCCGGGTCCGGTCGGGAAATTAGCATATATAGTAGTCAGCACAGTCTTGTTCTTGCAGATCGAGTTTAACATGTTTTTCAGTCATTTCAGATAAATTCTTTCGAGTCGTCGATCTTGTTCATAGCTGCTGTTTTAATGTTGTAAGCCACAAAATCATAGCTTCGACACAACCCATATTCCGGGGTAGCTGGTTTCTGGACGGCTTCGTTTGGATGCCATGCGATCTCACCTGCTTCTAGGACTTGGACATCGATCGTCGTACCGTAGTCCTCAAAAGTTTAGGAATAGGAAGGTGGCAGGAAATGCGCCATCGATCTTCATATTGACCTCTTAACGAAAAGTGAGGTGAGCTGCTGAGGCCTGACTGTGCTCCTTCTTCAATGGGGCCCTCCAAGCCGCGATATTTTACTCGTACCAGCTGGGAATGACGCCTTCCCAGCGTCTAGGTATACCACGGTCTGGCCTCTGGCTTGAGCGAGAATGCATCCTGCAAGTCTATTCGACATCTGGTTACTCGGAGACGGCTCGAACCGACCCATAAACGAGGAGGTCCGAGCCTTACCCGATTGCTTGTTTTTCCACGCTCGGTCACAGGACACCGACATCTCAATATCGCCGCATTCAAGTGCCGAAAGATAAGACAAGAATTTCGCGACGCCTGCTGCGGCTATGCCAATAAACATCCGACAGTCCAAACAAAGTCAGGGAAGCTTGATCCTTGCAAAAAAAGCCTTCCATTGCGGCGTCCCAACCTTCCGGTTCCGCAAGTGAATCGATAGAGGAACGTTGCTGTGCCATACTGAGGATTCATAGGATTGCCGCTACTGTCTACGCATCCTTTCGCTGACAGAACCCCGCATCGTGCGGATAGCGTAGGCAGCTTTCATGCACATCAACATTGTATTCAAATCGTCTCAGCCTTGAACGTTGGTAGACATTCATAGCTCGCCCTGCATCCTGAGAGCGGAAGCCGGCAAAGGCGGGTGTTGTGAACATGAATGACACTTGCTTCGTATTCATCCGCAGTTGACTGCGGGACAGCGGTGGGGGATACGTGGATGCGGCATGTCAGCCATGGATTCCGCGAATAATCCTGTATGTTATGGGATTTAGCGCACAGCGGTCCTGAATCGAATAGGTCATATATCCTAGTTGTTTCTTTAAACTGCCAGGTCAACCGTCGTGCAGGTAACCTCCTGAAGACTGGTGAGTTCAAAGATGGAGTCGGATATGCATGTCTCAGAGCGGGAGTAGCGGAGAGGCCCAGGTGTTGCAGATGTCGTGCATATCGAACTCTTGCAAATGTGGGGTGATCGGACAATGTCGTAGGGAGTGGAATGTAGATGGATCTTTGGCAAGGGTATGCCCTCATCCGTGTCCTTACCCGCGTGTCACCCTGACTCTGACGTTCGAACACCGAACAGGGCATCATGTTCAATATTTTGAAGCGATCCAAAGTTGATAGATGACCCGAGCAGGCTCGAGGCTTTGGTGAGGCGTCCCCAAAGTCCAAACGGTTTACAGGGCGTTTGGTTGCAATTTGCTCCTGTAGGCTAACCGAGTACTGCGGCTACAATGCGTCTCCGCCTGGGCAGATAAGAATTGGCCTGCAGCCAATCCTTGGTGGAATGAGAAACATCCTCGCTCTTTCTATCCGCGGTGTTGGTTTCCAAAATATTGCCCCCGGAATCATCTGTTTGAGTATATCCCGAACTTGATTGGGGCGAATACTGTCCGCGGAGCGACAGGAACGAGGAATTGGTCGAATGCATGAAAACATACCATCGATAATGGTTTATCCAACTACAGGATATTGACGCCATCCCCAGAGTTGCGCTATGGGGTATTAACTGTTTTCTTTCCCTGCTTTCTTTGCCCCGCCGTGCTCACATACTATATAGGTGCACAAGATATCGGACCATTTGGAGTGAAAAGGTGACATTGGAGTCATGTGAGAAGCCGAATCTGCACGAAATCATTTGGGAGCGTTTAGATTCCGCATCTGCTTTACCATAGGACACAACACAGCCTATGAACAAGAGAAAATGCATAATTCTAGCTATAATGCGTATTACGAAAGGGTCAGAATCCTCGGCATGGAATCTAGTTATTCTAGCTTCATCTTAGAGTCCCGGCGTCGGAGAGCGTTTCGCATGCTGACGTGGTAAGTCCGAAGTATAATCTATGATATCAGATTGCACATCCCGGGTCGGGCGGATGCGATATTAGTATCCTGAAACGTTGTGACCTGCGAGAACTGAGAAGGCTTTGTACTGTTTGGAGTCCCTGGTTCCTGTCGATCATCGTACGTTTATTTTCCGCTGGTGCCGGATGCTCACATCCAATTCGAGCCGGATATGGGGTGCCGTAGTGCTCGCATGGCGGACGGCAGAGCATAACGAAATGTGAAACTTCCCTAGGTTGCAAAGACCAAAGAATCCGATCGGACTTGCCTCTAATAGATGCTCCATTTCCGCGGCGGTGGCTTGAGGATCGTATTTCGTATAGTAGCCACGTCCTGAGTCGTGTGCCATGGTTATGGCCTGATCCTCATCTCCCAAACGTTTCAAAAAGGAGACGTCTATTAAGGGATATGACGATTGACGAAGGTCCTTGCTGCCCCTCCCGTGGAAAGTTTCGCAGAGCCCATCACGCCGTAGGCATTGTATCGAGCTAATCGGAGAAAAAAGTAGGGAGGCGGTGCTACTGGTGATCCTCCGCTGGCAATATGTCCGAGCCTCCGAGGATTCACGATGATGATGCTCAGTGGGACCATCCCGCGCCATTCCAACTGGACGGCCACGATCCCCCTAAATTGGCGCGATACACGTACATAGTACATTTCTTCATCCTTGACGATGATAGGCTTCCCGGAAACTCGGCGCACCACGGATTGTTTCCGTTCACCGCATTGGACGCAAGAAATGGTGGCGCACAGTTTGATTGGGCGGCATTGAGACGAGGTACCGCCCAAAGAGGAAAATCGAGCGTCAGTTCGCGATGTCGCTGCGATGATTGGGCGATCTCGCGTCTCAAGTCTTGTTCTGGTCACACCGCCCATCAGTCAGATGAGTGCCTGGATTCCGCATCGTGACGATGGAATGGACGCGGATGAATGGATACGTTCTCCTTGATGCACCGAGATAACCATTCGATGGCACCAGTCCAGGCGGAGAGGGATCCGCAAGAATGGCATGGCGCCGACACGATCCTGGCATCTAAGAAAAGACTAGGTAAGTTACATCGTCTCGTATTTATGGTTTGGGCAGCCGACTTTCCATGGAGCAGCATAAGATCAACATCCTAGGAGGATTTCAAGCATCGGCTGTCTTGAGCCTCGATATGCCCCACCGTTGCGAGGACAGCGCATACTATTCATCTATAGAACTTGTATTGATAGTACCGTACGGAACTAAGCTGCAGGCATCCTCCGACAGGTACAGAACACGGCATGTACTGATGCATGCTATTGTGCCGAAATTTCAGTTGGCATCCATAATCTGTTGGATATCCAGATCATTTTAGGGCAGTGTGGTCCCCTTTCCTACACTGATCTTTTATTGGCATCGCAGGCCTCAGGGGCTAGCCAGTCCAACGGTGCTAACGCGATCACTGGTCGCTGCAAAAATAGCCACTCCACATTCCACAATGACACCTTCGTTCGAGAACTTGCTTAAGGGCAGACAAAGTCACAAGCCTTGGGTCTTTTAGCTTGATGGTCCGGTGAAAATACCTCCATCTCCAAGAGGCAAGAATGAGGTTGAATACCTACTTGCACACTAGAGCTTGTTCTCTATTCGTAGCATTCATGAAATCGCCAGCGCGGATTCATTTCTAGGAAGCGCTATCACTAACTAGTGGAACTTGGAGGGGTCCACGTTACTTTCTCACTTTCCGAGGTGTCCCCGTGAGGGTACCGTGTTCCAGTTGGACGAACGCAAAAGCTTCTGGAAATTCTTTCGAAAGTTCGATTCTCTTGGCCCGAATCCAATGTCCGGGTGTCATGGCCCCATGGCCATGCCACAAAACCAGGATCATACCAGAGACCTAGGGTCTATTCGAAGTGCAGCTCCTTGGGGAATGGGCACCCTATTCTGTTGTCCTTCTCCTCTTCTCGAAGCAGACGGTGCATGGCGGTATGCAATAATACCTAGGCTCAATAGGACAGGGTTGGACGAGGAGCAACTCAAGACCATACGCGACCCTGTAGGTCTGCTCGTGACTACTGCCCGCGGTGAGGGTGTGACGGATGATGCTGCACCAAGACTTCGATAACCCCATGTGTGAAGCCTATCTTCGCCGCATTTTCGTCTGCTGTGGGCGCTCTCGTACCAGCTTCGAATCTTCGATGGTCTCGCAAGGCGCCGAGTCGCAGGGTTATTCAAACGGGCAAACGACATGGTGTCGTTGCGCAATTTGACCTGCGGGATGCGACATTTGTTATTATGACAAGCTGAAGAGAGGAAGCTTCTAGGAGTCAGGGACCTGAGACCTCCTCCTAGTCGAAGGGTCAATAGGACGACGGGTCGGGACAAACCCTGCTTCGCGTGGATGGGACCAAGGCGCAAGGCGGCAAGGATCTTGGACGGATGGACGGAAGCCCCGTCAGCTTTGACATCGGGGTGGGTGTACCGTGTAACTGTGCATGAAGATTAAAATACCGTGGTGGGTGATTACATCTTCGTGGAAAATGAATCAGAGAATGGATAATGGAAGGTGACGAAGTAAGAACTGACGATCTTTGGATTCTTAGCTCCCGACGCCACGCGGTTGCGTTCCTGCACTGCGTCCGTCTTGGGAGAATTCCAGTATACGGAGATTTTCGTCCCACTCGTCCTGGAGTCTTGTACTGGGAAACTTCAAAATCATATATCTTACGGTGCTAATAGGATTACTTGTCTCGTCATCCGTGAATTTCGGACATGTTCTATCCTGGAAACACCCCTAGATAACCGACGAGGCGGTGGCACAAGCCACAAGGGACTTGGCGGAGTCTGGCAGCCTAGAGCATCGAAACAACGGCCTCATTCACTATAGCGGACTCATTTCCTGTCCCGCGATTCTTCATTACGGATTCTATTTGGGAAGCTCTGAAGAGTGAAGACTGAAAGCTACCGTACGTGCGTACCATCGAGAAGCGGATGGCTCCATGTGCAGTGCAACAACCACTAGCACCATGGCAACCCCCTTCAATGAATCACCCGAACTTCTGTGGACCGAGGAGTCTACAGGCACCAAGCCAAGGTTCAGGTGGTAATTCTATCAAGTTATCTCCTGCAGTACAGATGTACAGCAAGTCCTATCTTTCGGCATGGGAATTTCATACTCTATACCGATGCTTGACTATTCCAACAGGGTCGTAGTTTTAGGGCTTGGAATAGCTGCTGCTTTGAATTGTCCATTTGGCACTTAAATGATCTGATCCTCGGTCAGAGGTGTCGATACGGAGCAAGGAGGTCAAGGCTAAAAGTTGTACATAATAAACATTATTTCACTCTAGGGATAGGCTTTAATCAATTACCTATTGGACTCGAGGATTGGACCCTCTAGAGTGTAAGGGAGGGGTCGACGGGAGCTTAGGAGAAAGGTGATGCTGCATTCCCATTGTGAAGCACATCCATTATCCCCTCACGGATCACGGATTGATAGCCTTGCGAAATCATATGAAGGCTACGAACGACCAGCGGCAGCGGCATTTGGATCCTGCGAAACCGTCCTGGTAAATGTGACAGGTTGCTTTTGTTCCATTCGCCGTCTGCACCTGGTTAGTCACTGGCCTTCAAATGCCACCTTTGCGACGCCGCTCTATTACTGCAATATCAAATTCATATGGTTCTAGTTTGCTGGGATCACCGACGCTGCGGCATGCCGCAGTCTGCACGACAGTTAGAACGAAGCTGACGCTGCAGAAAGGCGAACCGCAGCGTTAGGATCCTGATATGCATCCTGAGAGAGGCTCAGCAAAGACATGCAGCAGTGCAAGCGGTGGTCGTGATCCTCCGTACACTCCATTCCTTACATTCCTGGTGGAGTCCAATCGAGCGGAATCACATTACACAAATCGCACCCAATTGCTCTCACGGATGGCCCGGATCATGGCTCCCCTCAGGGCTCAGCATGAAGTCTCGTGATGGGGTGTCTGAAGAGCCCAATGTGCTCCCTAGCTGCAGCGGAAACGCTTTGCAATTGGCAGTGACCCTCGCCGGTCTGACAAGGCGATGATAGGATCAGGATTCTGGCAGAATACAACTGTAGGGTGGATTCCTAACTTCAACGCCTCCCACCACCGCCAATCGTATCACGTATGGTGGAAACTGTACCTTTCAATTTGCATGGCAGCAGCGCTGCGGCATGCTCCGCGATACCACGACCCCACAAGACTACCTCCGGATGACGTCGGATATGGGAAGTTTTTTTTAGTTCGGGCTGTGTTCCATTCACCGTTTACAAGAACTGGCAACTAGCAAGAATAGCCTCCAACATACATCGAGGAGGAGAACACCAAGTTTGGAGAAGATACGCTGCGCTGTGGTGTCCTGTCGAATACCGCTGCATGAAGAGTCGGTCAAGGATACCATTGCGGAGGACCTGGATTGGACACGACATTCAATAGGCATATCACGAACAGGCCAGCTATCGTGATCCATAATCCATCGTGATTGTGTAATTCGGAAATCCACGACGCATTCCCCCATGCAAGGTTTCCACCACTGGCAGGAAGGCGGTGTCCAAGCTCCGCTGACTGATGGGGGATAAATCGGCGGTTACATATGCAGCAAGGAGCGTTTTGGGGTATTTGGGAGTTTGGACTGATATCTCGCGGCCAAGGCCGATGACTGAGCTCTCCAAATCTCGACAGCCGCGGCAGGACAGAAATTGAATGAAGCATCGTGAACATCCCGTCTAATATCCCGCTCGCCAATCCTCCAACCACCCCAGGCATATCGTTCATGTAGTCAGCTTCAAAGTCGAAAACAGCATGCACCAACCCAGGTAAGTAGGTATTTTCCCACCCCGTCCAAAACCCTGCGCAAGCCCCTGTGCATCTGTTCCTTTTTCCGGTCAAGATACAAGTCGAATGGGAAGCCTATCGCCAACTTTTGTGCAACCGAGCCAAACACGCGTGATCTTCGTTGCGCTGCGCTCAGCGGATGAGCCTATCTCGCTTCTGGATGAACTCGACGGAAGCGTGCCGTCACTGTTTCGCCGTTTCGCAATTGTCTGATCTGATCTCAATCCAGTCGGCATCGCTAGAACTTTAGTATTACGGGATCAGACCACGTCGAATCGCCGCCGGTCCCTTTTCCACAGCATCGACGAATCAGGAGAAGAACATCACGATCAGCATTCTCCTTTCTGGCCTCTAGAAAATCGGCCTCGCGCTGTCAGGCCGTCACCCATCCTTCAGTGGCAATCCAAACCGACTGTTTCAACGGTTATCCAGATCTGCAGCAAGGACAGTGGATAACAAGTGACAAGTGACAAGTGACAAGAGACAACTTAACGAATAACAAGGGGCGGTGAGCCACATGCTAAAATCCTATACGGATGTCGGATCGACTTGAGTCTTGACTCTCTAGTTTCTAGGGCCATCAAGTGAGAAACCAAATTAATCGTAGGTTGGTGCCAATCAAGGCATTCAAGAAGCGAACGCGTGGACATGGAGCGCATGCCGCATGGACCTCCCTTGTCCCCAGCTTACTGGTAACTATTATTGATATGACGAGGTGGATGGGGATGAATACGGAGTAAGGGGATGATTGTGTCCCTGCGCTCGGTAAAATGTGTTACCTCCTTTTTTTACACCTCCAACTCGGCTCCAAACCTCCCAGTGGCTCGGTACAATACAGAACGGTGTATTAGGTTGCAGGTATTGAATCCAAACCGACGTAATTAACACTAACCTTGCACCAATCCCTGTCCGACCTAGATTTCCCCACAGAAATTCTAATTCCTTCTGTTAATCCCTTCTTTCAAATCAAAGTTTCAAACATGAATGGAAGTTTGGAGTTTTAACGGACATCAGCGCCCCACGACCCACAACAGGAATCATCGTCATCAGATCACAGATGGTTTCCAGTCATAGCTAAAGTATGAGGGAAATTACTGTGGTATTAGCACGGTAGCTCACTGTCTCCTGTAATCCCGCCCTGTACTCCGTAACTTAGCTCCAGCAAAAGCTTTTTTTTGGTGGTTATCGTTGGATTTTTCCCAGCTGAAACGCTCATCCTTCTGTTCCCTATCGTTCTTTCCTTTCTTCCTTCCTATCTTGCCTATTTCAACTTTCACTTTACACATCGCTCCTTCCACAATAATTCCTCCCTCACCTACTTTTACCCCCCGATCCTCCCTCCTCTTCCTCCTCTCTTTCTCTCTTTCTCACTTTTCCATTTTCTTTCTACTTCTCTCTCTCACATCTATCCCATCTCATCGAACTCAGCTTCTTCTCAACTCTACTACACCTTCATCCAATCGGCTGGCCTTTGCATTGCATTGCATTGTTACGCGAAAATCTTCTCCCTTCCCTAACTGGCTCTTCGCGCGGTGCACGAGGCTTCTACACTCCTTTTAGGAAATCCATCAACACGGCCACCTGCCGACCTCCCACCACCACTCACATATCGAAGCGCGACTCTGGAGCTCGCCTGATACCATTCCACTTTCGATTCCACCTGCAGCTGTCCGACGCAGCTATCCGACCGAATTTCCTACTCCACATTCCACACAAGCATTGTGCATTTGGCCCTTGGCGCAAGACATCGCATCCCGGACAGCTGGTCCTGGATATCGGTCACGGACGATTTTCCGATCATTGCAACGTCGAATTGCAGATCCAAGCCATCGCATTCCGCACGAGGACAACCACTCAATCCCCCAGCCGTCTAACCCCTAGGAGACGCTGCGCTGTCTACAAAAAGTCGGAACGATCCACCGTGTGCACAGCATTCTCGCTGCAGCCCCTATACCCACGTGGTTGAGCCACTTTTTAATTTATCGCGATCCTCCAACGCGGCTTGTTCCCGCTCCTGCATCAGTGTCGGACTGTCCCGCAGTGCATTTTCTCCGGTTTGGTTCAGGTTGTTCGGTGTTGCAGCTTTCCCTGCCATAGCCCTCACCCCGTTCGTTGTCACTATCCTATTTCCCGGGTTTTGTACGACGTAACCGTTTCGAGCTTCGCATTCCCATATCCGCTACTATGAGGAAACACGCCGATTGCACCGTCCCATAGGGGACTTTTTTCTCAGATTCCTAGAAATTCTTTCCACGCTCCTCCGCACCTCTCGTTTTCCTCAGCCCGCGATGACATCGTCCGCACCTGGATCGATCGCTTCGCCCGAAGATGGCGCCCCTAACGACACCGTATCGGAGCCTCGCACTCCGTTGGCTCCCTTTCTTCCTCCTCCAATACCTATACAGCGCATCATCGCCTCCATTCCCTTGACGGTGACCCCACCCTCAGCTGCTCCTAGGTCGTCTTCTCCGCGCATCAGTCCTTGCTCCACCTCCGCTTCCCAGTTGGGTCCGAATACCTCCGTCCAAACGACACCGGAAGCCCTGGTACCTCAAATGCCGCATTCACACAGTATGGCTGCTCCATCGGAGTTTCCGGAGACATCCATGACTTCCCCCGGATCGCAAGTCATATCGTCCCCTTCCGCCATGGCGGAGGCGGTCGCCATCAATCAGCGAGGTCCTGGTCTCCTGCGACGATTGTCCCGAGGTGCACGGGGAGCCCAGACCAAACTCTCCATGAGGCGAACATCCGTCTCCCGGGCAACCCGGGATCAAAGCGCGGGACCGGTCATGCTTCGACGAAGAAGCGATAGCAATCGCGACATGACGGACGGCACGATGGATGTCTCGGACCTCGATTTAGATATTCGTGAGGATGAGGCAATTGAAGATCTTGGTGAAACGATATCGCAAGATAGCGTGTCCAATGCTCTGCATATCTATAAGTCTCCCAGCGTCGGCTCCATGGCGGATAGCGGAGAGCTCGGCGGAGACGGACCGACCCGGTCACATATCCTTCAACAAGGCATGTTCCTGACCAAAGTCAACCGAAAAAAGACAAAGAAGATCATGTTTCGACTCGACTTTGACGCCGCAAAGATCTGCTGGGAATCGTCCAAAGATCTCTACATTGACGATATCCGCGACATCCGGAAAGGAGAGGAGGCGCGCCATGATCGAGAAGAGCGTCGTGTATCAGAGGACGAAGCTCGCCGGTGGTTCACGATTGTGTACTCCGATCCCGAGAAGCAGAAGGGAAGACATACGAAGACATTGCACTTGATCGCCGAGACGGAACATGCATTGTTCCTTTGGACCCAAGCGCTCGATTTCCTGTCGAGGAGTCGAGTTAAGTTCATGCAAGGCCTCCATGCCGATCCTGAGACCGTTCTGAGGGATCTGTGGATGGTCGCGATGCAGAAAAGATTTGGCGGCTCCGAGCATCGAGAAGAGGATGAACGAGTCGACCTAGCCAGCGTGAAGCAGATCTGCCGTAACTTGCATATCCACTGCTCAGATCACGCTTTGAAAGAGCACTTCGACCGGAACGATGTTGATCGGGCTAAATCGCTTTCATTTGCTCAGTTTCAGCGCTTTGTTGGAGACATGCAGGAACGCAAAGACCTCCGAGGCATCTTTGGGAGAGCGTTGCGAGCTGGCGAGGTCGAGCTTGACAAGGAAAGCTTTTTCCAATTCCTGCGCGGTCACCAAGGGGCTCGGATTGAGTCCGATGTTGCTCATTGGACGACTTTGTTCCATAAATACGCTCGAATCGGCAGACCGAAGAATGGTGGTGCTAGTCCAAGTCAATCGGGCTCCGCGTATACGACCATGAACCATCACGGCTTTCAGGCATATATGACATCGACTGAGAACCTGGCAATCGATCCACCTAAGCTGCGTGCGGTTCTTGACAGACCCCTCAACGAGTACTTCATTTCGAGCTCACACAACACCTACCTTTCAGGCCGCCAGGTGGTTGGCGAATCTAGCACTGAGCCTTATATCTCATCTTTGAACAAAGGGTGCCGTTGCGTCGAGATCGACTGCTGGGATGGGGCCGATGGAGAGCCGATCGTCACACACGGTCATTCCTGGACTTCGAGCGTGCCATTCTTGAAGGTTATCAACGTGATCTCCGAGTATGCTTTCCGAGCGAGCGACTACCCTCTTATCCTTTCTTTGGAGGTGCACTGCAGCAATGAACAGCAGGCAAAGATGGCGAACATCATGAAAGAAACGTTCGGCTCTAAGCTTGTACTTGAACCCCTAAGCTCCGGGTCCACTATGCTCCCATCCCCAGAGCAACTTCGAAATAAAATCTTGATCAAGGTCAAAGCACCGACGGCCATGCCTAGATCTTCGTCCACATCAGAGAACGCTCCAGTACGCCGAGCGAGAGGATTGAGTTCGCCCTTCTCCAGACCAATCCCTATTCACCCAATCCCCCAGAAAAGTTACTCCGTGCCACTCTCTAGCCCACCGTCCATGAGTCCTCCGGATCGTCTTGGCAATTTCTGGCAGCAACCCAAGAGCAACATCAGTTCCGTCACGTCCGTTACCCCTCCAAGCTCGGCCGAAGAAAGCGACCAAACGGAGCATCTGGCTCGGAAGCAACAAGAGCGGAAGCGATCGCACACCAGCAAGATCGTCCCGGTATTGGGCAAATTAGGTGTATATTTGCAAGGTTTCTCATTCGATGATTTCAAGAGCACGGAAGCAACCAACTTCAATCACATCTTCTCCTTTTCTGAAAGGAAGTTTGACCCGATCACCAGAGACGCCATGAAGAAGCCTGAGCTTGAGAAGCACAATATGCAATACCTCATGCGCGTGTATCCACACAATTTGCGCGTCAGGTCGGAAAACTTCGACCCTTTGAAAGCCTGGCGTCGTGGAGTTCAGATGGTTGCATTGAACTGGCAAACCTACGACTTGGGTATGCAAATCAACGATGCGATGTTCGCTGGTGGAACCGACTGCACCGGCTTCGTGCTGAAACCAGCCGATATGCGTCCTTCGGAGTCTGCAAACCGCCATCAATTGAACCAGTATCCATACAAGAAGGCCAAGAAACTCGTCAAGTTCACGGTCGAAATCATGTCCGCGCAACGACTTCCCTGCCCAAAAGATAGCTCCATTGACGCTAACATCAATCCTTACGTGGAGATCGAGATGCACTGCGCTGAAGACAAAGGCCGCAATGTCGCATCGGGAGAAGGGGGCATGGATGCGTCCGCACGCAACGGCATATCTGGCATCGGATCTCCAGTGACGAAACGGACCAAGATCGTCTCGAATAACGGATTCAATCCTTCGTTCAACGAGAGCGTCACCATGACCCTGGAAACCAAGTATCCTAGCCTCGTTTTCATCCGTTGGACTGTCTTCAACAGCACAAGCGCTGAAAAGGTCACCAACAAGGTTGCATTGGGCACTTTCACTGCTAAACTAAGCAGTCTGAGGACTGGATACCGTCATCTGCCACTGTATGACAACAATGGCGAACAATTCCTGATGTCAACCCTCTTCTGCCGGATCTTGAAAGAGGACCACGTGGACGTCGGCGAAGTCTCATCGCCAACAATTTGTGCACCTGCAACTTCGACGGTTCCCCTTCACAAGTCTCCCAGTCTCCCTACCAGTCCTCCACCAGAAAAGTTGGCCAAGCAAGGCTTCTTTCGAAAAGCATTCGCGCGAACCCCAAGCCAACGCAGGAAAAGGGAGATCCTCGGCGACAGCGTTGGAGGCGTGCCGGGCTCTCCTACGCAGCGGTCCACTTTCAGCTGATCATCGAGACGGAATCTGAGACGGATTTCTCTCTCACCTATTTGAAGTCGATTAATCCGACCTTGTGTTTATTTTCGGGTGTGTAATGATCAGCACGCCCATCCTGGCTGAGTGATTCGGGACTATGTATCCGGCGTTTCACATCGGCAACTTGTGTATAGATTGCATGAGAAAGGCGCAGATCTATACCATTGTCGTTGTCTCGCGTCCGATGCGCATGCAGCATGCTAGCTTCATTCATGCGTTCTCTCGCTCTTGATATATATACCCATGATGTTTTTCCTTCCAGCATGAGCGCGCATGAGCGCTCAACCACTATTGTGGAAGACGTTCTTTATTTTGTGCCCCCGCCAAGTGCTCGAAGGGGTCGATGTCACCAAGGGGGTTCGGTGTTCAAAGGCGTTTCTCACGGCGCATGGTTCTCCTCCGTCTTCTCGAGATTGGCCGAAGGTGTGAGGACATAGTCACTTCTATGCCTTGCCATTTTCGGGTCTATTATCGAGACAACATTTCCTGAAGGGGCCTGTGGGTTAGGTGAAACATCTGAGGACCTTGCAGCAGGCCGACTGTCCTACCACAGCTCTCTTTGATAGATGGTCAGCATGGATTCCACGCAGTGCCTGGAAGATGTTGGAGGGGGCAGAAATTTGGTTCGCTTCAAATGTACACTAAAGGTTTTATCATGCTAGACTTCTTTTATATGTTGACCATATGCATCTCTAGCCACACGGCTGATGACTACTGGAATATGAATGAATTTAATCACGTCCAAACTGTCTGCGATGTCCACCTGTGAGACAGTAGACATATTTTGATCGCAGCGTATGCACCTGCTCCTCTGCCTATGACCGTTGCTGTCTTACAGTCGGCTCTCTTGCTTGTCAATATTTTCCAGAAATCGGGCAACGCGGCCAATGGCTTCGTCCACCACCCCGTCTTCATTCCGAGCCATATTATGAGTTGCCTCTTTCACGATTGCCGATTCCCCATCCACAATACCACCTTCCCTCTCCACGAATCCCGTCCATCTTTCCACCAGTGCTTTCTTGTCAACCTTCGCCGGCACATGCTCATCGCTCCCCGAGAACAGGATCAACAACGGCACCTTCTTTCCCCCCACCACCCCAAACGACCCCCTCAACTGCCCATCCGTCAAATCACTACTGAAGAAATCATCCTCCCCATCCTTCCCCGGCGACGCCAAACTCAACCACCTCCTCGCCGTCACTGGCGCCTTCACAAACGGCCTCACCCTCTCCCGCGGCAATACGTCTTCTCCCCTCCCCTCCGCCACCCACCCCTTCGCCAGCTCATTCAAACCCTCATACACCCCCTCTGGCAGATCATCCACCAGCCCCTCCCGATCCGACACCGGTGCCTGCAACACCGCTCCCTCGACCCTCCCCCGCTCCGCGTGCCGTCCGCGCGTCAGATAGTACATGATATCCTGGCACCCGGTCGAGTGCCCCATCAGCGCGATCTTGGGTGCGGCGCGCGCGGCACGGAGGTACGAGATGCAGGCGGCCAGCTCGTCGGCGTCTTTGGACAGGGAGGAGAGGCCCCAACCGTCGCGGGTGCTGGAGAGCTGGACTTCGGTGAGGCGCCAGGTGGGAGGAAGGGAGTGGGCGAGGCGGTGGACATAGGGGACAGTGTGGAGGGAGTCGCCGAGGCCGCCGATCCAGAGGAGGTGAGAGGGAGGGGAGGGAGGGGGGGTGGGGGAGTGTTCGAAGGCGATGAGGCGGGGGAGGTAGTGGTGGAGAATGCCGGGGTTGGCGGAGGGTTTGAAGGGTGAGGGCATCTTTGGTTTGATTTGGATTGCTAGTCTTAGCGGAGGAGATGAGAAGCGGGGTTGTTGAAGTGGGTGGTAAAAGTGGTAAATCAACAGAGAGATTGGATGGAGCGAATTTCACCAGTGATTTGGAGGGACACTGGACCTCCTAACATTGATTTGGGGGAAGAGTAACCGGGAGGTCGAGTATGGAGTTCTTTCCAGATATATTACCTCAGGATGAGATTGGTTGCTGGAAGTGAAGGGGAATATATTCCCCAGTAGCACATCTGAGTGTTGGTAGTCAACACCATATCACGGCATATATGATTTCCATCAGAAATAATCCACATTGACCATACTTACTCAGATCATACTCTGTGATCCGTACATTGGCCGTGTAATCTGTATTGCGTAACAATAATTCATGCCAATATTCCTCTTGAATCTCGCCCAGCTTTTCCCGCGATCACGTGCCTCCCTCTTCCAGCCTCCAGCTCCCCTCCATCATCAAATTCTCGATCTCCCCAAACATTAGGTCGTCGACCTCCAACCTTCACTTCCGTCGAACCGTCTCCAACCATGTCCGACACCGAAGACGCCTCCGCGCCGCAGAGCGAGCCCCTCGACCTTGTGCGCCTCTGCCTCGATGAGATCGTCTTCGTGCGGCTGCGCGGCGATCGCGAGCTCAAGGGTCGCTTGCATGTATGGATGCTCTCCTCGTCTTCTGGAACAAACACATCGAATTACCGGAGTTTGTGGGGTTGATATGCTAACTGTTGGGGTGTAGGCATACGATTCGCATTGCAACTTGGTCCTAGGCGACGTGCAAGAGACGATCTACATCGTCGAGGATGAGGAGGAGGATGAGGAGGGTACAGTGAGGGTAGGCGGCTCCTCTTCCGAAGATTAGAGCGATCGGGTCTAACGAGCGTATAGACGGTCAACAAGCAGAGCGAGATGCTGTTCGTCCGAGGTGTGTACACCCGCTTACCACTTCCTATCCCTCGCGTCTGATTGTAATTTAGGTGATTCAGTGGTCCTGATATCGCCCCAAGGCCAGCCGTGAGATCGATTCGAGAAGAACGTATATGCATCGCATGCGGAAAATGGCTTGGATGGAGGTCGATGACAAGGCGTCGCTGATGGCAGTGGAACGCAAGGTTTCGGAGTCATTGATACCCACTTAGCAAATGGATGGAGTTCATCGTTTCGAAACAAGATCAGTTCTATACTGGGCCGCGGAAACGTCGAGCAGATCATCACGTCGAGAGGAACGAAAAGTCACAGCCACGAGCGCGGGAATTGGAATTCGGGGTTTATTTCGGTCTCTGCAGACCGCTCGCTCCGGAAAATTAATATATATACACAAACACGATCCCTTGCCTCCGCATGTGGCCTTTAAAGATATTCCGCCTGATACGCCAGAGTCCTTTGTCGGGGAGGGAGTTGGAAGGGAAATGCAACCCAGAATTACGAATGAGACCTCATGTCGATGGATGTTCCCGTCCCGTGTGAATTTTTGGGGTAAGAAGGGGCGGGGGAAGCGGGCAAGGAAGAAGAACAGATGGAGATGCGCTGGTTCGCGCGGGTGTGGTTTTTATGGGGAATCAATGGTTTTGCTTGAAGGGATTTGTTCGTGATCGTCAGATGATGCGGTGAGAAAGAACCCAGACGCCTGATCCGTCATCAACTCGTGTCTATCCTCGTCGTCCTGGTTTCGAGAAGGAAGAATGAAAAAAAGAAAATCCGACGCCGGTGCCACATCGGGGAGGCCGCGAACGTGTTGTGGGGGGAGGGGGAAGGAGTGGTAATGACTTTTGGAAAGCTGACCAGCCCGCCTCGGTAGCCAAGAAAACAGACTGGACTGGGGTATCTGCGTAGAGGAGAAGGGTTGGTCCCATTGCTAACGCCATAGCGCCCAAAGGTCATCCTTACGTTTTCATAAGGAAGCCCCCAGTTGAGTCGTCATCGTAGAGGTAGTGCATCAACGGATGCTCCTGGCTCTCAATGTGACTAGGATCGCCGACTGCACATGGAAAAGCTGGTGCCACTCTCTCGGGGGAGGGATGGGAGGTTGAAGCCTTGTTGAAGCTGTTCCTGAACATACATGGCGCAGGTCTTGAACTTGCGGTCCGAATACTTGGTGTAGATGGCGAGATGGTGGGTCTTCGGGTCCTCGAGGCCTTCCAGGATGGTCATGCAGAGGGGACGCAGCTGAGCATACGTGTATTGCGAATAGTGGACATGCGTAAGTGACTGGAATGGTATTAGCAGGAGTCACAGATAATAACAGGAAAATCAGACATACCCAATCTCCCTTAGCGAGCAAGAACCTCGCTAGGCATTGGGCGCCGGCAGCCAGGAAGCTTGGGACACATCCGACAAATCGCTCATCCATGAGGGTCAGTTCCATGAGATACTTCGCCAGTGTCCTAGTGTCCAGGTCGTAATCGTCCGCCTTGCTGATCCTCCTCAGGAAGCTCATGGGGCCAGGCCATCCAAGCTCGTACTGAAGCATGTTGAGCATGAAGCGTTCAGCCTTCAGAACCTCGTCGGCCGTGTAGGTGTTGTCCACCATGAAGATGATATCGCTGACGGTGGGCGGGTTGACTTCTTCATACTTGGATGCGATCAAGATCGCGGTTGCGCCGACGAGTTGGAGCTTTCCGACGGATACGACCTTCACCGTGAGAAAGCGGTCGATGATGTTCATGGTCAGGAAGAGAGTCTCAGGGCACATCGAGAATCGATCATGAACTTGGACGAGCCACTCGACAAGAAGAGCGCGCATGCCCCATTGGACCTCAGTCTGGGATTCCATATAATGGCCATCAGGACGCAGGCGATTCTGAATACACGTTAGCGGATATTCGACAATTAGGCAACCAGCAACGAATCGACGGCTAGGCGTTCACGTCTGATTGCGACTATGGGGCACGTGCGATAAAGTAGGTGAGTGGGAAATGCGCACATGAACACATGAATAGAGGGAAAGTGAAAAGGAACAATAGAAAGCAATCCACGTACCTCGAGCTCCTCCATATACTCGAAAATCTCGTCAGCATATTGCGCTACCATGGATGGATCCCAATCTTCGTCCTCAATCTCCTCAATCGGTCGATTCTGCTCCACCCAGAGCCCCGCGCGGTCGAGTTCGGTGCGGATCTTGGCGGTTTTCCGGCCCGGAGTGAGGTTGACGGTGACCGCCCCTGTGGTGTTCTCAGCGCGGGAACGCAGCGACCGCGTCGTGTATCCCTCCGCCTCGTAGAACTCTTCCTCCTCCTCTGCGTCCCAGTATTCTTCGACGTCGCGGACAGGTGGGACGTCAGCTTTGGGCATGCTCGCATCAGCAATGGGCTCGGATAGATCGGGTTCGATCAACGCTTTAAGGTACGAGATGTCGTTGAGATATGATGCTTCGTGTCCGGCAAGGTTGTCAATCTCCTTGAGAGGGTGCGACTGGGTAGGTTCGGGAACGGCAGGGATGCTCTGGACGTTTTCGATTCGGTGAGGAGGGTTGGGTGCGATGGAAGTGAGAAGAGGATCGATAGCGAGGTTCTGAACCAGAGGGAGTTGATCGGTCACGGGCTTAGCCATACCCTCACATGTCGTGGATTTCTCCTGGATGGGATAATCAAGGTTAGAGGTCGCGTCGATGGATGATAGCTTCGCTGGCTCTTGGGTGGTGACAGACGTCACTAGGGCAACATCATTGACTTCTTTGAAGACAGTGGTCTGTCGCTTGACGACTGGTTTTGCAGCCTCCTCGATGACCGGCTTCTGGAGTCTCTTGTCCAGAAGACCGTTGAGCGAGTGAGCCGTGCTGGAAAGAATCGGCTTCGAAACCGCGGCGGAGAGAGGGCGCTGAGCCGGCTTAAGAAGCGCGGCGGTCTTAGTTGGTTCGTTGGGGAGGACATTGGGCTTCACGTCGATAGTTTTGTTGTTCGCGTCCTTGATGGGTTGGAGCGGTCGAAAGGTGTTGCTGACATCCCCGAAGGCAGTTCGCTTGTTGGTGAACTTCGAGGCCATGGTGCCAACTCCTCCACTCAACAACGCTGAGAGGGCTGGCGTGGACTTGTTGCGTTGATGGAGGGTTTTCGCGCCGTTGAGGTTGGCCGGAGGCGCGTTTTCGTTCTGGTTCCGGATCTGCAATTTAGCAGGACGTTGGGGCTGCAGAAATCGGTCGCGTTAGCATGGAGAGAGAAAAGACACAGAATGTGGCCGTGAGTTTAGAACATGTCGTGATAATGGCGATGGTGGGTGGTTGAGGAGACACGGTGGATGGTTCTGTGTGGAGCTCCTTTCCAGCATATGGCTCAGAACGCGACCATTCAGCTCAAGAGTGCTGGGGAGATAAGAGGTCCAAAGGGCTATGAGTGTCATTTCTCACCTTTGCATCCATGATGAACGCTTTTATCGATCAATCAGACACAGTGATATGTGTTGATGGATGTGAGAGGGCTGGTTTCCTAGTCAGAATCTAGCTGTTGATGGATATCAAGCTTGATCACGACGTCGAACACAACACGGATGAGAAGGTCAGGAGAGCCAGGTGCGCGGAATTGAGAAGGGATCGCCGCATCAATGTGCGAAAGGCGAAGAAACCGAAGCTGCAAGTTGCTTAAGATGTCGCAACTGGGAAAGCAACTGGAAGGTTGGCCTGCATCACGAAAACATTGTGAAGATGGAGGATGGGGGAGAGTAGCTGAGGTGAAGCTCAGGGCATTCGATGTTTTGACGTTCAACCGGCATGATTTGGTAAACAAAGTAGAGCGGACGATGGGTGCCAGGACTGCAGAAATCCTGAGGCATCAACATTTTACTTGCCTTGGCGCCTTACCTATAACCTTCTGCACGTGCCCTCCGTTCATTGGGCAGCGGAGCATTCCGCCATTCCCCATTCCCCGCCCCAATGTGTCTCTCCATTCCGCATGCGGTCTCAGCTCGGGTTCTCACCTAACAACCATGGTGAGTCGGCACAAACTGCAACCTGCTTACTCTCTACAACAACATTTGATGCACCAATCGATCGTATCACAGTTCGACTACGGCGAATCTCGGTTGGATAAAAATTGTTCAAGAAATCGAGGCAGTGCATCGGCTTGGCTTGGATCAGTCCCAGGCTACGGGGACGGTCTGGTTGGTGGTGACGACATTGCATCATTCCTGTTTAGGTAACATGTTTACCTATTTACGCGTCGTCTGGACCACGCGTTACTGCAACAAATATCTCGAAGACCAATCTCTCGACTGCCATGATGACGAAGTGACTAAGAAGTCAAGCTTATGGATAATGGAATGTCTCCTTCTTATTTCGGCCGATTATTCCGATTTTCGTATGCGGCTGGCGGCGCATAGCTCTATCTACCCGTTCTAGAGCTCGTCACACCAACGCGTGTCTTGGCACCCGTTGCATCGCGACCCACACACGCCGGTCACGTGACTTGACCATCCACTTAACGTCACCTCATCCATCGTCGCATTGGAGTTTGACTTAAATTGAAATGATCGCGTTGTTCTCCGGTGCTCGATAAATAAATAAACATGGTTGCGCACGACACTCGGCGCGGAGGAGACCGCTGCCAAAGTCGTGCGCCGCGTGGAACGCAATCCGAGTCTGACCCGTCCTCGGCCGCTCTCGTCCTATCGCTGCCTCCACCTTTGGCTCCACGTAAAACATTGGTCTGTCATTCCTGATTCCACATTCAAAGCTTTCGTAGCTGCTGGAGAATTCGGCCTTAGAGCCATATTTCGTGCGCTGCAACCACAGTAACACCAGGCGCTGGCATCAGGATCGAGCGACCGTAACTGTGGTCGGGTTTGCGCACCGCCGGAACTTGGACAAGCTTTTGGTGGGATTGCAACTCCGCACCGCACTGGAGTAGCATGCACACTTGCATGCAATTAGTAGTGGCATATCACTTGCCTGATGCCTCTGTCGCCGCAACCACTAGGTTTCGATGACCTTGCATCGCACCTCCAAATTCCGTCTGTACATCTTGCGTGCAGAATGGATTGGCACTTTAGCACCCACGCTAAATGTCCCCGATGCTGCAGTTCTACCGAACCGCTGCGCAACTCTCAACAGACCGCTCGATTCCATCGAGAGGCGCTGGCCAATGCAGATACCCTGAATCACCGCCGCCGCATTCCAACAAATCGCGACCGGTATTCAACGCAGGTCTCCCATATCAGCGATCCAGCGAACACAGGATGGGTCGCAAGCCGGGGAAGGATACTGATCCGTGACGGTGCTCGGGATACGAAAGTGTAAACCTTGCTGCGGGACGCCGCCTGCTCGGGGAGGATGGACCGGGTAGGTTTCCTTGTTCCAAAGCTCTAGGTCGCTATGCTCCTTGACAATGGCTAGTAATACATAGGTTAGGCCGTCCGAATTTCCGACTGGGAACCGTCACAATGCATGTTCACGAGGGCGCAATCGTCCTTGGGCAGATGATCGGGCAGCCAACTTGGCAGCATTTGGTGTGCCGCCTCATTCGCCATCATCCCGGATCGTCTGCGTACTACGATACGATTTAGATAGCGAGTCCAGTCCACCGCTTTCATTTCAAGCCTGTACTCCAATCAATAGATACCCCAACCACTTTCTTGCTAGGCGTTACCTTTGCGCCGTCCCTCACGCAATAACCCCTCCTACTATGATCGCCCTTCAGGTTTAAGGATTGCCGCTGAGAACTTTGTTTCTCAACTTGATCCATTGGCCATGTCATGGGGGTGCCCACGGCCCTCCATGCCGTGCGTTCCATAAAGCGATGGCATGATTTGGCATCCGTGGCTATGATGCCGCTTATTGGTTTGGGGGAGGCGCTCGGAAACAATGCCCACGGAGCCAGTCCACAAGGCATCTTGCAGATGCCATGATGCTGAGAGATCACCGCCAACGCCGACTCAGGGTTGGATTTGTACTCAATAGGACCTTCCCTTTTCCAAACGAATAGATTGGCTGGTAGTTACATGCGCTGGGAAATTATTAGGCTATCCCACCTCGAGCGACTCTTTTTCACTTGCTTGATATACTACTAGTCCTACATATCAGGGAGCGGCCGTCCCAAGTCTTTGAGCATGGAGAGAGGATTGTCCATAACATATCGGAATTGATGTAGATTTTCTATATTCGCCTTAATTGGACCCCAACGTAGCCATAAGGACCATCAATTAACCAAACGTGCGGACGATTCGTTACCTTGTTGGGTCAACCGCTGCGTTGCGGTGTTTCGCTTCGCTCCAAGCCCTCTCCAGCCGTCTCCACTTCCCACGGCGCACCCTTCTTCTGCTCCTCCTCCTTCTTCCCACCAGTCTCTTCCTCACCATCTAGCAGTTCTCCGACCTGATTCAACTCATTGTCTGTCTTGGAGAGTCCTTCGTGCGGTAGCCACCTCGTTTTTCGCTACTTTATTTCCCGTTCTCCATCCGGTCTTCCCCTCGCTGTGCTGCTCCAGTGACTACATCTAGTGCTGCATCGGCCACCAAGACAGTATCGGATCAAGATAGGATCACCCGGCCTTTACGGGTTGGCTTTTGTGGTATGTGTGTGTTTCATCATACTCTTTGCGACCATTGTCAATGAATCTGGCCTCCTTGATGGCGCTGTGCTGATGAGATCGCTCGTTCGCTAAGCGACGAGACGGCATCACCACTCTACGGCGCACGCCGGGCTCAAGGAGACCAAAGGCAACCATCAATTCAGGCATATTCCGCCATTTTCAGCATCATCATGCAATATACAGCGCATTCAACCATCGCTAACTCTTTATCCAAGTCGATAGTTCAAGTCTTTCGCTGCTACCCTTCTCTGCCCTCATCCATCGGGCCACTGAACAGCACAACGCTGTGGCACCTTGCACTGGAGCGCATACTTGAGAACCCACGATACGCCTCCATCGGAACAGCGAACTTGGCTCTTACTGAGCATCCATACCATCTCAATTATAGTTACGCACACGGAACAACCGTGTGATGGACTTCCCCTCCGCCGTCCCCTTGGCTACCCTGCAGACGCAACTGTCTCAGCAGACGCAGCCAACCTCCACCACCTATATCCACAATACCCACCACAACTTTGACGGCGTCAAGTTCGCTTGGAATCCAACGTCCCCATATTCAGCCATGCCCGAGACTCGCAGTCGTGGGGATGTTGAATCGCCTGGTCTCACCATGGCGACCGCTACTAGCCGCCATGGATCCCCAACCAGGCGCCATGGCAGTGGCAAGCAGGTCACCTTTGAGCTGATCCTCCCCGAGTCTCCTCAAAAGCGAGCTCGACTTCCGATGCGGGTCTTTATCTTCCCTCATGACACCACTGACTCGATCATTTCCACCACCAAAAATTTCTACGGCCTGTATGAGCCGAAGGGCGTCAGCTTTGAGGATCGGCAGGCCAACACCCTCATCGCTGCCTATGACAACTTCGAACATGGGATGACGGTCTACGTCAGGATCATGGATGAGGATGACACCCAGGATGAAGCCAATCCGGCCTCGCCCAAACGGCCCAGACTTGAGCCTCCGATCCAGATGCTGCCTCCACAGCTGCAAGGCCATCCCATCCCGCGACCATCATCCAGGTCTGCGAGGAGCACCACCTCCAATGGGACGAACCCGAAATCACGCTCGCGACCGCCGATGCGATCTCGCGGGTCGGGTTCGCAGGGTCCTGGTGAACATCCTGACATGGTCGAGTACAGCGACAGCGATGGCGGTAACGGCTCCGTCACCAGCTCCCGCAGGGGGAGAAGCGAACAAGTTGCCAGCGCCGAGATCAGCGTTGAGAACATCGTCGAAGGTGGCAGGCGGAAGATCCCTAAATTCGACAGCTCGGTATGTGGCGGAGGCATTCGTACAGTCGGGCAATCGTGTGCAGCGACTAACTCTTCATCAACAGGAACTTCCCCTCTTCGTCCCATCTCAAGTCCCGATGGCGCCATCCGCTTCATCACTTTCTCCTCAACGTCGGATCGAAGGCAATATGGCCAGCCCTTACCAGTCCGCTCATCAAGCAACGTTCGCTTGGGGCCATCCGCTCCCATCACCGCAGAGCTACGGTCCATCGGATCGAGCATACATACAAGTACGGCCAATTCAGGCGAACGGACAACACAATGGCACATACGCGAGGAATCTTCGGCAGCGCCCGCAGGTCCAGTACGCCCCCGGTCGTCAACATAACGGTCACGGCGGCGTGCTGGCCACGCCCGACCCCACCGTCGGCGGTAGCGTCATCTCCGATGAAGACGTCGCTCTCCAATTGATGCGACTCGGAGAGTATTCCTCGCACGGTCGCACGTCTACCTCGACCCTTGACGATGCTCAGAGCGGCAAGGCCGTGGTATCCTCCGATGACGAGAGCATGGACGGCTCCGACAACGAACACATGGGCGTCGGCTACAACAGTGCTGGGAGCAGCGTCGAGTACTCCGCCGATGAAGGCGTCGCACCGAACGCCTACGTCAAACCCAAGGGCAAACCGCGCTCCTCTCGGCCTTCCAAGCCGCGCTCCACCCGTCCTTCAATCAGCCACAACGGCCCACCCGTCCCCAAAGCGAAACACCACCGCCACTCCACCTCCGCCGCTCCGCCCATATCCCCCCCCGTGGCCCCCGGCCCCGACCAGCTTGCTGCGCCGCCGACCCACCCCGCGCAACCCCTCGGACCCGACGAGGAGGACCTAAGCAGCAAACCGCGCTGCCAGCGCTGCCGGAAGAGCAAGAAAGGATGCGACCGCCAGCGCCCGTGCGGCCGCTGCAAGGACGCGGGCATCGGCATCGAGGGGTGCCTGTCGGAGGACGAGGGCAACGGCCGCAGGGGGAGATACGGACGCCATATGGGAGTGCCGGTCAAAAAGGGGAGTGTGGAGGATCTGGACACGGCGAGTCGAGAACTTCCTGCTGTTGCGGGTGCGACAGTTGCGGCTGGCCCCATGATCGAGGCCGTGGCGATGTCGGTCATGACGGTGGATGGCTTCGGAGGCGCGGGGAAGAAGCGGAAGAGGTAGACTGGATCCGCGCATTTCGGTGGGAGGCGATGAGATTATGATCCGACCGGCTGATGTTTTTCGGGATTCGCATGACCTTGCGTTTCGGCGTTGCACGGGGAAGGAATACTTTGCGACGTATTTCTTTTGTTATCTGGATGAGGATCTATATGATGACGACGCTCTCTCACACACACGCTCCCTTACTTCTCAGTATCTCCATCTCGGGTTCGCGTTGTATTTGGTGCTAGGGTGTTTTATGGTTCGACGGTTCAAATGGTTCGGGGAGGATGGGCAACATATGGTTCATCGTCACACTGAGTTTTAAGTGCTACTTGCTTTAGTTTAGTTTGCGACGCGATAGGTACCGCTTTCGCGGACCATAGTTCAATTGGTTTTCCTTCGTCCTTGACGTGGTCCCTTCTCCATGGCCCCCGTCTTCAGTGCTCCGGTTAGGAAAACGGCGGCGGTTCATGATATATGGCATAGCAAGCGGAATCTGGGCGAGACGTGATCGGTATTCAGTCTTTCCCAACCTTGTTACAGTCCCAAAGAGCCGGTTTGTGTGTGGTGGGATATATTGAGCTGATGAGAGTGCTTGTTTGGTGGCTCCAGCCAATTCAGTCGGGTTCACTTGATTTCTATACTACTGCTTTCTCGCATTCACATCAACACGATAAAAGATAGCTAAGATGATTGTGGGGCTTTTGGATTCTGTAACGCTAGGTACCGTACTACAGAATGTTTTTTATTGAAAGTCTCTTGTTCCTGTGTCCTTTTGATTGGTACTGTCAGACTTGAGCAGTCGAACTCGACGTGGTTATAGGTGATCAATATCAGTACTAGGCAGATAATCATGTTCTACTCCGTACAATAAGACATTTCATAGGATCTAAGGGTACTAAATTGTTTAAATCTAATCGTCTTGATATAGTACCACTTCACAGCCGTGAATAAGTACCTTCAGTAATCAGTTGACTCACACGATTTAAGCAAGCCACCCGAGGTACCAGGTTTTTGCAAGTGACTTTGATCATACTCTCTGAGTCAACCGCAAAGGCTTATTAGTAGTGAGACCCCGACATGCCAACATTTCGTCGGGTATTGGAGCAACGTCATGGGGATCCATCGACCATTAGCCAATTCAATAATTGCGGCGAAGTGGTCGGACGTTCCCACTTTGGGACGTCTTCACGTTTCAGTTTACCGGACTCAGCCCAGTTTTGTTGGGCGAAAACCGAGCCAGCATACGATCCGCAGTCACTTACTTCTAGGTTTTCCATATTAACATCATTCTTATTAGTTAGGTCACTTAAGTTAGGTGTTGCGGACTACGTAATATTTCACCGAACAAAAGAACCGATAACCAGCGGAATCGATCTCCCCGCACGCCACTTTGCGCTTACCTCAGCAAGCTCAGGCTATTTGTGGTCGTGCCAAGGCACCGGAGTGGGACTATACCTAATCGGTAAGTCACATGCACTCCTCGAACAAATAGCCTGAGGATTCTGTCAATGGGTTTTGGGTGTGTGCGGAGAGCTTTCATACCAAATGGAAGACCATCTTTAACTCCATTTTCATCCACAACCACACTATGCTCCGTCAATTAAATATAACCATTCGATTCCCCTGCTTTTTCTCCATAATTGATTGAATTTTGGGTCATGTCGGCCCGAAACCAGCATCGTCAGAGCGCGCGGTTGAACTCGCCCACTTTGCTACCTGCTCCAAGTTCTCAGCATATTGCTGCGTCAAACACATCTAATGCACCTCGTCAGAAAGCAAGAGGTTCTCAAAGACGCAGTAAGGCGCAGAGAGTAAACGAGATATGCCAATTCATGCGGAAAAAAAACATTACACTACGAGAATTTATCCATGTCTACGCGACGACTCAAGGGTCTGATGGTTATGGGGAGCGCCCTGCCACGCGTGCCAAACGACTCGCCGAGGCCGTCTACGGTCAGGCAGAGGTCTTAGATGCACTGCGAGAACATCCCGCGTCTGGTGCGGCAGGAATTGTCACTATAAAGGACCTGAGGAAGGAAATGAAGGAACTGGAAGAAGCCGGAGATATGTTTAGTGCCTACCAAGTCGACCGTGTCCAAGAGAAGACTTCACCTGCCGGCGTAGGGAGGGAGAAACAGTCAGAGGGTCAGAAGGTCGAGGACTACGAGCGCATACTGGGCAACATGCAGTTTGGGCAGATGTACGAGCAAGTTAAAACTCGTGCTCCTCTTCTATGTGGATTGCTCAATGG